CCAGACAAAGGTGGAGGTGTTGTAGTTATGAATCGCCAAGATTATAATGATAAAATCTCAGCGATCCTTTCCGACCAAATGAAATTCGCCAAACCCGATGGTGAAAAGAACAAGACACATCTAATTGAAAATCAACTGACTGATGTCTTAAAGAACATGAGGAATAAGTCAGTAATCTCGTCGGAAATATATGAACGCATCCGACCAGTAGGCTCCATGATACCACGTTTGTATGGACTACCTAAAATTCATAAGACAGGATTACCCCTCCGTCCTATCCTCGATATGGCGGGTTCTCCTTATCACGGAATCGCTCAGTGGCTAGCTGAAATACTGGAACCAGTCAGAAGGCAAGTATCTAAGTTTTCCATTGATGATACGTTTAAATTTATTGATAGCATTAAAGATTTCAATGTCTCAGACAAAATCTTGTTCTCATTAGATGTGACGTCGCTATTTACCAATGTTCCTCTCATGGAAACTGTTTGCTATTTATGTGATTATATTGATACACATAGTTTAGAAATAGGACTGCCGACTATCTACCTCAAAGAGCTTTTATTGAGATGCACGTTGAATGTTCAGTTCACCTTCAATAATGAGATCTTTAGACAGAGAGACGGCATTGCCATGGGATCACCACTGGGTCCCTTGTTGGCTGATTGCTTTATGGCAAAGCTTGAAAATTCTCAACTTAGTCAAACCATCGGTCATTTTGACATTTATAAAAGATACGTAGACGACACTTTCGTTATCTGCGATAAAAATGTAATTCTTGATGATGTCTTGTTTGCTTTCAACAACTGCCATCCTTCTTTACAATTCACCGTAGAAAAGGAGTCCGAACTAAGTATTCCCTTTCTTGATGTGTGCCTTAGCAGACGTAATGACGGATCTCTCAAAAGATCTATCCACAGGAAACGTACATGGAACGGACAACTAACTAATTTTTACAGTTGGGTGCCTATTTCCAGGAAAAGGAACTTAATTCATTCTCTCTGCTCTAGGATAAGGAAAATTTGTAGTTCTGATTCCGTTGACTCGGAACTTGACTTCTTAAAAGCCACTCTCGCAGAAAACGGTTACCCTAACCGATTTATTGACAGCAACATGAAAGATAAGCAGTCTAAACTGATCACCGACACAGTTCCAAAGAAAATCTTATTCATGAACTTGGAATTCAAAGATGACCAAGCTTCAGATATGCTCAAAAATCGTCAAAAATCAGTCAGTAAGACGTTCTATGTAGCAAAATTACATATGACGTTCACTAGCCACAAGTTGTTTTCTACCTCTGTAAAAGATAAGCTCCCCCGTCTGGCCACCTCCATGTGCATCTATCAGTTCACCTGCTCTTGTGGAGCAAGGTACATTGGCCGTAGTCAGAGGACGCTTTCCACACGGATACGAGAACATATTCCAGCATGGTTTTACAAGAGAGAAAGGAAGTGTGTGCGAAGCTCTATTTTGGAACACCTGATCGACTTCTGTCACTCTGTCAACGCTGACCATGCTAACTTCCCGCGTTTTCTTCGTTACAGACTTCTAAAGACAGCTGAGGCCTTGGCAATTTATGACTTTAAACCAGACCTTTGTGTACAAAAGAAGTATGTACAATCCCTACTTCTGCCTTGGCCGTAGAGGGATAGACATTTATTTATTTTGTTTATTTAGTTATTCTATGTACTTTTCCCTTATTACTACGATTATTATTATTATCATTATTATTATTATTACTATTCTCACTCTGAATCTTTTCCACTTGACCCACTTGACATTTTAAACCCAAAATTATTCATTTTTATATTTTTATTTTTACAATATTGAATTCTATCTTATCAAATTTCACACCATGTTATGTAACATTTTATATTCGTCCACTAATCTTATAATTATGTACCCCTTTCCAAAATTCTATACACCTTATGTATTATTCTGTATACGACATTAATTATTTTGCCACTTGACATTAAACTATGATTATAATCACAAATATTTTAATTGCATTTCATACTATTATTATTTCATGTATTCACACCTTTGATCTAATTCCCTCACCGGATATAATTTCTTAAAAATAAACCATATATATACGATTGTACAGCTTGATAATAAATTCGTTGAAAAGAGTCTCTTCGCTGAATATTGTGTTCTTAATGCTAAATGGGAATTATTAAATTTTTAATTTTATACTCACTTTTTTTGAAGAATATTATTAGAATTAATGCTCTATTTTAAATTATTGCCCCTGCAATGAGAAAATTAGATGCAATATTTTCTTGCGTGGTGAAAATTCCATATTTTTACCAAACGTACTGTTTGGAATAAAGCTTTATTATTATTATTGCTTACCTAACCCTCTACATTTAACCTCAATATTACTCATCATATGATTCCACTTAACACGAGGAGAGAACGCTAAAGATATCTAAAAACTCATCAAGCCTTTCACTTTCAATGTCCATGTCAGTGTAGTCCAATCCTCCAATATCATTTGACAGGAGCAATTCGTATGCCAAATATTCGAAGATTTCTGCTCAAAATATATTCAGAAGACTGCATTTTGTCGGTATCTTCACCTACCAGGAGGACAATATCATCCATATACTCTAAGTTGATGCTCCGAATTCGCTGAAACCAGTTAGAGTATAATGAAATTTCAATAAAAATGGGGACAATGGACATGCGCGACAGACAACCATTCATTCAGTAGTCTTGTCATCCGTTCAAATGACTGAAGTGAAAATCTGTTTAACGCCTTGATAAGTTGTTTTGTCATTTCGAATTATCTTTCATTTGTGAACAGTCTTTCATTTCTGGATATACCTGCATTCCCCAGTCAGTGAGTGATGATGTTTTCACTGAATCTCGAACCCGGTGTTCATAGTTTCAAATGCCAGCCAAAGCGTTATCCACTAGACCACTTGGGCCACGACAGCCAGCCACCTCTGATGCAACGGGTCATATTATTATTATTATTGTATCCTTTAATTCCTAGAGGAACATAGGGCTTCAGCCGTGCGTCTCCATTGCGTTCGGTTCTCTGCTAGAGTCTTCACCTGGCTCCAAGTCTGCCCACACGTTTTCATCTTCCCTTCACATGACCTCCTCCAAGTCACCCTTACACTGACGACCAACTCGCCGCTTCCCATTCGGGTTCCACTCGAGCAATGGCTTGTCTAGTGATGTCACTTGATGGTTTCCTCAGAGTATGGCCAATCCATCTCCATTTCTTCCTGCCTATTTGTTTCACAATCGATTCCTGGTTGGTTCGCTCCCAGAGATCTCTGTTGCTGATCTTTTCTGGCCATCTGATCTTGAGTATTGAGCGAAGACAACTGTTAATGAAGGTCTGTAGTTTGTTTGAGATGCTCTTTATGACGCGCAGTGCAAGTCTCTGATCCGTATAGTAGCACTGACTTCACATTGGAGTTGAAAATCCGGATCTTATTTTTGATGCTGAGTGTTGTTGACCTCCGGGTCATATGAATTATTTAATTGAATTTTAGATTTTCCCGTCGATTGATTTTGGACCGGAGTGCTTGGTCTACTGGATAACGCCAAACGCGTTTTAAAACTATGGGCACTGGGTTCAAACCCTCGCAAGGGAACATCACTCGCTGCAGAATGCAGGTACATCCAGATGACGAGCCAATCCCAAATAGGACGAAATGCGCGTTGTCCTGGATTCCATGCTAGTCACTGTCCACCAATTAAATTCTGATTACATACCCAGACATCGTTGAAACATCTACACAAGAAGCTGACATGTCGACCTGAGATCGACGAGAAAATCTAAAATTCGCTTATATAGTCTTTCGTTTCATTCATCTTAACCATCTTAACGGTTTGTAGACAATTCGTTTGTTGAAAAAGAATGACGGAAGATTTTTGATGCACATTTTTTTTATGTGTATTCCGTAAAATTGATCGGAAAAGAAACAAAAAACAAACAAAACAAAAAAAACTTGTACAATGAGTTTTTCTTTTTAAGATCACAAAACATGATCAATTATCATCATGATCATGATCATCATCATCAGACGATATAACACAGATATCACATCATCGTCTGAAAACAAAAATTACAAGAATATATAACTGTATTGAAAATAATACTTTTGAAATTCATTAATAATAATAATAATAATAATAATAGTAATGCCTTGATATCATCATTTTGGCTCACATTGTTGTTGTAAAATGCCAACACAGATAGAGACAGAACGGCAATTCCGTATCAGTAGAGGAGACAAGAAGACATAGGATATGATTAAGGCCTATGGTAGTGAGTGGTACCATAACTCACACACACAACACACACAAAATTTAAAGCAGTATTTCGTTGAACCACCTACTTAAATGGTTTAAAAGTAGTAGTTAGTTGATCATAGATAGAAAGAAAAACGCAAAAAGAGGTGAGAAGAAAAGCAGTTGAAGTTCATTCAGTCTTCACCGTTATTCATGCATAATTGAAAGCATGCATAAGAATAAACTAGTGAAAGACCAACGAGAAAAAGGATTATTTTGAATACTATTCAATATAAAATGTAGGGGATTATTTTTCCGTTTAAAAATTAACGCTCAGGAGATTAATAGAAAAGGGTATGTTGGAAGCAAAGATAAGTAAGGTTATTATCACATATTACACTTACACATTCACACAAAAGGGGAAAATACATCGACTTATTATTTATTTATTGTACCGTATACCTAAATTTTCAGAAAACAAAATGAGTAGTTGGTTGTTTTGTTTTGTTCTGTTTTGCTGTTGTTTTTTTTTTTCCTTTCTCATTGTTTTTTGATTGACAAAACAAGTTTCTTTATGTGGACAATTGGAATATGCAGGAAACACTGAGTATTGTTTGTTTTTTGCTTTCTTAATTTTTACGGGGGTTTTTTTGTTGCTGTTTTAGAAAGTTGTAATAACAAAAAATAAAAACACACCAATGTTATGAGTACATTCATCAAGTGAGATTCTCCATGGAGTATTTGTATCCTCAAACACCAACCATTTTTCTTGCAAGGAGTGGCTGAAAAAACGAGGAAGGGTATAGAGGAAGAAAAAAGTAAAGATAAAAATTAAGTTATAGACTGGAAATTTTAATTGAGAGCGAACTAACTAACTAACTGACTACCTGATGTGATTTTTGTTTCATAAAAAGTGAATATCATCCCGCATGATTAAAGCAAAGTCTATTCGTAGGCCTGATTATTTTTAGCTCACCTTGTAGATACTGAACATGAATTTGATATTACTCAAACAAAGCATTTCAAGTTATCTATTATCGTATTCTGATAAGGCTTAATTTTGCCCTAAGAGGTTGACTTCTACGCATAGCTAAAGCTGTTGTAGTCTACTTGAAGAAGCAAAATTTATGTGTTCAGAAGAAGTTCGTTGAGACACTTTGCCCTAACCTGGCCAACAATAATTTGATTGTGAAGTCTGGTGATTTTCTCTCTCTCTCCCGTGAGCATTTCACAAGTTATTATTGTTTTATTATTATGATTATTATTGTTCCCTTGGGCTCTAAGTGGTTTCAGCAACACATCTCCACTTTGTCCTATTCCCTGCGATCCTCTTTAGCTGGCCCCAACCATTGCCAGTAGTGTTTGATCTCCTCTTCGCATCATCTCCTCCATATCACTCTCGCATTTATGCACAACTCGTCGTTTCCATTCACAGTTCCACTCGAGCGATCGCCTGGCGTGCGACGATATTCGACGGTCTCTTCAGTGTGTTCCCAATCCGTCCCCATTTTCTTCTACGTATTTTTGGACAATAAGCTCCTGATCGGTTCATCCCAAAAATTTTTTGTTGCTTATTACTTCTGACCATCTCATCTTCAGTATGGAGCCGGCGAAGGCAGCTGTTGATGAAAGCTGCTGTGGCCTGTTGGAAATGCTTTTCGTGATGCACACAACAAGTTTCTAACCAGTATGAAAGAGCTGACTGAATTCACGTTGGTGCTGAGAATCCGAATTTTGTTCTTTATGTTGTGGAGTTCATTAGATTTCCAAACTGATTTCAGACTAACGAAGGTCTGCATTACCTTTCCAATCCTACCTGGTTTTGACATCATCATCATCTGTGTTCTCGCCTGTAGTTGAAACGACGCTGCACAGCTAGATAAGTGAAGAAGGTAACCTCTTTCAAACTTCTCCCGTTGATAGTGATCAATGCTTATTGTTTTATTGTCGGTCTGTGGTTATCTTCATCACCTCCATCTTCTCCATGTCCACTTGAATTTCTGTCTCTGCTACCTGCTTCCTCTTCAAACTTGTTAGTTAGTCTTCGATTTTATGTGACATGTGACATAAATCATCCACGGAATCCAAATCTTCTAGGGTCTTCTCTTCGGTTCAGTGTCTTCCTGTCTTCTTGCCTCCCACAGTTTGACTCATAATCCAGTATACCACAATTCGGAATGTCATAGGTGATAGTAGGCAGCCAGCCTTGTCATACTCCAGTATTCACTTCAAATGCCTAGCTGAATCTTCCACTGTAGATTACCTGACATATAACATTGTCAAACAGTTCTTGATTGAGGCTGATAAAGATGCAGGGCACTCCACAGTGTTGAAGTAGTTTCCAAATTACTTCGCAGTCAACGTTGTCGAAAGCCTTTTCAAAGTCAATGCAACTGAAGCAGAGATTCAATTTCCTTTCTACGCTTTGTTCAATAATGATGCATTGAGTTACAATTCAATCAGTGCATGACATTCCTTTCCTGCAACCAGTGCATTTTTTATTCTCTACAGGATGACGTGGCCTAGTATTTTGTTTAACGTGGACAAGAGCATAATTCCACGCACAGTTCTTGCTGAGCCCTAAGTCGCTTATCTTTGGTAGTTTACCAAGGTAGCCTTTTTCCCATTCAATAGGTACCTTTCCTTTCTTCTAAACTTTGCGCGGTAATGGTGTGAGCATATCTGCTACGGTCTCTGGTTCCGTCTTACCTGTCACATACATTTTCTGATTGATTTTAATCTGATGTTCAATTTAGTGATATATTTTTTATACGTATTACTACTTCTGCCTACTTTTGAACTGTAATTCCGTTGATTTTAACAACTCTATATTATTTAATATATATATGTATATTTTCAAGTATTGGTTTTGTAGGGATTTTTGTTTGATTGCATGGAGGATTTCATCATGAGCTGACATCAGTTAGAGAACCACTGGAAAACCTGCAGGGAGTACTGGACAGCTATTTCGTCAGACTAGTTTGGGACTCTTCATCAGTACGCACCCAACGCCATAGTTTGAACCCAGGACCTTTTGGTTACAAGGCGAGCTAGCTCGTGTACCATTGAGCCACTGGGACCCGATCCAATGGTCCTTGAATTCTAACTTCTGCCAATTCACGACATAGCGCGACCATTTCGCAATGTCTTCTTCAATGAGTTACTGCCTCATCTTTTGACCTGCTGTACCCTACTGGTCACGGCTTCCCACTAGAACCAGCCCAGGTTAACTGCCTGAATACGGCCAGTTGCTAGTAAGCATCAGATTAATTTTCAAGTATTGGTTTTGTAGGGATTTTGTTTGATTGCATGGAGGATTTCGTCAGTGTTGAATATAACGCCCCCAATATTTGAACATTATGTATAAATGTACAACTGCAGAGTCAGATGAAGAGCAACTTTTCATAAAGAATACGCTTTTCCTCAATGTTTTGTCTTTTAATTGTCTTCTAAATATTCAAATGGAAATGGATTGTGCTTTAGACTGAAAAAAAAAACACGGTATAACGTCATATATTACCAGTTGTTAAATAACTTGGCTGTCGTGTACAATAAATAAGTAAATATTTGTTACAGAACCATTGGAAAACGTGGAAGTACTGAACAGCTGCTTCGTTATAGTTTTGGTCTTTTCATCAGTACACACTCACTGTGTACAGGAAGATATTTGAAGTTGTAGTGTAGCCGGGTACACCAAATCTGACAAGAGAACAATTACTCACCTACGACACTGGATACAGGTTGAGCTATATATATATATATATATATATATATTGCAAACTGGCAGAAGCTGGAATCCATGGGCTGATCATTGGATCTGGTCTCACTGTCTGAATGGTCAATGAGTTCACCTAGTGACGGGTATGTCCTGGTTTCGAACGGTGGTGGGTGCGTATTGATGAAGAGTTCAGTACTCTCAGGTTTTCCTATGGTTTTCTAACTGATGTCAACTCGTCGTCAAACTTTATTTACATAGTAATCAAGCACTCGATTGTTTTGGGACCCTATGATCAAATTCATAAACATAAGACATAATTTGATTTGATTAAGCCACATATTGTCAAGTATTGGTTTTGTAGGGATTTTTATTTGATTGGTTGGAGGATTTGATCATAAGCTGACGTCAGTTAGAGATGTAACGATAGAAGACAAGGGCCAGGAAACAGATCGTTTATTGAGAAAATCAACAGATATTTATATATATATATTTTTATGTACATTATTATTCGTTTTTAGTAGCACAGAAACAGCGTCTTCTGATTGGTTGTTTTCTCGCTGAAATTTATTCTGTCATCTCTTTGTGGCCATTTCTTTGAAGGCTAGACGATACATCTGTGAATCGCTAAATCTGCTGTGACTGGTTGTTGGTTAGTCTTTGTTCTTGTTTTTTGTCATGACCCTGATTCAGGACGTAAAAATTGACGTAAATTGCTGTCAACCAATTTCGGCTAGCAGACAGCTCTCACCACAGAGAACCATTGGAAAACCTGAAGGGAGTACTGGGCAGCTGCTTCGTCCTAGTTTCGGACTCTTCATCACTACGCTAAATGGTCTTCGAGCTCGCTGGCCTTGTAATCAGAAGGCCCTGGGTTCAAACCTTGTGGTGAGTGCGTACTGATGAAGAGCCCCAAACCAGGCTGACGAAACAGCTGTCCAAGTTTCTCAATGGTTCTCTAAATGATGTCAGCTCATGATGAAATCCTTCAAGCAATTAAACCATGCATTACCCTAACTGGCAATAAAAGGCGACTTCTTTAGTTGTTTAGTTGTTTAACTTCACTCCTTTTTTTTAAAACTGTTGCAGAAATCAATCATAAAATAATAAAACACTAATCAAGTGAGAGAAAAACAGACACTTACAGGTATAGCATATACGAATAATGCTATCAATAAGCCAAGAAGCACAACAATCAATAATACAATAAGTATCCATTTCATTTTTTTCCAAATAATAAATTTGAATGTTTTCCATGGTGATGTAAACCAAAGGAAGGAGGTTTCTGGACGTCTGAAAAAATGCGGAAACAAAAAAGAAATTTAAACAATAACGTAATAAATGAATGATCATCGTGTTCAGTAACATGTGTATTTATATTTTCCTGTGAAGATTTTAACTATTCTTACCGTGCCAAGTTGCTACGTATTTTTATTACCACGTTTAGCTTTCGAAGCGAGATTGCTGCTGCTGCTGGATTCAACATAGAACTTGGCACCGAAGTGCAGCAGTTCGAGTTGCCACGTTCCAAATAGCACACAAAGGTAGACAGGAAAATGAGAGGAGAGAATCAATAGAATTTAGATAAGTATAAGAGTGAAACAGAATGAGTAATGGTAGAAAGGAATATGAAGGTTAAAGAGACTGAATACATCTGCGTAAGCCATTGACAACGATTTTGAGCCATGTCACCTATTGTCTCCAGCCATTGATTCTTAGAGTCCCGAGGGCCCCAACCCGGAAGTCTGCATCTCCCTCCCTACCTGACTCAGTTTAACTGTCAAGGATTTCATGGATTGATGCCATGTTTTTGTTTGGCCACCACTTACTCTTTTCCAAGCTGCACCTATATCAGCTAGTAATGCCCGTCGGGGGATTCGAAGCGAGATTCTGACGAATACACTTGTCAGAGCTATCACAGATATCTTACTGGAGAGAAAAGAATGAGAAGTTCAGAAAAGATTATTTCTTTTTTTGTGCAGCAATTTCATTCTCGAAAGCAGCTGTACTATCACATTTATGTATACATAAGTTTTTTATTTTTATTCCTTTACATTCCAAGTGGAACATAGGACTTCAGGCTAGAGACCTGAAGTTTTTTGTAGCAGTGGTGTTGATTTTTACGGGATGGGTTTGCTAACCTTATGCCTAACCTTCCCTCTTTACCAGTCTTGTTGTAACAACAGAAGGCAAGGGTCAGGCAACAGACCATTTATTAAGGAAATCAACGCATATTTATATATTTGCATGTACATTACTATGGATATTGAAGTAAACAAACACCGTCTTCTGATTGGTTGTTTCTCACGTAAAGTTAATCTTTCATCTATTTGTGACTGTTTCTTGAATGTCAAATCCTCTATATGTTAACTGCATCCGCCTACGCAAAGTCTGCTGTGGTCGGTTTTGAATCAATCTTTGTTCACATTTTCTCACGACAAATCTTGGGAACGTAAATATTGACGTAAATTACTGTCTACCAATTTGGCTAGTAGACAGCTCTCACCACACATATAGTAACGAAGGTGATTCAAGTTCATAGTAATTTTCAACTCAACATGAAAGTTTGAAGGTGTGAATATATAGATTACAAGGCAGTTAGAGACAAGATTACATAGGATTAGAAAAAATAGTTTTTTTTTAACGTCTAAAGGTGTAAATGAGATGAGCATGGGAATGAAAATGAAAAAGAAGAAAAAAAGGGGGAAATGAAGGGGGATGAAAAAATGAGACCTAAGGAGACAGATCGAACTAAATCCATGGTAAATGTAGAGGTTGAACCAGTTTCTTTTGAACACACAGTTCTGTTTTTTCTCTGATGCATCTACCTTTGGCTGATGAGTCAGGTGATATTCTGCGACAGGTGTCGAAGAGATGTTAAAATATGGCACTCCTGATTGAACCAGTGCCTGCCTCCTGTTTGCGGTCATGCTGGGTAATGTTCTCTAACATATTTTGATAGGACCCGCATAGAACGACTTATATACCTAACTCCACACGACCAGGTGAACTGATATATGCACATTGAAGTGGTTAAATACATAAGTTTGTCCTTCACATTGCTTCAAAGTAGTAGCGGCTGGAGAATATCACTCTTAGAGTCACTGAAGGAAATATCTTCTTCGAGGAACTAAAGATTCTTCTTTTAAGGATATCTACCGCTAGGTTTCCCTTGAATTCCAGATTCAGATATGATGGAGAAGATTTGTAGCTCAGGTGGATGATTTTGATGTGGTTGTGTTCTCTGAGCTGGATAGTTAATTTGCGAAGCTTTTATCATCCTACTAGGTGACATCTTCAATTTGAAGTATGCGCTGAAGATGTTGCCTAGTAAGGGCCGATGAAAGCTTCGCAAATTAACTATCCAGCTCAGAGAACACAACCACATCAAAATTCCAGATTCAAATATAACGTTTTCTTTGCCGATAAATTCCATTCTTCTGTTTTTGGCTTTGATTTTATGTTCTTCTCCACGAAACGCGTTGGGTATCCTTTTTGAGCCAGCATGTCTTTGAGAAACAGAAGCTCTTCTTCTAAGCAATCACCACTGCGAATCCTTTTGGTAATGTACGCCAGCGAGATGATGGGAGCTCTTTTCCGACTGGCAGGTATCCAACTGTAGAAGTCTGTCAGTTGACCATACCATGATGGTTTTGCTATAGATAGATCTTTTCAGAGCTCTTTTATCTCTTCTTGTCAATTCGACGTCCAGAAATAGAATCTTTAATGGATTTGATTCTTAACGATGCTAAAATTGCTAGGCTAGAGAATGTAGTATTATAAATTAAATAAATAAGTTAGGTGGGGTTGATTTTTTTCAGTCATATCGACAAAATTTCAACTTTGATTGGACATTAGTCACTTACTAGTGTAATGTGTCTAAGGCTTCCTGTCAATCGCCTCTAATCATCTAGTACCAAAATTTGAGTTTAATATAAGTGTCTAATATTAAATCTTTGGTCCAGTAATAGAATACTTGCCATTTAATGTGCTTCTAAACCTCATTTAATTATTAACCGGTATTAAACTCAGAAAAGATGGAAGGTTACTCATGAACTATCAACCTAACTACGTGAAAATAACACTCCTGCTACTAGAATATGAAGGCGTGTGTTGTACTCAGAACTCATGGTATAAAAAAGATAAATGTTTGATATAGTTACTCGGATGGCTTTTGTAATCACCCGTTATTAGAGTGGTCTGGGAAGGGGGAGTGAATCGGATGGTTTTTATGCTTAAAGTGAAAACATCAAGGTATAATGATGATAATATATAGTACACTAATTATTTATATCATATGATAGTATGAAGTTAAGATTGTTGGCGCATTAAACAATCACATGGTCTGAAACTAAATGGTCCATTTTTGACCGATATAACATTATGTAGTCAATATTGAGGTCTCAGTAGAGTTTTATTCAATTCATAGTAATTAACGGTGAAGTAAAATCGGCTGATAAACTAATAAAAACGAAATGATACTGAACAGTTGCTATATTAGAGTTGTGCGGAGAATCCTCCCTAGTCATATCTTACGGTATACATGTAGTCATACAACCGTACGGTTTTACTGAATTAAATCAGTAACGTCAGTGTCCTCCAACTTCAGCTAATTCCTGTACAGAAAATGTTTTCAGATTTCCCCTATAGTAAATACAAGTAAACTATTCGGTTAAGAATTTTACATTAAAACTATTGCAGTAACAAATAAACAGACTGGTTCACTAACTAGACTTTCAGTTGCAACTCGATTACCTAAAATACATGTTGTATGTTGCAGGCTGTATTATTTTATTATTATTATTCCCTTGGGTTCCTAGTCGAACATAGGGCTTCAACTACACATCTCCACCTGCTTCCCTCTTCTGCTGTACTTTTCACCTGCATCCATGTCAATCCATACTGTTTCAACTCCTCTTCACACGATCTCCTTCATGTCACCCTTGAACGTCCCACTCGCCGCTTCCATTTCGGGTTCCAATCGAGCTATGGCCTGACGCGCGATGTCACCCAGCGGCCTCCTCGACGAGTGTCCAATCCATCTCCACTTCCTCCTGCATATTTGTTGGGCGATTGGTTCTTGTTTTGTTTGTTCCCATAGTTTCTTGTTGGTGATTCTTACCGGCCATCTGATCTTCAGTATAGAACGAAGACAGTTGTTGATAAAGGTCTACTTGAAACCTGTTGGAAATATTCTTTGTGGCCCGCCGTCAAGTTTCTGATCCGTATAGAAAAACTGACTGACTTGACGTTTGTATTGAAAATCCGAATTTTGTTGTTGATGCTGAGTGACGAAGATTTCCAGATTGGTTTTAAGTTGATGAATGTGTTTCTCGCCTTTCCGATTCTCGATTTGACATCCTCGTCCGTTCCTCCTGTATATGAGACAATGCTCCCTAGATCATTGAAGTGAATGAAGTAACCCCTTTCAAATCCCTCCCGTTGATGGTGATTGGCGCTGGATGTTGCTGTTTTTGTTGCTGTTGGTTGGTTATTTTCATAACCTCCGTCTTGTCTATGTTCACCTGGAGTCCTGTCTTTGCTGCTTCTTCGACCAGTTTGTTGTTTTTCGCTTGTAAGTCTTCGATTTTGTGTGACATCAAACATAAATCATCCACGCGCGAGATCCAGGTCTAGGTTCTTCACGTCGGTCTAGGATATCCCTGTCTTCTCGTTTCCCACTGTCTGACGCATAATCCAGTCCACTACAATTAGGAATATCATTGGTGATAATAAGCACCCTTGTCTGACTCCTGTGTTTACTCCAAACGCTTCGCTGAGTTTTCCGTTGTGGATCACTTGACATGTGCCGTTGTCGTACAGCTGTTGAATAAGGCAGGCTGCACTATTTTATTATTATTATTCCCTTGCATTCCGAGTGGAACATAGAGCTTCAACAACACATCTCCACTTTGTTCTGTTTTCTGCCGTCCTCTTTAGCTTGGTCCACCATTGCCTACAATCTCTCTCATCTCTACCTCACATGATCTCCACCATGTCAACCTCACACTGACGACCCACTGGTCGCTTCCCATTGGGATTCCACTCGAGCGATGACCTGGAGCGCGATGTCGTTTGACAGTCGCCTAAACATATGCCTGATCCCATCTCCATTTTTTCCTACATATTTGTTGAACGACCGGCTCCTAGTTGGTTGTTCCCAGCCAGAGTTTCTTATTGCCGATTCTTTCTCGCCGAATATCTGATCTTCAGTATGGAGCCAGCCAGCAAAGGAGATACCTGCTGATGAAAGTCTGCAGCAGGCTGTTGCAAATGCTTTTCATGATGGATACGCCAAGTTTCTGACCTGTATAGAAGAACTGACTGACTGACTTCACATTCATGTTGAAAATCCGAATCTTGTTCTTGATGCTGGCTGAGTTAGTGCAGAAGATTTCCAAACTGGTTTCACGTTGATGAAGACGTATCTTGCCTTTCCGATTCTGACTGGCTGGCTGTATTTGACATCTTCGTCCGTCCCGCCTGTAGTTAAAACGATGCTTCCTAGATAAGTGAAGGAGGTAACCTCTGTTAAATATCTCCTGTTGATGGTGATTGGTGCTGGTTGTTGTTACTGTTGATTTGTTATCTTCATCACCTCCGTCTTCTTTGTGTTCACTTTGAGTCCTGTCTTCGCTGTTTCTCCTGACAGTTTGATGGTTTTCGCCTGCAAGTCTTTGAGTTTATGTGACATTAGACAGATATCATCTACGAAGTCCAGATCTTCTTGAGTCTTCTCATTGGTGGTCCAGCGTATTCCTGTCTCCTCGCTCCCAACAGTCTGACGCATAATCCAGTCCACTACAATTAAGAATATCATCGTTGGTGATAATAGGCAGCCAGCTTGTCTTACTCCTGTATGCACTTCGAACGCCTCGCTGAGTTTTCCGTTGTGGATCACCTGACACGTGGCATCGTCATATAGCTGTTGAATGAGGTTGAGAAAGACTTGAGGTACTCCATAGTGTTGAAGTAGTTTCCAAATTGCATCTCGGTCTACACTGTTGAAGGCCTTTTCGAAGTCGACGAAGTTGAAGTAGAGGTTTGACTGCCATTCTATGCTTTGTTCGATGACAATCCGTAGAGTTGCAATTTGATCAGCCCATGATTCCGTGATAGAGGAGTTCTGTATCCAGTGCATCCTTTATTCTCTCGAGGATGATGAGACTTAGTATTTTATTTGGCTGTAATCCACACTTATTATCTAACGGCTGATGAAACTACTCATTTACCCAGAGTGAAATAAGCGGGACGAGACGGGACATGAACCTGAAACCCACTAACTGAATCTTGATTGGTTAATCCGACGAAACATACATCCACTCAGTGATGGAATCGACTATTAAATGTGTTATTGGATTTTGACTATTCATTTATCCAATTGGTTGGATGAAAAATGTAACTAGTGACACTGACTAAATCCTACCAGTCAGCTTGCGATGTGGCCACCAATCTAAGAGATTCAGTATTATGATGAACTTTCTGAACTAATGTCAGTTGATTGGAGGTGGTCGGCAAGGAGCCATAGACCTAGTCTTCGTGCTTATTGATACTTATAAGTAAGGTCTATCTGCGACCCCACTGACCGATAAGTACAACCAATGACAGTCCTGCAGGAGGTCTGTCGTGAGCCTGTAAAGCCTAGTGATAACATTCCTGACTACAGCACTGAATGACACTGGTTTTAATCTCCAAATGGGACGTTAGTTGTTTCATTTTTATTTACAAAGTAGATGTGTGCATTATGGGAAAGAAAATAACACAAACCGAGGTATTTGAGAAATTACATCATAGATACATTCAGACAAAGCAATAAGAAGACGTAATTTGTCTGAATCGTGTGTCACATCCCACAGTATTTACCAATTTGAATGTACATGTGGCCACATATACATAGGGAGGACTCATTGATCTCTGCAAGTAAAGGATGGCTTCAGAGCATATTCCTAAATGGCTCCAGAAACAAATAGAATCCTCAGAACCCATTAATGGTGAGAACAGGAGACCTAGCTCCTCTATTGCGAAACATATTATAGAGACAAGATATAAAATTGACGTTAACACATCCTTTAAACCTATCTATAAAACGTGTTTGGGGCGTATCCTAAAGTTTGTAGAACCCCCAGCTGGCAATTAGAAAGTTTAAACCACCTTTATGCGTTCAAAGCAACAATTCGTCATCACACTAAACCTTCCTTGGTAAACTTTGTTTTGATACCATAGCAGATGTACTATTACCTCTGTTATTTGGTTTAGTGATCTTCATTGTTATTTTGACCTTCAATATGTCCTTTTAACTTGACCTAAGTCTATTTTCTCACCTCTTAACTCTTTATTAATTTCATATATATTCATTCCTATGACAAGTCCGTGTGTGATCAGACTGTTCGAAATGTGTTGCGCAAATGCATTACACGATTCAGACAAATTACGTCTTCTTATTGCTTTGTCTAAATTCATAAAAGGAACTAATTGTTTTAAATAGATACATTCGTTTATCTGCTTATGGAGAATGGAGTAATATAGTAAGAAAAATTAGGATTAGGCATTAAGTTTTATGAAAGCGAGGTAAGCCAGTCGAAGAAATTGTGAATCTTCATTGACCGATGAAGCTTAGACGCATACTATTCATGCTAGGCCACTCGCCTTCGTTCAGAAACAATGTTAGTTGTGGGTGGTTAGATCGAAATATGTGATGAGTCCTTGAAATCATTGACTGCGTGACCTTCAATCCAAGTATGACGAAATGTACAGCCTGGAATCAACTGCTAGCTATCATCCACCAAATAATATCGATATTAGATCATACTGTTTACTGAGTGACTGATTGACTGACTGAAAACAACACTTAATCCCGTTATAATATTTTTGTAACTAACTTTGTACGTGTCAGGTGATCCACAATGGAAGATTCAGCTAGGCATTTGAAGTGATTACAGGAGTAAGACAAGACTGACTACTATCACGCACTATGCTATTTCTAATTGTGGTATACTGGATTATGAGTCAGACTGTGGGAAGCAAGAAGACAGGAAGACGCTGAACCGACGAGAAGATTCTAGAAGATTTGGATTCCGTGGATGATTTATGTCACATGTCACATAAAATCGAAGAGTAACTAACAAGTTTGAAGAGGAAGCAGGCAGCAGAGACAGGAATTCAGGTGGACATGGAGAAGATGGAGGTGATGAAGATAACCATAGACCGACAACAACAACAACAACAACAACAGCAACAAGCACTAATCACTATCAACGGGAGAGATTTGAAAGAGGTTACTTCCTTCACTTATCTAGCTGTGCAGCATCGTTTCAACTACAGGCGAGAACTCAGATGAGAATGTCAAAACCAGGCAGGATCGGAAAGGCAAAGACAGACTGTCATCATTATGAAATCAGTTTGGAAATCTCATGAACTCCACAACATAAAGAACAAAATTCGGATTCTCAGCACCAACGTGAATTCAGTCAGTTCTTTCATATTGGTTAGAAACTTGTAGTGTGCATCACGAAAAGCATTTCCAACAGGCCACAGCAGCTTTCATCAACAGCTACCTTCGCCGGCTCCATACTGAAGATCAGGCGGTCAGAAGGAATAAGCAACAAGAAATTTTGGGAATGAACCGATCAGGAGCTTATTGTCCAAAAATACGTAGAATAAAATGTAGACGGATCGGGAACACACTGAAGAGACCGTCGAATATCGTCGCACGCCAGGCGATCGCTCGAGTGTAACTCAGAAGGGAAACGATGAGTTGTGCATAGGTGTGAGAGTGATATGGAGGAGATGGTGCGAGGATGAGATCAGACATTATTGGCAATGGTTGGGGCCAGCTACAGAGGACCTCAGAGAATTTGATAAAGTGGAGGTGCGTCGTTGAATCCACTCGGAACCCAAGGAAACAATAGTTATACAATAATAATAATAACAACAAAGACTTACTTTGGTGGTTCTAAATGAGGATTTTCATTTGGATCTTCACGTGCTTTACCAGCTGGTCGAAGTTCAGCCTCTCCTTTTGTTACCAATTCCATTTCCATCTCAATTTTACCCTGGATTTATAAAAGTGAAGACAAAAACAAAACAAAATAAATTTGTTACTATTGTTGGTATCATTTACATTTTATGCAATTATTTAAAATACTTTTAAATCAAATTGTAATTATGCACTAATAAAGGGGAAATCAGTCAATTCTTCTAATTAGTATAAAAATCACTTCATTCTTATAAGAACAGAACTTATGCACTGTGGTAGAGTATACTTCCATTATGGGTAGAATTTATTTTGATAAAGTCACACAGTGTTATACAGTAGTATTTACTGATGACCACGTTTCGAGCACAATTTATTACCGCTCATAATCATATCAAGACACTACTCACACAACTTTCTAACTTCATTTATATAATTCCATCATTATTTTTCATCGCTTGATTTGATTGGTAGTAATATTTTCCATATTTCCGGTATGAATTATAAGTCATTCCTTTTGTACGTGTTGAATATAGATTCTATGAACAAGGATTCAGTAATCAACCTCTCTCTCCACCTACCTATATTACTTCTTAGAATTTTAACCATTTCCCACTCTATTGTGTGTGCGATTGCTGAGCTTTTTTGTAAATTACTTATCTTCGTGGGGTCAACCATTCCAACCTTAGCTAAATTCTTATGTTTCGGCAATCTGACTATCCCCGATCTACTGGTTTGACCCATGTAGTTGACCTGACAGCAATTGCAAGGTATTTTGTAAATTGCATTATTTTGTCTGACTGGGTCAACTGAGTCCTTGAACCTACAGACCTTGTCCTACCTGAGTAAGTTTGTAGTTTGAAATGCCACTCTAATTCTTGCTTTGTTGAGAATCCTTCGTAGGTTCTCAGATGTGGCACCCTTATATGGTATAACAGTAGATGACTTATATTCTCTCTTATTTATGTTTTCATTATTAGTTTCATAATTATTTTTATTTTGCTTTTGACTCTTTGATCTTCCTAGTGAATTTTATAGGATAGTTATTTGACACCAACGCTTCTTCTATCTGTTTCACTTCATCATTTAGGTCTTTCCTTGTACTACTAAGCGCTACTGCTCGGTTTTTTAGACATTTAAGTAAGCCTACATTTACAGACAACAGATGAGAGGAATTAAAGTCTAAATATCTATTAGAATGCGTTGGATTTTATAATCGATGGTGTGTAGTTTACCTTCTTCTGTTCGTTTTATTTTACATTCTAACATAGCTAATTCTCCTTGTTCATTTTCCGATTCAAATATGAATTTTATTCCCTCTACTAGTGAGTTTATGTGTCAAGAAGCTAGAGATATGTTCTGTTTTTAACACTGTGAAAGTGTCATCCACATATCTCCATCATATTTTTGGAGTGGGATTACATGAATTAAGAGCAATATTTTCCCAGCTGTCCGTATAGATATCTGCTACGATAGGTGATATTGGTGATCCCATTGCTACACAGTCTGTTTGTCTATATATTTTGCCTTGGAATTTAAAGATAGTAGATTTGAGGCATAACTGAATTCCTGAAATAATTTCTTCAGTGGGGAGCTTCAACCTATGAGTAAGTTCAGGATCTGCAATTAGTTCTCTTTTAACTGCTTCTAAGGCTGCTATATTGATTGGTATATTCGTGTAAATACTAGTTATATAAAAAATAACCATTGTTTCATCATTCTCTAGTTGAATGTCACTTAATATAGAAGTAACAGCAGAATGATCTCAAAAAATTTTGTAATTCACAAAAATAAGCACAGAGCAATACCTTTCTCTGCGTTGAAAGAAAACAATAACTTACAGTAAGTAGCGGTGTACCGCTTTCTTCATTAATAAATGGCCAATATCCATTCAATCGTCGACATTCAAATAAATTAACCATTTTCGTTTCATTCCCTACCGATTGTAACATATTCAGTGCACATTTACTACGTGATTTAGCTGGACTAGGCATATTTGACAGATTTAATTCTAATGTGCCTAAAAAGTCATCTGGTGAGAATAGATCATTATCCCAGATTTGTAAAACTAATTGTGGTCGTACACGTTGTTCAGTAACATCCAATGACCAAAAATGTTCTTTACGCTTAATAACTATATTATTTTCAGCTGGCAGGTAGAAAAATGGAAATACAAAACGCCAATTGAAATTTCCTTCACCATTCAATGATCTATAATGAACATCAGTTTTTTGACGATCGTCTAAACCAGCTAACCATCCCTGAAAAAAATAAAAAAGTTTTATACTACTAGTAAGTAACTTGAATAGGATAAGTAAAATATTTGACAATTAATGATTAATTAACTACAAGTGGTGTAGAATTTGATCTTGGTAGTATTGTCGACGTCATGGCTTATATTTCTAATGGATAGGATCTAGAAGTTATCCTACTGAAAACATAAGGAATGTCCTAGGTAGCCTTGGATTGTATCACTTACTTTTATCAAAATCCCTTACTGCAGTTGAAGAAAGTTAGAAACAAACTTCAAACAAATCCAATCCCTACAAATTAACTTTTGAAAACTGATCTGATTTCCACTAATGACCACCTACAAGACGCAGTTGTCTGAAGTGTTAGTGAGAAGTCGTAACAAGCTGGAGCTAACCAGATCGGTTGTGAGGACAAATGTTCACCGAAGACACTGGCTGTCAGTCGTACCAAAATCGCGGATTGACAGAAATTAAAATTCATGGTCCATTTGATTCCAGCTCAAGTGACTGAATGACTAACGAGCCCACCTCGTAATCTGGAGGTTCTAGGTTCAATCCCTGGTGGGGTTGTGTGGATGCTTACTGTTGAAGAGTCCCAAACTAGAACGGAACAGCTGTGTAGTACTCCTTGTTGGTTTTCGGCCACTCTCTAACTGTGATCAATCCGGTATCAAACTTGAAATCAGACAGATATCTACAACCTAACTCTTGAGAAATAAGAAACTATTTGCCTAACGAATATTTCTTTTCAGAGTATAGTGAAGATTAGATTTATTGGGTTGTTTGAAAGCTGAAGTGTCGCCAGCAGACTGCATGATATGGCTGATAGCTCATGTCCGCATACCGAAAGCAGGAATTCATGTCATCAAGAGTCTTCAACCAGTAATTCCCTTCCGGTTAAACAACCTAATCTTCTGTACTTAAGTAGGAAGTAGAACGTTTAAACATAAACCTTAGGTTAAATGAAGAAGGCGGTATATGAGTTTATTTATCATAGTATACCTTAAAAAATATAAAATAATAACGCGTGTTTCACATGCAGCTAAACTGTTACGTAATTTGATGACTTATCAATCAGTTTTCTTTCTGATAACTGTACTCAAGTCATCTGAATATATCAATCTTCGTGACTCATTTCACTTAGATTCACATTTACGAGAGGTTAGACTCTGAATAACCAAAAGCACTTGCTAACTAGCTAATGTGTGTTATTCCTACACTTAAATGAATTTAAGTAGTATAAATACGCATATGATATATTCACAATTATATTTCCAAATCGACGAATCTACTGTGCACTCTTGAATATGCTGCTCTGAATTATTATTATTATTGTTCCCTTGGGTTCCTAGTGGAACATAGGGCTTCAACTGCACGCCTCCACTTGCTTCTGTCTTCTGCTGTACTTTTCACCTGCATCCATGTTAGTCCATAATGTTTCAATTCCTCTTCACACTATCTCCTCCATGTCACCCTTGCACCGACGAACCACTCGCCGCTTCCCTTTCGGGTTCCACTCGAGCACTGGCCTGACGCGCGATGTCACCCAGTGGCCTCCTCAGCGAGTGTCCAATCCATCTCCACTTTCTCATGCATATTTGTTGAGCGATTGGTTCTTGTTTTGTTTGTTCCCATAGTTTCGTGTTGGTGATTCTTTCAGGCCATCTGATCTTGAGTGTAGAACGAGGACAGCTGCTGATAAAGGTCTGCTTGCAACCTGTTGGAAATATTGTTTGTGACCCGCCAAGTTTCTGATCCATCCGTATAGAAGAACTGACTGACTTGACGTTTGTATTGAAAATCCGAATTTTGTTGTTGATGCTGAGTTGAGTGACGAAGATTTCCAGATTGGTTTCAGGTTGATGAATGTGTTTCTCGCCTTTCCGATTCTCCATTTGACATCCTCGTCCGTTCCTCCTGTAGTTTAGAAAATGCTCTCTAGCTAGATAAGTGAATTAAGTAACCTCTTTCAAATCCCTCCCGTTGATGGTGATTGGCGCTGGATGTTGCTGATGCTGTTGTTGTTGGTTGGTTGGTTGGTTAATTTCATAACCTCCGTCTTGTCTATGTTCACCTGGAGTCCTGTCTTCTCTGGCTGCTTCTTCGACCAGTTTGTCGGTTTTCGCTTGTAAGTCTTCGATTTTGTGTGACATCAAACATAAATCATCTGCGAAATCCAGGTCTTCTAGGTTCTCCACGTCGGTCCAGGATATCCCTGTCTCCTCGTTTCCCACTGTCTGACGCATAATCCAGTCCACCACAATTAGGAATATCATTGGTGATAATAAGCACCCTTGTCCGACTCCTGTGTTTACTGCAAAAGCCTCGCTGAGTTCTCCGTTGTGAAAGTCATGATGAAATATTGAAAGACCCTTCATATTTGAGCGCTATAAATACATACTTGAATGCTGTCAGTGACAATAATAATATTGTAGTTTTGTAAAGACAACGAATTAATTTCACTGTTGATTTCCTCACAAACCAACATGAGTTACAGAATCACTGAAAAACCCAAGAGTACTGGACAGCTATTTCATCAGTGAATCAGTGAACACCCAGAATACCACCAAGGATGTAATTTGGGACCTTCAGGTTACATGTTTAACTCGTTAAAAATGTTCGGCTACTTCGGCTGGAGTTTAATGACCAACAGTGTCAAGACGAACTGGATGCCTATAGACGACAACAGTTGATGATAGGGCTATGTCACAAATTGACAGAGGTAGAATTCACTGCCCAGCTGAGTGAATGGTCAACGAGCTGGTTTCGTAACGTGTAGATCCCGGGTTCTATCCCTCATAGAGGTGGGGTAGGTGCATGCTCTCTGTTGAAGTGTCACAAACTAAGAAGAAGAAGTAATAATCATAATACTAGTAGTAATATAAGAGTTGTATTCAACTGAATTATTTACCTTTACATAAATATCAGACATTCGTTCACCAGTTATCGATTTCTCATCTAATACAACATCGAATGTATTCCATACAACTAAGCGTAGTACATATTCATTTGGTTGCCTTGGTGAAATATCAAACGGTGGACCAGGGTCACCCAATACAGTTGGAAAGATATCAACCCACATTTGTAATTTACCCTGGAATAAATAAATAAATAATAAAATGAAGTTAATTACTCAACGAAATAAATAACTCTGAACATTAGAATAAATGAAAGCGAATAATTCTGGTGTTATTGAGGGGCTGGGTAAATCGTTCACATTTCCAAAAGACGAAATTCTTTTATAATCGATAGCAATAAGTCTACGTGTGCAGTTAACGTCCTTAGATGGTATAATCATTCAGTAAATGATATGTGTATCATCTTGATGTAGTTGTGTTCTCTGAGCCGGATGGTTTATTTGCGAAGCTTCAAATGACATTAATTTTGTCAAATATGCTGACGATCTGTCTGTATCTTTGCCTGTCAAATGTCAAAGCGACTGCTCTAAACTTAATTGCTTTCTGTCAGAAATCAGCCAGTGGTCCAAGGAAAACGGTCTTACCTTAAACCCCTCCAAATGCCAAACAGTCAATTTCACATTTAGGCATAAATCCGATCTAAACAAACTGGTTGGCTCTCACGAGGTGCGCAACATAGATGGCACTGAAATAGAAACCAAGTTGGAAAGTCAATACCTAGGCATCATTCTATCTGCTGATCTCTCCTGGTCGTCTCATATCTTAGCAATTTCTAAGAAAATATTCCGTCTTATCTTCTATATCAAGAAGTTAAAACATTCTGGTATAACCCAACCCTTACTCCTACAATTCGTTAATTCTCGCATCCTGCCTATTATTCTCTAATGTTCCCCCTTAGTTTTTCCCGGGCTACTGAAGAAAGACTATAACATATTACGCAGGATGTTAAAGGTTGTCAGCAGGGTAAGCAACGTGCCACTTAACCAGCTTGTTAATATTCTGGTCGACAGGCACATGGACTCCTGTGAGAAATGGGCCAAGTCCATTTTATCTAACTCACACCACCCTCTTCACTCACAACTCTCCCCTTGCATCTCATCAGGCAAAACCAGAAGCCAATATAGAAAACTATATGCTCGCACCAGCAAGTACAAAAACTCAACCATACCCTACTTAGCTCGTGTTCTGTGTGATAAAGAAAGCATTAGACGTGACACCTATAATTCATTAATTAGTCAGTAGAACAACTGGATCTCGTCTTACCAACTCATATCATCAATAGGTACAACATTTTCTTTCTTTCCTTTCCTTTCCTCTCTATCTTTTTTTTCCGTTATGTGCTTCATTGTTTCTTTCTCTCGCTTATGCCAGTTAATAAGACAGCCCCCACTTTTCTAACACCTTCAAACACTTTTTCAGCTTTACCTTTGCCACCGACATGCCAATATATTGTTGTAATAATGAACTGTGGTTTCCTTAATCTATGTAAAATTCTATTTATTGATAATGTACTAACTGGATGCAATACTTTAGTAAAAATGCTGAGAATTCCATTCTGTATCACATGTACTGTTTTGGAATAAAGCAAATTATTATTAAGCTTTCAGTGCCCCCTACTAGACAACATCTTCAGCACAGGGAGCTTTCTTAAATTTCTCCACTAGTTTACAAGTCATTTCTCCTAGTGACCTCGAATGTGATTGGTTGTTTTTGTGTATTTTCATACCCTCTAGGCTACCTATATTGGTACTGATTGTTTTCTTGACCTGATGAGTGATAGAAATGCGTCTCCCTGTAACCATCTTTACATATGTATTGATCATCTTTTTATTGACTCGGATTTTAAACTTTCTCGTCATTTGATTTATTTTTTATCAGTTGCTATGTTTTTGTTAATCGCATATTCGAATCAGAATCCAGGAACACAAATCAGCTGTGAAATGACATGATATATATATTCTTTCATATCAATGCATATAGATAATTATGGACATCAGTTTGATTGGGATAATGTCGAAATTTTAGACAGAGGAAACACCAAAAGTGCAATCAGGGAATTCCTAGAAGCCTGCTACTCAAGTGAATCAGCGATTAATAAACATGTTAATATAGACCAAATATACCAACTAATAAAAAGTAAATCATGTGACGAGAAAGTTTAAAATCCAAGTCAATAAAAAATGATCACCGGGAGACGCAATTCTATCACTCATGGGAAATTTAAATCAGTTAACTTTATGCTAAAAATTGCGCTGAAGGGGGATGTTGTGGAGGGGGGTGACGACGAAAGCTCCGCAACTAAACCAACCAGCTCAGAGAACACTACTAATTGCAAAATACCTTTTTCTGTTATCTAGTTAGAAGATGATTGAAGCTGAAATAGAAATCTTCGTTGAGGTAAGATTTTTATCAACTGTCTCTCAATGAATTCCATATTAGATTGGTTTATTTAATTCAGAGCCCTTTTTCATTCCTCTGCCTACCTAGTAAAACATAGGGACTTAAAGCTTGAGCATCCAAAGTTTCAGTAGAGGTGAATTTGTTTTCATGGTATAAGGTTACTAGCTTTACACCCAACCCACTGAGCCTACAACCGGATAAATGAGGTTTAGGTGGACACTTGATGGAAATCGAACTCGGAACATGCCAGCAGTTGGTGAGCATTCTAACACTGAACCGCTGATGCACAAGTCTGTACAGTGTTTTTTATTTATATGATGTTTTCAGAGTAATAAATGTTGACAATAAATTCATGATATCATTTGACGTATATTCCTTATTCACCAGCGTATCACTTATGGAAACAGTGGACTTTGTATGCGAAGAACTCATGAGACGAAACATCGATGTTGGCATTCCTATATCTTTCATGAAAGAGCTTCTCTTGAAATGCACAATGAATGTCAACTTTTTATTTAATAAGGAACTATATAGACAAATAGATGGTGTGGCAATGGGGTCACCATTAGAACCCATTCTAGCTGACATTTTTGCCTTGCGAAACGAGAAAATGGGCCTTTGAAAGATGTTATTGATGAACTTGAATTCTATTGTCGGTACATGGATGGTACATTTTTGATTACGAAAAATGAGGAATAAGCAAAGAACAATCCTGGATAAATTTAACGAGGTTTATCCTGCAATAAATTTTACTACTGAGAAAGAAAACGGCTCTAGTATTTCATTTCTAGACGTTCTTATGACCAGAAAAGAGGATGGCGCAATAAGAAGAAGTGTATATAGAACACCTGCATCAACGGGTCAGTATGCTCATTTACTCAGCTTCGTGCCCTTGAAATACAAACGCAATCTGATAAAGTGCTTGGTTCACAGAGCAAGAGCAATTTTCTCGAATGAATATCTTGATGAGGAACTTAATAATATATTAAATGGTTGCTGGGTTAAAACGGCTATCCAGAAACGTTTATTGATAAGAATATGAATCTAAAATCAAAGCAGCCCAAAGTACCAACAGTTCCAAAAAAGCCTTATTCTTACAAATGCAGTTCCCTGGAGACAACATCAGGGAGATACTTACACAGTGTCTGAGAAATACAGTAAAAAGAGCATTCTCTGCTGCCGAATTACTCTGCGTCTTCAAAACCACTCCTCTTTCGCGTTCAAGAGTAAAAGACAAACTGCCTAATTTTGCCTCTTCAATGTGTATCTACCAATTTAACTGCTCCTGTGGAGTGAGCCAGTTACATAGGCCGTACAATTAGGCATGTTTCTCGTCGGATTTCCGAACATCACCCTGCATAATGGTTAAGTAAAGGACAAACAAAATCCATTCACATAGCGCTATTCTATCTCATCTTGTGGATACAGAACACAAGATTGATATCCATCAGGCTTTCTGAGTCATTTGGCGCATACTAACAAATCCTAACTTCGCCTTGAGAGTTCGATTGTTAAATATTACTGAGGCTGGCCGTTGGAATCCACATTAAGAAGCCTAATTTATGTATCCAAAAGAAGTTAGTTCAGACATTATCCTTACCTTGGCCATCTAGGTTTGAATGATCCTGAATTTTTGTGGAATTTTCCTAATTTTAGTTGATATTTTATTTGCTACTATATCTTTGTTATTATTATAATTTAAGCATATTTAATGAACTGTAATTTCATTGATCTCATTTTACAAATCGATATTATTCAAGAAACACTGATATTGTTATTGACTACTATTCTAGAATATTCTATGTATATAAACATGCATATATAATTGTAGAGCAAGAAGAGGAAATTATCGAAAAGGATATTCTTTGCTCAATTGTTTTGTGTTTTATAGTAATTAATTTCCCGCAGTTACATCAAAGACGTTTCACTGTCGAACTAGACAGCTTAATCACTCGCCGTTATATCGCGGTTATTTAACTGTTCTGAATATAGATAAATAAACTTACTTGTTCAATATTAGGCTGAAGTGGACTAAACAGCATTCTCGTTTCAACATGCTCTTTTACCAATGGAAGTTTATTTAAAATATGCAAAGCCAGACGTTCTTTTGGTGGACCTAAATGTGGATTAGGCACCATACCACGTTCAAAATCTTCTAGGACAAATACGCGTTGACCAACACGACAACTTGGACTTGGTTTAATTTCTGTCGGTTCTTCATATTGTGGTGCTGGTAGCGCATAACTATCGCATACAGCTAGCAGAATTTCACTTGGCAATTTTGAATCTCTCCATTGATTTGGTCCAGATATACAATAAGATTGTGGTAAACCACATGTAGCACGATATTTTGTTAAACGTCTATTCTCTAAGTCAATATATGTCTGTCCAATGATATCATCTGCACCGACAGCATCATAATCTTTGACAATAACATGTAGATCTTTTTCAATTGGTAGAAGACATTTCAGCTGGAACATTCTGAAGTAGGATAAATACAAGATATGTGGAATGAAAGGTGGGATCAGGTTACTCAAAGATTAATTAGTAAACAGACTTACCAAATGAAATTACTGTTCACTAAGATTTAAAGATGGGGAATAGATTGCTAGCGACCTTTCAGTAATGTATGTCAAGTGCATTATAGACTGTAATCTGGTTTAGTTAGGTTTGTAAAAGAAATTCTGCTTTATTATTATTATTATTGTATCCTTTAATTCCTACAGGAACATAGGGCTTCGGCCGTGCGTCTCCATTGCGTTCGGTTCTCTGCTAGAGACTTCACCTGGCTCCATATCTGCCTACACGTTTTCATCTCCTCTTCACATAACCTCCTCCAAGTCACCCTTGCACTGACGACCAACTCGCTGCTTCCCTTTCGGGTTCCACTCGAGCGATGGCTTGTCTAGTGATGTCACTTGATGGTTTCCTCAGAGTATGGCCAATCCATCTCCATTTCTTCCTGCATATTTGTTGCACAATCGGTTCCTGCTGGGTTGGTTCGCTCATTCCAGAGATCTCTGTTGCTGATCTTTTCTGACCATCTGATCTTGAGTATTGAGCGAAGACAACTCTCAATGAAGGTCTGTAGTTTGTTTGAGATGCTCTTTATGACGCGCAGTGCAAGTCTCTGATCCGTATAGTAAGTGCACTGACTACACATTGGAGTTGAAAATCCGGATATTATTTTTGATGCTGAGTGTTGTTGACATCCACACAGACTTGAGAGTAGTGAAAGCTCGTCTTGCTTTTCCGATTCTTGCTTTGATATCCTCGTCAGGTCTGTCCGCCTGTAGTTGAAACGATGCTTCCCAGGTAGGAGGTGGTAAAGGAGGTTGTTTCTTCCAGGTTCCTCCCATTTATGCTGATTGTTGTCAGTTGTTGTTGTTGCTGTTGGTGGTGCCCAGGAATCTTCATCACCTCTGTTTTCTCTATGTTCACCTGAAGTCCTATCTTTGATGCTTCTTCTGCCAACTTGTTGCTTTTCACTTGCATATCTTTCAATTTGTGGAAATCAGACATACATCATCGGCGAAGTCCGGATCCTCCAAGTTTTTTGTGTGAGTCCATTTTATGGCTGTTTCCTCATTGCCGGCTGTTCGTCGCATTATCCAATCTACTGCAATCAGGAATATCATTGGCGATAGTAGGCAGCCTTGCCTTACTCCTTCTTTACTTCGACGGATTCGTGAGTTGTCTGGATGAGATAATTGTCGGTGGCACCCCGTAGTAGCGAAGTAGTTTCCAAATCACCTCTCGATCGACTCTGTCAAAGGCCTTTTCAAAGTCGATGAAGTTGAGATAACTAGATTCTAAACAGTTATCTAATCTTCACGATAAACTGTAAATTTTTTCAAGTGCTGATTCACAGGAATTTGATTGTTTACAAGTTTGATCTCGAGATGACATCAGTCATGTAAGACAACAGTAAATCGTCGATGACACTGACTAGCGGTTGCGCTATATATAAATATACCTGAAACTGGCAGACGTTGGAGTTCATGAGCCATTGAATCAGGTCTACAAGCTCGCCTTGTAACCGGAACGTCCTGGGTTCTAAACCCGGTGAGTGAGTACTGATGAAGAATCTCAAAGTGGGACGAAACAGCTATCCAGTACTCACTGTTGGTTTTCACTGTTTCTCTAACTAACGTTAACTCGTGATCGAACCTGTGAAATTTATGTTAACATTTACTTATTTTCTCTGTGCAGTTAAATTCACAAGCTTAAAAATATCTGATTATGAGTGATTTGATAAAGATGAACATTTAAAACAAACTTATATGAGATATACACTGGTGATGTATTCAAGTGATACTGTGGTGAGAGCTTTCTGCCAGCGGAAATTGTAAACAACAATTCACGTCCATGTTTACGTCCCAAATCGGGATCATGAGAAAAAACAAGAACAGAGATTAACTCAACAGCCAATCACAGCAGACTTTGCGTGGGCGTATACGATTAGCAGATATATCACCGGGCTGTCTAAGAAACAGCAACAAAGAGATGACAGAATAACCTTGAGCAGGAAAACAACCAATCAGAAGACGTTGCTTCTCTGCTAATAATAACGAATAATAATGTACATAAAAATCTATAAATATCTGTTGATTTTCTCAATAAACGATCTGTTGCTTGGCCCTTGTCTTCTGTTGTTACAATACAACATACACCGGATAGGCTGTCAAGTGTAGTCCGAGCAGAAAGCGACAGGTTGAGGGTCGAAGAGTGACATGGAGGAAATGAAAGGTTGTAGGCAATCATACAGTCAATTGAAAGGAGCGGCAAAGAACAGAGATTTATGTTATCTTACCAACCGCCATGATGTCGATCTATTTGGCATTGATTGGGTTGATAAACTATCCTTTCGGGAAACACTTTTTCATGACATCGATTTTCATGAAATGATGCAAATGCTCTGTAAAATTTTAACAGGGATTAGCGGAAAGTCAACCCTACAAGCAATGATCTGACACTACTTCCAGGGGAAATATCTTAGATAAAGAGTTCACAGAACTACAAATATCTTCCGCTGGTCGCCCATCTGAAAATCTATCGAAAAGGGGAAGTATTAGGACAGACAACATATCGTTGTTAGTCGTAAAGTCATGACTGATGCAGTCAATTAGATGTGGATTATTTATTTGTGGTTTAAATTCCCGTGAATGTATAAACGAGATAATATACCGTGTATTCTGAATAAGAAAAAAGTTTTTCGCTGTTGTCACGCGTTGTAGCAGTTAAATCTGATTTTTGTGTCTATCTTAGTGTGGGAGAGTATTTTCAAGTGATCAGTTAGTTATAGTGTCGTGTGTCTGGAGGCGCATTGTAGTCAGGATAGACAACAATCAATAAAAACATTAACTCTCCTTTAGAACAGTTTTAACTCATCAACAATTAGATCAACAGAGTAGTAGTAAGTCATCTGAAAAGAAAAAGTGAAGTGGAAATATACAAATGGATATAAGAAGAGAACTTACTTTCCAAATTCAGGATTTAAAGTGTTTGGAATATATTTGTCCTTTGAGTTAATTTTATGCTGTCCAACAATAATTTCAACATATGGATCAGCCTAAATTTTTTAAAAGGGAATTAATAATATGAAATAAAAATTAAACAAGAAGAGGAAATAGTCAAATAGAATAAGAATTTATTCACTGGTTACAAGATTTCATCATGAGCTGACATTGGTTAGAGAATCATTGGAAAACCTGCAGGAAGTACTGGACAGCTGTTTCGTCCTAGTTTGGGACTCTTCATCAGTACGCACACACCGCCAGGGTTCGAACCCAGGACCTTCCAGTTACAAGGCCAGCCAGCTCATAGACCATTAAGCCACTGGGACCCGATCCAAGGCCTATGAATTCTAACTTCTGCCAATTCACGACATAGTGCGAGTATTTTTCCTCTCATCTGAACTACTCCACCCTACTGGTCATGACTTCCCACTAGAACCCCAGGTCCCAAACTAGGACGAAACAGCTCTCCAGTACTGTCTGCAGGCTTTCCAATGGTTCTCTCTAACCGATGTCAGCTCATGATGAAATCCCTTAACCAATCAATCAAATCCCTACAAACCAATACTTGAATTTTTTTAATAGTTCATTATGTGTCGACGAATATCGTGCTATGCACCTTTTTAATGCTAAGGCTTTACAGCAATGATTCAGTACAAGTAGTACTTAGTAGCATAATTTATATACATTTCAAGGCTTCATTAATAGGAAACATCACGCTTTCTAGGCTGAATTCATCAGGAACATTTCTAGACTGTCATCTCATAATTGTGTGCCTAACCGAATTAATGACTGCCAGATCTCAAGGCGAACACATTCAACTAGATGGCTGCTACTAATGAAACTGTTTCTCTCTCTCTTACCCTGCTTACTTCATGAGTAGTTAAATTCATATTGATTTTTGAGTTTACTAACATTTAATTGATTTCATACAAGAGAAACTTTCATTAATCTGAGATCAATAGTAAGATCTGCTGCACTCAGAATAAAGAACGAGATCCGGATCTTCAACAATAACGTCAAATTAGGGAATCACGCGAAGCATTTCCAACAGGCTGATGTAAACTTTTATCAACAGCTGTCTTCGCTAGACTCGTAATGAAGATAAGACGGCTCGTTTGGCATATGCCAACTTCCGCCATCTCTGGCTTAGTAGACGTGATATCCAGCTGTCAACCAAAGGGCTTGTGTAATACTCAGTAGTTCGGTCTGTCCTCATTTATGGCTGAGACATGTCCATTAAAAGTGGAAGACATGAGAGGGCCGGCTAGCTGTCTTTGATCATAGGTGTCTGCAGTATGTCTTCCATGTTAAGTGGTACAATAGAGTGAGTAATATTGAGGTTAGGCTTTGAGTGTTAGGCAAGAAGAGAAAGTCAATCGATGACGTTTTAAAGGTGAATGGATTAAAATGGCTAGGACATGTGTTACGCATGTCTGCTTAGCCATCGCTTTCATAGATGGAGAGTGTTAGCTGACATAGGATGGACCAGGTCGGAAAAGAGCTAGTGGTGGTCAAACCAAGACATGGCTTCATCAGTCAATGAAATCCACAACAGTTACTTTGAGCCATGTGGGAAGGTGTTGACTGCCTAGTTGGGGTCTTCGGGATGCTAAGAACCAATAAAGACTGGAGACAATTGGTGGGTGGTACTGCTCAAAGTGATCGTTGTCAACGGCTAGTTCAGATGCATTCGCTCTTTGTGATTTATAATATCCAGTAAAATTCTAATTGTTCTTCCATATTGCTATTCTTTTTGCCTCCCATTTCTATTTATTATCTCTCTGTGCTCTCTTCTCTTGCTTTGTGTACCACATGGAAGGAGAGTGGCAACTCGAAGTGCTGGACATATGTGCAAAGTTCTATGTTGAAACCAGTCAGTCAGTGGCCAAACAGAAAAGATAAGCAACAAGGAACTCTAACACCGAATTAACCAAGGATCTGTTGACTAATAAATATGCATAAGAATTAGAAATGGAGCGGACACACGTTGAGGAGGCTGTTGTGTAATATCGCTTGCCAGGCCCTTGTGTGGAACGCGAACAGGAAACGATGAGTTGCGCATGAGTGTGAGGGTGATATGGAGCAGATAGTATGAGGAGCAAATGAAAGCCTATGAACAATCATGGAGCCATAAAACATATAGCGATAGGGTATCGTTGGCGAGGGTCAGTAGAAGACTGTCGCTCCTTCTGGAACACGTGCGTAGACTCTGATTACGCTCTGGTTCGCGCACGTTTATGCTTACGACTAAATGGACATAAGAAATTGACGGCAGCGAAACAGTTACGTCCCCAACTAGATCGAGACACTGAGTCCTTATTTAAGGAAGAAATAGCGAAACGAGTTTCTGAGGTCGACAGCAGGACTTCCCCCGAGGTAGCCTGGCACAACATACAGTTAGCTGTAGACACAGCTGTAAAAGCTGTTAATAACCTGAAACCTAAAGTTAGTAAGAGCCATTGGATTTCTACCACCTCATCCGAACTGATTAAAGCAAGAAGACTGATTCCAGCGAGCTCCGATTATAATGAGGAGGGAAAGTTACTCAAACGCAAACTAACAAGAAGCCTTCGTAACGACCGTGAACAGTGGTGGGCGACAAAAGCGAAGGAGATGGAAAAGGCATCGGCGATTGGTAACACCAGACAACTATTTAGACTTATCAGGAAAATAGGTGGTGAAAGGCAAACGATAAGTGAAACAATCTCTGAGAAATATGGCACCATAATTAGCTCCCAGGATAGACGACTAGAACGTTGGAAAGAACACTTTGAGGAGCAGTTTAGTTGGCCTAGAGCCACACTCAACTTAATGAACATCCAACACCTCCCTGAATGGGATATAGACACATGTCCTTCGTCCCCAACTGAGGTTACTAAGGCTGTTACTAATCTGAAACGAGGCAAAGCAGCAGGACCTGATGGAATGACTCCAGAGGTATTTAAGTACGGTGGAGACAGTTTACTGCCAGCATTAACTAAGGGAATCAGAGGAAGTCCCGTCGGGTTGGTGTAAGTCATTGATTATCTCAGTATACAAGAAGCGAGACAAGTCTTCCTGTGATAATGACAGGGGGATTAGCTTGACTAATACGATATATAAAGTTCTAGGCTCAATAATAATGCGTAGACTAAGTGGTGCTCGGGAGGAACAAACACGAGAGAAGGGGGTGTATTGATCATATCTTCACCCTTCGATAGATTCTGGAACATAGGCATACTTACCGGCGTCCAACAGTCGTCATCGTTACATCGATTGAGATGGTTAGGACATGTGTTACACATGCATGCCTAGCCATCGCCTTCCTCGACATGGGCAATGTTAGCTAACATAAGGGTCAGGTTGGAAAAGAGCCAGTGGTGGTCAAACCAAAACATGGCTTCATCAGTCAATGAAATCCACAACAGTTAGTTTAAGCCATGTAGGAAGGTGTAGACTTCCTGGTTGGGGTTCTTGGGACGGTAAACAGCAATGGCTGGAGACAATTGGTGATATGGCCTCAAAATCGATCTAAATGGCTGGTGCAGATGCATCCACTCCTTGTGACTTATAATTTCCAATAAAACTATATTGTTCTTCGTTATTACTATTATTTTTGCCTCATATCTTTTTTTTAATTTTTTAATTTTTTATTTACAGCTTGATTCCACACCGTATTTTCAGTACAGGTGTGGAATTTTCAGCATGGATATCGGTAGCCCAAATTCAGGCCGACCATAGATATCGGGTGTGCGCCGGCAGGGGATCGAACCCCGGACCATGTGCATGGTCGGCGAGAGTCCTAACCACTGTGCCACCGACGCACACTGTTTACTATCTCTATTTTGCGTTTCTTTTTACTTTCTTCTCTGACTTTGTGTACTGGGTAAAGTGTGGTGACTTGAACTGCTGCACATCGGTGCAAAGTTCTATGTTGAAACCAGTCAGTCAGTAATCATGGAGCCAATTAAAAAACGACACCAGAATTGTTGGAGCCCTAAGTTTCGGTCGTAACCGAAGGGAATAATAATACATAATAATTCAAAATACAATTACTTACAAGTCCTGAAGCATCAGCTGGTTGTAAGTCAATTGCACGTATAACATAAACGCGTAGAACACATTCTTCAGGTTCTGAGGATACACTTAATTTCTCAAAATAACGTAGTGGTAGTTGTTCTTTTGGATCTTCTGGTAACGGATAAATTCGAAATGTGCCTTTAAATTCTCCAGCATAATTATCTTCATCTGCATCAACATTTTTACCTCGAGTTAAGGTAAATGTATTACAAAAATCCTTAAAACCATGAAAACCTTCAACTTCTTCCAATGGATGAGGATATACCTAAATAAATAAAAAAAAATACACACAATAAAGAGATTAATGAGTTGTGTTATTTGTATGTATGAAAGGCCGAAGAAATTCAACGCTAGCTTTGATATTGTATTGATATGGACTGGAGAATTATTACACACTTATAGAGAAGTACTCTGACCCTAGATTACATCATATAAATAGTATACACTTCCAGTCACCTGTTATTTTGAACTGTGGTAATTGATCTCCTACTAGGTAGTTTGCTTTTGTACAGACATTAGAAAATTTCACATTTTGAAGGTCGATTACTTATATTATTATTATTGTTTCCTTTAGTTCCTAGAGGAACATAGGGCTTCAGCCACACGTCTCTATTGCGTTCAGTTCTCTCCGTTCACATTTGATAATTTGAAAACAAAATCACTTTTGAATAGTGAATAAACTCCGATAAGACAGTTGATATGTAGACGTATGGATTATTCTTTATTTGATAATATGGCGACTGATGTCCAGTCTGAAAGTTAACCAATCAGAATTAGCCTCCGTGAAATAACGCCCACTATTTTATTGATCATGATTATAGACTTATTGACATAGCCTTATATGTATATATACATACATATACCTGGACAAGCCACTTCCAACTGTATCTAACATCCACTTGAACTGCGCTTGTGGTGGACAGAGTTATATTGGCCGTTGCTCTTGGAACTTTATTTTCCGTGCTTGCTCACGAACATCTAACAGTGTGGCTAAGTAAAGGTGTAGTGAAAACCAGCAACGGTTGGATATTAAACCACCTGGTCCATACCAACCACAAAGCCAGCATTGAAGAATCCTTCTCTATCGTCTACTGGGTGCCAAATAAATTGACGAGAACATCAAGGTACCGCATACTCCATACAGGAGAGGCTATCGTGATTCGCGAGAAACAGCTGGTGCTTTGTGCGCAGAAAAAGCAAGTCCAGCTAGCCACTACAACTGCCCTGACTGGCCTTCAGTGGAGACTATAAATTCATAAATCTATATAATTATTATCCTCCCTAATTTTTCTGATATTCAGTGTGTAGTGTTTTGTTGATGCTGCTGAACTGTAGTCTATTGATATTAATGACTCGATGTTATTTAAACAACATTAGTGCTGCCAGTAACACTAATTCATTCTATGTTATGTATGCATAGTTGTAGAACCTGATGAAGAGCAGGATATCGAAAAGAATATTTCTTATTCAGTAACCATTCTTTTGAAAATTTTAATGGGCATTTTTAATCAGCTAATTGATCTTCGTGAAATCAGTCTAAATCTCCGCAAAAAAATCAGAGTCTAAATAAAAAATATGTTATCGTATATCAGGGAGGGGGAGGGGATACCTACTCTCGTAGTTATAGATCACATGTGACAAGAAAGTTCAAATTTCAAGTCAATAAAAATGATCAATAGAGATGTAAATCAACTACCAGTCACCACAGTAATTGCCAGGAGATAAAATTACATCATTCATGGAAAATTCAAATAAGTTCATTCCACACTAAAACCTACACTGAAGATGTTGTCTAGAAGCCGGGGGGCGAGGGAAGGGAGGCGGATGACGAATGCTTCGTAATTAAATCAATCAGCACAGAGAACACAACTAATTCAATATTCTAACTGAGCTACAAATCTTCTCGATTATTTCACAAGATGAAACTTACACATATTGTATCATAACCAAATTCTTTATACTTTAAACATTTATCCCATTCACCAACTGATGCATAGAATTTCGACCACCAATCAACTTTATCATCAATTTGTTTAAGATCCATCTGAAATAGACGAAGAAAGAAAAAAAAGTCATTCGATAGATAAGATATGCTTAATTAAAAAAATTCCTCAGTAATTTAATTAGATTTTTAAAAAAAAACATACCCTACGCATGCACTAACGTGTACACGGTACACTATTCATCGAAAGACACTTATAATATTAACTGAAACAAGATAAAATAATATCCATGCAAGATACTTTGATAAATTATTATTATTTTTCAAGTATTGGTTTTGTAGAGATTTTGTTTGATTGCATGGAGGATTTCATCATGAGCTGACATCAGTTAGAGAACCACCATAAAACCTGGGAGTACTGGACAGCTGTTTCGGCCTAGTTTGGGACCCTTCAGCAGTACGCACCCGCCACCGGGCTTCGAAGCCAGGACCTTCTGGTTACAAGGCGAGCTAGCTCGTGTACCATTGAGCCACTGGGAACCAATCCAGTTGTCCTTGAATTCTAAATTCTGCCAATTCACGACATAGCGCGACCATTTCGCAATGTCTTCTTCGATGAGTTACTGCCTCATCTTCAACCTGCTGTACCCTACTGGTCACGGCTTCCCACTAGAACCCCAGGTTAACTGCCTGAATAGGGCGAGTCACTAGTGAGCATTATTTTTCCTTTGCGTTCCAAGTGGAACATAGGGCTTCAACAACACATCTCCCCTTTGTTCTGTTTCCTGCTGCCCTCTTCAGCTAGATAGCTCCACGATTTACCAAACTCTCTCATCTCTTCCTCACACGATCTCCCCCATGACACCCTCACACTAACCCCCACTCGTTGCTTCCCATTTGGATTCCATTCTGGGGCCTGGAGTGAGATGTCATTCGGCCGCCTCCTCAATGTATGCCTGATCCATCTCCATTTTCCCCTACATATTTGTTGAGAGATCGGCACTTGGTTGGTTTGTTCCCTGCTAGAGTTTCTTGTTGCAGATTCTTTCTGGCCATTTGATCTTCAGTATAGAGCAAGCCAGCGAAGTTGGAAGCTGTTGATGAAGGTTCACAACCTGATGGAAATGCTTTTCACGACAAGCAGTGCAAGTTTCTGATCCGTTTAGAAGAACCGACTTGACATTGGTGTTGAAAATGCGAATCTTGTTCCTTATGCTGAGTCGGTACGGAAGATTTCCAAACTGGTACTTTAATATATGCTCATCCGAAATTAAACGAAAAAAAAACCGGTTCAGGCTAGATTTATTCACTAGTTCATATCAGTTGGAAGACCAATGGATATCATAAAGCATTGGACAGCTGTTTTTGGTCTTAATGTGAGACTCATCAGTCGTGCACACTCTTGGAAGTCATCAGGGACGAAATGCTTGTCCAGTACACCTTGGTTTCCAGTGGTCGCTAATGTATTGTACCTCAAATTATGGCTAAAGTGCAACGCTTGAAACAATTGAAAATAAATGGTCTCCTCTCTCTGTCTCTGTTTTAGACTTAGAGAAGGGTGACAGCTGTATTAACAGATGTGATTACATTAAGTTATGAATTAAAATAAGAGGAGTTTATGGTATATGAAAACAACTTCACTCGATATAAGGAGGTCATAAATGCACGCACGCACGCACACACACACATTCACACACACAAATACACACACACGTTAAGCACACTTCGCATGCTACACCAATAATTACTTCCAAAAAATAGTATAACCTATTGCCACTGACAAACTATATCATTGATGCAATGCAAGACGATTGAAAGTGAAATATGATTTCGGATGACAAATGCTGAAGATACTCTTGTGGAAATCTTGTCATTTCACTGTCTTCAATCGTCAAGCATTACAAAAATGTAAAAAAAGCAAAGGTATTAGTTGTGAAGAAATTTGAGAAGAGAAGAGAACACCCAGAAGCAATCAGTTAAAATCATAGAATATGCATGTATATTAATAATTTCACAGAAAGCTAATATATCTCCCCCCCCGCTCCGTTGTAGAATTAAAAGGATCATACAAGTGGTTATCAAATTCGGTGCATTTCAAATCCATTTAGAATAATTGGAAGTAAAGACAATTCCAGATTGCTAATCATTGAAGCGACTGTGGTTAAACCAATAAAATCAAATTCATGCATCTAGAAGGCAACTGTTGTTAGTCTCACTTTACCATGGTGAATGCACTTTACATTATTAAAGTTTCGTATTTTAACTATATTTTGTTTTGACAATATAGTTTCCTACCCTCATTTTGTCATTATTTATATCCTTGACTGGACTATATTTTGTCCACTACTCAACTAAATCATATGGTTTTTAGATAAGTGTGTTTGTATGCCCTTATTCAGTTTGCGACAGTCGTTCATCATTATAGAATATTTTTGTGATAAGTTCTATACCTACTAACAAGCTTAACTACAACCTTTGATTGGACACTAGTAACTAGTGCGATGTGTCTAGTCCTTTGTTTGGTGCAGACTTAATTCTATCAGTCAGGTTTGTAATGTGGCCAACATTCTAGGTAGCTCGCTATCACGGTGCATATTGATTTGATGATATTAGATTGCCAATTGCCTCCAACCATCTAATTTCATCAAATCAATGTGCACCGTGATGGCGAGCTACCTAGAATGTTGGCCACATTGCAAACCTGACTGATAGAATTCAGTCTGCACCAAAGAAAGGACTAGACACATCCCACTAGTTACTAGCGTCCAATCAAAAGTATCCACTACAGTCCTACAGGAAGTCAACTGCAAGCCCGAATAGGTCAGTGGTAACGTCTCTGACTGCAGGCGGCACTGGGTGAAGAGGGTTCGTATCTCAGAAGGGACATGAGTCCCTTCAGGTTTGCAGATACACCTTGTTGACTGGTGAGTGCCAACTAGCATGAAACCTAGGTCAAGGAATGCTTCCTGCCAATTGCCTCCAACCATCTAATATTAACAACAACCGTCTACTCCTTTCCATTGTGCTAATCATTCATGTGATATTAATGGTCAGTAACTACGGTATTTGAATTTTTTGTACATTGATCTTGGAACTGTTTATGGTTGTATTTAGCTGACAAGAACCGAAATAAATATAATGACGTCACTTTATCCAGATCAATATGTTCTCATTGCTTTTCTTCAAATATTATTTAGGTTATCAGACTTGCTTCTATGTGCCTTTACTGTTAGTTTAAACATCATAATGTACTGGCAAATAATAGAGAACATTTTTGACTTCAGCTTGTAGAAAATATTCCTTGCAGTGAGAATAAATCCACACCTATGGATACTTAACATCATCCCAAAATCTATTCTATTGTCGACGGACAAAATATTAGTCAAAAGAAATATGCTACTTTTTATTAGTAAGTAGCTTCAGAATTCATGTCGAATAAATACACGAAGTTGTTGTTTCATTTCCAGTGATATAAAACTATAGGTGAGTAGTGGTGAAGAGACCCGAACTTGGGCGAAACAGTTGTTCAATACTCCTTACTGCTTGTGACCAGCACGGTGTATCAAGTTGGCTTTGAGTAAAAATACTGATAGATGACACTGACTGTTGGATATACTATATATCACAAACTGGTAGCAATTAGAATTCATGGTCTGCCCACTGGATTCCACCACAGTGGTTGAATGTCCGAAAGCTCGTCTCACAACCTGCAGGTCGTGGGTTCGCTCATTTGTGAGTTCAGTTTTGCGTACTGCTGATGAATATCAAGCTGGGGGGAAAAACTTGTTCAATACTCCCTGTATTTCAGTGGTTTCCTGACTGTATCCAATGCGGGATCACACTTGGAATAGAAAATCTGTAACCACTAGTACTATTGATAAAAGTATAGCTATAGGAAGGAACTAGAGTTTGAATGATTTAAACACATCAGCTTCCTAACCTGAATGAAACCCATTAGACCGCCTTACTTAATAAAAATCCTTGAAATGGAAAATGTTTCGATTGCATAGAGAAAATTATTTGAAGATTCATTCAAAAATAAAAAAATAAACTATCTATATATATCATTCTAACAAGAAAACAAAACATTGGACACATTGAACATGCGATTGAATCATTGAATCTGTCTACTTATCAGTGCAATGTATACAAATAAATTGTGCAACAGTGTAAACAACATAAACACACACACACACAAACACATGCGGATAAATCATAAGTAAAACATGCTTTGTCATAGTCAAAAAGGAAAAAAATAAACAAACAAAAGGAAAAGAAAAAAATACAACTAATAAAATTAGTAACCTGAGTTATGAATCCCTGTAAAAAGCAGAAAAAGTACACACAACAAGTGGTGATAATGAAACATAGTGGTGTCCAGGTGTGAACCATAAATGAACCCATTTTAATAAATGTGATAACTACATCAATGAAAATCAAAGTGCGTGAAGAATGAATAGTGAAATATGTTTTTGGCTTAAAATAAAACCAACCACCAACCCCCTTCCCCCCCCTCCGGTGTTTACCAGCACCAAATAAATCTCTATAATTTCCTATGATAAAACAAAATCTAAATTAGAACCAAGTGATAAACTAAACAGTGAGTGAGTGTTTCTAAGAGTGATGAAGATGACAACGAAGACGATAACAACAGCACCTGTATTTCTAAGGATTGAACTTTTTTAGATTTTAAAAATTTCCATTTCTTTCGGGGTTTTTGTGCTGCCACGATTCCGGTGACAACTTTGACTCTTTTCGGCCGTGAAATGTCCTCATGTTGTGTCTAGATGAAGAAATTTTGCAGAGTTGACATTTTGTTTTGAATGTATGAATGTGAAATACATATACAGATAAGTTAGATGTAAGATCATTTAACCTGGGTGTCACCTAATACTTTGTCATGACAATTTTGCCATTAATACGTTCGTTAACAGTTGTTAGATTTATGTATGTATATATGCAACAGATACTTGACGCTAGTATGTCAGCTGAAACACGGTCTTTCTGATGACTTAGCAGATCTGAGAAGTACTACAAACTGTGCGTATTTCACTAGATGATGATGGTGATGATGTAATAGGAGTTTACAGATAGAAAGGTCAGTTACTAATCACACTGATAAAACCACTCAATCACTGGTGAAAATTAAGTCAGCAGTGCCTTGGTGAGTTGAGTTTGGTGATATGCAAATGCAAGCAATAGAGCGTCAAAGGCAGGCTATGTGCATACATATACACTACTGTTAATGTGGAATGTGTTACTGATAAGATTTATCAGTAGTATATAAAGAGACGTTCATCGGCATAAGAAAACATCAAACAGCAGGGAAATAGATTTGATGTCAGACAAAGCAAATGATACAGCGTTGTGGAGATACATGGGCGACGTGAAGGGAACACAAAGAAACACAATACGATGGCGAGAAGCAGCGCAACACGGAAGATCTGTGCAAATGGTGCATCGAAGATATAATTTGGCAATGTAGAGACACCATATTGCAAATAAACATTCCTTTACCAAGTAACTCGTCTTCTACCGTTCCACTACTACTACTACTAGTGTGCGGTAGAACTTTTAAGAGGGGGTAATTAAAATCGAGTGTATTTTCCATGAAGCTTTAAGTAAAAAGTATTGTTGAGTCGGTTAGCATATGGAAGGGGTTTGGACAAAAGTTGGACTACGTGACACTACTTTTATGTCATTTGATATTATGTGTAGGGTATCGGGATAAACAAAATAATCCATAAGTTTAATTGACTGACAAATAGTATCAGTCAGTGGAATCATAGATTGGTAGTGAGCCGATATGAGATAGACTTGGTGTTTACCAGACTGCTATTGGTATAACGGTTAGTGATTTCACTTCCCCTTCAGTCATCATCACCCAGCAACCACCTGCCCTTCTCCTAATTCTAATCCAGTATGACAGGAGAGACCTAGTTCAGAAGGTAGTGTGATGACGAGGAGACAGTGAAATATCATTCATTCTGGACATTAGATGGTTGGAGGCGATCAGCACGAAGCCTTGGACCTAGGTTTCGTGCTAGTTGGCACTCACCAGTCAGCAAGGCGTATCAGCAAGACACTAGTTACTAGTGTCCAATCAAAGTATCCAATACAGTCCTACAGGAGGTCAATCGCGAGGCCGAATAGCTGCAGTGGTAACGTCTCTGACTGCAGGCGGCACTGGGTGACGCGGGTTCAAATCTCAGAAGGGAAGTGAGTTTCTTCAAGGTTGCAGATACGCCTTGCTGACTGGTGAGTGCCAACTAGCTCGAAACCTAGGTTAGTTTGGGCTTCCTGCGTATCGCCTCCAACCATCTAATATCATCAAATCAATGTACACCATGATGGCTAGCTACCTAGAATGGTGGCCACATTGCAAACCTGACTGATAGAATTCAGTCTGCACCAAAGAGGGGACTAGACACATCACACTAGTTACTAGTGTCCAATCAAAGTATTCTGGACATTACGTGTAATAAATCTAGTGAGTTGATGACTTGGTTAGCATTTGGGTCTCACAGCTCAATTGGTCGAGTGACGATCTGATGATTCGATGATCACTAGTTCGAGTCCTACTGTGGCCCAGTATTTCATTTCACTTTCAATCATGATCCATCACATAAACTATAGATTCTTAAATTGTTTGTGACACTACACCTAATATTGTGGTTATATGCCCTTAATTCCGTGTTAATATGATGACTTATATTAAGCATACCAGTTGATTTTACCTTTTGTTTGAATAACACCCGCTGAGTGATACTGGATTGATATTATGTGATATTATTATCATGACTGTTAGTTTGGACTGTTGATTGGAGACAGTAAAAGCTCTCTAGTCAACGGTCTGTCTTCTTCATTCCTTCATTGTGTCACGTGTCAGTGGTGTCGTGTTGTTGTTGTGGTGGTTGTCGTCACGATTAGTGATTAGAACACTAGGCTCACAAATCTACTAGCTGGGAAGTTCATTAACACAAGAGACTCATAAACTATTAGGATCGTTTTGACGGTCATATCATTGTTATTACAATTAAGTTGAAACTTCTCAATACTGAAGTACTTAATAATAATAATAATATAATAATTTGAAATATAGTAGTAAAAACAGATGGTCACCTATCGAATTGGTTGAGATAAGTAAAACGTTAGCATGCATCAATGTGTGCTATCAAGCTGAGACTAGATTTGCAACACAACATCAATTCATGCAATTTCTAATTGTTCATCTGAGTCATACTGAACAATTCTACAAGCATGTATATACATATTTGATAAAATAGAACACGTTCTTTTGCCCATAAGAACAGCAAACAAACAAATATCAAGGCTGAACAGATTATACAGTTGACAACTCAAAGACTTCGGTCAGCCATCAAATGCACATTCTACGCCGCCGCATCTCTTTCTCTCACATGCCGAACATTTTCGACCCCCCTGTACCTACGATTAAAGGACGAAATTCTATGGACTCTACTTCAAACTGTATCTACAAGTTCACCTGCAGTTGCGGTGAAACACACACATATGGGTAGAACCAATAGAATGTTCCAATGTCGTCGAAAAGAACATGTTCCAAAATGGTTATTAAAACATATAGAAAATCCCAATGCGAGTAATCTGAATAGAAATCCAGCATCATCCATTGCAAAACACTTATTAATGTCAGGTCACAAAATCAATATTAATGACTGTTTCACAATTATTTCATCACATAACTCTAATTGAAGGTTATCGAAGGTGAGGGATCACATGCATCCTAAACTATGTGTACAAAAAACAATAGACTTCAACCTTCGCCTACCATGGACTGACTACTTGACCTATTTAAATATGATTGGTCATTAGTATGTACTTTTGTTTTATATAACTGAGTAATTGTCATGAATTTTATTTCATTATTATTGTTAACCATGTTACTTGTAAAGCGGTTGTAAAGAAACTACGAAATGATGCCATCATCTCGCGAAATTTGTCTTCTAAATGTCTTATTCAAATTTATCAAAGGGACTAATTGTTTTTAAATATCAGTAAAGCTTCAAATTTATCAGGCCTATTAGTTTCTTAAAGATTAAAAGTACACCTTTCTAGTAAGTATCATTGAACACAAATTCTAAGTTGAGAAAGTCTTTCTGCCAAATGAAAACATCAATTCACAGTATCTCAAGATGACAGCAGTGAATCAAGTTAGTTCCTGCTTTGGTTTATCTGTTACTCAGACTAATTAAGGCTTCAAACGCTCAATTATAGAGTTTCACAAATTAACAAACAGATAAGGGAAGAGAAGACCCTTCATCGAAGATACATTCATAACAGTAAAAACCAATATCTTTAAATCTCCTATACTTGTTAATAGATTTCTATGGGTAACTATTTTTTGTAATTATTCAACATTCATTTCGCAGCAAATATTTCTATCAGCTTATCTATTGAATATGTTTACTGTATTTTTGGTTCTGTGAAACAAAGACTAAAAATAATCCGTTCACATTTGATAATTTGAAAACAAAATCATTGTTGAATAGTGAATAAACTCCGATAAGACAGTTGATAAATAGACGTATGGATTATTCTTTATTTGGTTATTATGACGACTGATGTCCAGTCTGAAAGTTAACCAATCAGAATTAGCCTTCGTGAAATAACGCCCACTATTTTATTGATCATGATTATAGACTAATTAACAAAGCCTTAATAATATTTACTTTGCAGTTTATGTCGTTGCGTGTTCTCGCTTAAGTAATGCGGTCTGGGGAAACAAGTGGCTGTCGTGTAATGTTGCTGGCGTTGTCCAACGGTATTTGTGTCTAAATCGGCGTCTTTATTTCATCCTCAACGTATTGTGAATTATGACAACAAGATATATACATACTCGCAGAAAATAATTGCTTTTTTACATGAACTTACATATTTTTTCTTCTGTTTCGCTTTACTTGGTGAATGTATCACTACACTGGGATCAGTTAAAGCGGGCTCTGGTGTTAACGGAGAACTATCAGTTAAAGCTGAATAATAATTAAAATAGAATTAGAAACCGAATTAAAAAAGGATAATAATAATAATAGAGGAAACGAATCATAGATGCATTGAAATTCGAACTAATTGCACACAATTCACGCTGGTACACTTCTTATTGGCAGTTCTTTTCATTCTTCGCCTTCAGTATGGAATATAGAGTTCCAAGGTTGAACTTTGAAGTTTCAATAGCAGTTCTGTTGTTGTTTTCAAAGCGGGGTGGGGTGGGGTAGGGTGTGGGTGAGTCGCCAGCCTCACTGCTAAAATTCCCTCCTCTTCAGGATTACTATAGGTTAGGAGAGGTTTAGGAAAGCGTCAGTCAGCAATCGAGCCTGGGTCACCACTGGTGCAGCTGGTAAGCATTTTATGACTGAACTGCCGGCGCACTTCTTAATGACATATGCAATCAATAGATTACAGTTCAGTAGAATCAACAGAACAATACACTTTGTTTATTTTATTTTGGTTACAGCTTGATGCCACACCGTATTTTCAGTACAAGTATGGCATTTTCAGCATGGATATCGGTAGCCCAAATTTTGCAGGCCGACCAGAGATATCGGGTGTGCGCCGGCAGGGGCTCGAACCTCGGACCATGTGCATGGTCGGCGAGAGTCCTAACCACTGTGCCACCAACGCACACTGAATATCAGAAAAGTTAGGGAAGAAAATAATACAAATTCATGAATTTATAGTATCCACTGAAGGCCGGTCAGGTCAGGAGTAGTGGCTAGCTGGACTTGCTTCTTCTGCACACAAAGCACCAGCTGTTTCCGGCGAATCACGATAGCCTCTGCTGTTTGGAGTATGAGGTACTTCGATGTTTTTGGCAATTTATTTGGCACCCAGTAGATGATAGAGAAGGATTCTTCAATGCTGGCTGGTTTGGACCAGGTGTTCTAATATTGAGCTGTTTATGGTTTTTACTACACTTTTCCTTAACCACACTGGTAGATGTTCTCGATCAAGCACGAAAAATCAAGTTCCTAGAGCAACGGCCAATATAACTCGCTCCACCAGAAGCGCAGTTCAATTGGTTGGTAGATACAATTGGAAGTGGCTTCTTATATTTCCCATCGTATTTCACTTTAGATTTTTTGAAAACAAATTAAAGATCATCAAACTAAATTCACAGATTAACCTCCAATATTAAACAATACCTAATGATCTATCATTTCAAGAAATCATAAAAGAAAATAGGAAGTCAAAAACCAATCCAAAGAAAGCTACTTTATACAATTCAAGTTAACCTTAATAGAGCATTGATGATTCAATTGTAGAATGATTGTCAACTACACTAGTGGTCAGGATTTGAGACACCTGACCAACACACTTCTTAACCTTGAGTAGTGGATAATAAGCCCAGTGAAGAGGACAGGTTGGATATGAGGCTGATGACGCCACTCTAGAATAAGGCAACATGAACGCTACCAATGTGGTGACAGCTGGTTGCTAGCCAAAAATTAGTAGACAGTAATTTACGTCAATGTTTACGTCCCCAATATTGGTCATGAGAAAAATACGAACAAAGACTGATTCAACAACCAATCACAACAGACTTTGCGTGGGCGGATACAATTTGCAGATAGATAATCTGAACTTCAAGAAACAGCCACAAAGAGATGCCAGATTAATTTTCAGTGAGAAACAACCAATCAGAAGACTGTGTTTGTTTGCTTACAATAATCTATAATAATGTACATGAAAATGTATAAATATGTGTTGATTTCCCAAATAAACGATCTGTTGTTGTTACACTAACACTTCAAAGCTCAAGCTTTAAATCCTACGTTTCACTAGGAAAGTAAAGGAATAAAAATAGAAGAAAGTAGTTTACAATTCTAATGAACTGCGTCTCCATCAAAAATCGAATCAGTAAGAAGGTTTCGATATCAACAACCGTTCACTATTCAGCTTATCAACAATTGGGTATGTAAAGATTTATGGAGTTAGTAAATATAATAGAAATTCCTCGTGAAAGACAGTGGGAAAGAAACTCAGAATGATGTCGAAAGATCCGAGGACAAACATTAAGATTCGAAGAGTTACTTTGTAGGAATTCGATCTGATTCAAGTTTGACCACAGACTGAAATAAGTTAGAGAACCACTGAAAACCAGGGAATACTAGACATCTGTGTCATCCTAGTTTCAGACTCACCGGGAGTACCAACCCACTGAAGCTTGAACCTAGAACCTTCTTGGATATCAATCCATGGTCAAACTTTAATCAAACCCCATCAAATTAATCTGATGTCCACTAGTGATTGCCTACAATACGAAGTTGCTCGAACCCCTGATGGGAAGTTGTGACAAATGGGATCTACCAGGTCGGATTTGAGGACAAATACTTGCTGATGACATTGGCTGGTGGTGGTGTCAAAATCATGAATTGACGAAGGTTAGAATTCATGAGTCACTGTATTCCGACCCAGGTGGTTGATCGGTCAACGCTCTTGGTCTCATAACCTGAAGATCCTTGGTGGGGTCGTTGATGTATGCTGCTGAAGAGTCGCAAAGTAAGCGGGAACAGCTGTCCAGTACTCTCTGAACAGTGTTCAGTATTTCTCAAGCAGATATCAATTTGTGTTCAAACATGAAAGAAATATTACTGTAATAAAGTATCTAATCAAATTTATCCATCATCCTGGAGAGAATCAAACAAGCTCTGGATGAATAACTTCGACCGGAACAGGCTGAATTCAGGAGAAACAAGTCATGTATTGATCAAATCGCCACACTACGGATCATCATTGAACAGAGGTTGGAACGGCAGTCGCCTTCGACAGCGTCGATCGAGAGGTGATTTGGAAACTACTTCGCTCCTACGGAGTGCCGCCGACAATTATACATCTCATCCAATAGTTGACGACAATGCTGCATGCCAAGTAATACACAAAGGGAAACTTACAGAATCCTTCGAAGTAAAAACGGGAGTAAGACAAGGCTGATTGGCTGCCGACTATCTCCAATGATTTTCCTGATTGCGGTAGACTGGATAATGCGACAGACAGCGGGCAGCGAGGAAACAGGCATAAAATGAACCTTCACGAAAAACTTGGAGGATCTGGACTTCGCCAATAACATATATATGTCTGATTTCCCACAAACTGAAAGATATGCAAGTGAAAAGCAACAAGTTGGCAGAAGAAGCATCCAGGGAAGATAGGCCTCCAAATAAACACAGAGAAAACAGAGGTGATGAAGATTCCTGGCCAACACCAACAGCAACAAAAACAACAGACAACAATCAGAATAAATGAGAGGAACCTGAAAGAAACAATCTCCTTTACCTACTTGGGAAGCATCGTTTCAACTACAGGCGAACGGAACTGATGAGGATATCAAAGCAAGGATCGGGAAAGCAAGGTAAGCTTTCATTACTCTCAAGTCTGTGTGGAGGTCAACAGCACTCAGCATGAAAAATAAGATCCGGATTTTCAACTCCAATGTGAAGTCAGTGCTACTCACTATTTGGATCAGAGACTTGGAGCGTCATGAAGAGCACTTCGAACAAACTACAGACCTTCATCAACAGCTGTCTTCGCTCAATACCACTCAAGATCAGATGGCTGACCAGAAAAGATCAGCAACACGGGAGCGAACCAACCAGGAACCGATTGTGCAACAAATCTGCAGGAAGAAATGGAGGTGGATTGGCCAAACTAAGAGGAAAGCATCAAGTGACATCACTAGACAAGCCCTCGAGTGGAACCCGAAAGGGAAGGGGCGAGTTGGTCGTCAGTACGAGGGTGACGTGAAGGGAGGAGGTCATGTGAAGAGGAGATGAAAGCATGTGGACAGACTTGGAGCCAGGTGAAAACTTTAGCAGAGAACCGAACGCAATGGAGACGTGCAGCTGAAGCCCTATGTTCCTCTAGGAATTAAAGGAAATAATAATAATAATCAAATTTATCAAATATTATGTAGAAAAAAATTTACTTTGTATATCCATCAATATATCTGTTTGTGATGTTCTTGGCAGTACTTTGAACTCTTGAAAATCTGTCAGTACATGTACACCAACAATTGGTTTTTGACCAAAAGCTCGATGATCACGTACACAAATATTCATTGGTGGTAAATAGATTTCTTCTTTTGGTAATAAAACATCCAAAAATAATAATGGTAATGAAAAATTTGGATTCTTTTTAACACTTTTAATAATTGTTGATTCAACCACTTTACCACCAATTTCAAATTCTACTGATGGTGAATTAACACTGGATAGTTTATATTTACGCATTGATCGAACACCCCAGCAGAGAATTTCTATACCAGTACGTTGAAGTACTGGACGTATACCTTCAGGAACATTGAATAATTCTCCACGACGTGTAGGTGGTGGTGGTGGAGTTTTACCGTCAAGCTAGAAATCAAAAAATTTTCATAAAGAAAAAAGAAAAGAGATCAGATATACAGAAAATCGTCGAAGCATCTGCACATGGAGCCAACATGTCAACCTGAAACTCAGCACCTCGGTCCAATCAGCTGAAGGGAAAATCTAAAACTGAATTCAAAGTAACTATTGTTTCATCCTGTCATTTTGTTGGCAGAGACTAGCAGTGTAATCCATTTGAGATTCATGAAATGGATATATCTGCATCCCCGATGAGTTATGGTATTCTCATCAAAACTGAGAATCCATTGAACTAAATGCCGGAGTAATCCATTAAGGCAGGGAGTTACAAATAATAAATAATGACACTCTGAATCTGTCCATCAGTTTATTTTGTTATCAATAAGTCTTCACTGTGAAGGAAATAAAAACATGGTTTTGTCCGAAATTGAAACGAAATTATACTCTGAATGCAATTCTTATAAGTATTTAAAGGCGAACTTGAGTAATGTTAGAGAGTATCTGTAATGTAGATGGTTGATTCACACACAAACACACAAATACACGTAGAAGACTTCTTTAAACTGATGTAGCTTTCACTAATGTTACAGTCATCATTTCAATACACTTGAAAAGTTGATCAATATTTTGCGTCTCGTGGGTCGATATATATATACATATACAATTTTCTCCTTTTGTAATTATACTTTTCGGTCTCACTCTCGTTGTGTATTCTTGTTGAGGTAGCGGGCTGGTCGGAGCAGGAGTAGATTATTATTTCCTTTAATTCCTAGAGGAACATAGGGCTTCAGCCGTGCGTCTCCATTGCGTTCGGTTCTCTGCTAAAGTTTTCAACTGGTTCCAGGTCTGCCCACATGCTTTCATCTCCCCTTCACATGACCTCGTCCATGTCATCCTTGGACGACCAACTCTCCACTTCCCTTTCGGGTTCCAATCGAGGGCTTGTCTAGTGATGTCACTTGATGGTTTCCTCAGGGTATGACCAATCCACCTCCATTTCTTCCTGCAGATTGTTTGCACAGTCGGTTCCTGCTGAGTTGGTTCGCTCTCAGAGATCCTTGTTGCTGATCTTTCCTGCCCGGCATCTGATCTTGAGTGGTATTGAGCGAAGACAGCTGTTGATGGAAGTCTGTATTTTGTTAGAAGTGCCCTTCTTGATGCGCTGGACTAGTCTCTGATCTGTATGGTAGCACTGACTGACTTTACATTGGAGTTGAAAATCCGGATCTTATTTTTCATGCTGAGTGCTGTTGATCTCCTCCACACAGACTTGAGAGTAGTGAAAGCTTGTCTTGCTTTCCCGATCCTTGCTTTGATATCCTCGTCAGGTCTGTCCGCCTGTAGTTGAAACGATGCTTCCACAGGTAGGTAAAAGAGGTTGTTTCTTTCAGGTTCCCCCCGTTTATGCTGATCGTTGTCTGTTGTTGTTGTTGCTGTTAGCCAGGAATCTTCATCACTTCTGTTTTCTGTATGTTCATCTGAAATCCTATCTTTGATGCTTCTTCTGCCAACTTGTTGCTTTTCACTTGCATATCTTCCAGTTTGTGGGAAATCAGACATATATCATCGGCGAAGTCCAGATCCTCCAAGTTTTTCGTGAAGGTTCATTTTATGCCTGTTTCCTCATTGTCCGCTGTCTGTCACATTATCCAATCTACCGCAATCAGGAAAATCATTGGCGATAGTAGGCAGCCTTGTTTTACTCCCATGTTTACTTCGAAGGATTCCGTAATTTTCCTGCTCATGACAACTTGAACTGCATTTACCAATTCACCACCACTTGCGGCTTCAAGTATATATGAAGGACTGGGAGGAGAGAGTATACTCGACTTTCGGATCATATCACTAAAAGTCTCTGGAAGAAGGGAAGCAAAATATCATCAAGGGAAACTGCCAGAGACCTAACTAAAGCGGATATTAGTCAGTCTATTAAAATATTCAATACACAAAAATGACTCTGGTTACTTCGGTTCACAGAAGCCATTGCTATCAAAAGACTTTAACCCAGCCTCTGTATGCAGAAAGAGAGAGTGTAACTAATCTCTCACTACCTTGGTGACCGTATTTGTTTTGTTTGTGTGCTTTTGAGTACTTTTGTTCTGTTGCGTAGCATTTCATTTAATTTTGGTTTTGATTTTCACTTACTGAGATCAGCTCACTGTTAGGTTTCCAAGTCTAATAAATTGTTTTGACTATCTGATAATTTTACTTTACTGGTTATCCCCAAACCTTCTGAACTCTCCATCATATGTGTAAATTCACTTTGTTGTTATATGCTGATTTTTGCTTAGTTCATCCTTGTTTCCAAGTGAAATATGAACTCTACTCCTGTTGTGTAATTATTATATTAAAATAGTTACTCTTTTAACACTGGGTATTTCGCCTGCTTACATCATTTTTAGAATTATGTCGCTTATACTTTTCTATCTATAACTCGAAGTCACTGTGAAAAAGTATGCTCAGAAATTTTGTAACTTATAATTTGATTTTGTTTAGGATGTAGGCAGTTGAAGGAGAATTCACGAAATAAAACGAGCTGGTGGTATTATCCTGCAAATATATATTCGTTCTTTCTTTATTCAGACTAATAAAGGGAAGCGGTTACATGAAGTGGTCTAGGGGATAACGCTTTGGCGCTTGAAACTATGGGTACTGGGTTCAAGCCTCGGCGGGAACACCATCAGTCATCGGGGGATGTAGGTACATCCAGATGACGAGTCCCAAATAGGATGAAATGTATATCCTGGATCTCACCATCCCCCAGTTTACTACAAAAATAATAATTTCGTTTGAAATCATGATTAAAAAGGTGGATAGAATTACTCAAAGTATGTATGTCGTTGTAAATTAGACAAAGCAAATAGTAAGATTTTCACTGATTCACAGACTTAAATCATACTCATTATTTATTATTGTTCCCTTGGGTTCCTAGTAGAACATAGGGCTTCAACTACACGTCTCCACTTGTTTCTGTCTTCTGCTGTACTTTTCACCTGCATCCATGTTAGTCCATACTGTTTCAATTCCTCTTCACACGATCTCCTCCATGTCACCCTTGGACGTCTCTCTCGCCTCTTCCCTTTCGGATTCTACTCGAGCACTGGCCTGACGCGCGATGTCACCCAACGGCCTCCTCAGCGAGTGTCCAATCCATCTCCACTTTCTCCTGCATATTTGTTGGGTGATTGGTTCTTGTTTTGTTTGTTCCCATAGTTTCTTGTTGGTGATTCTTTCCGGCCATCTGATCTTCAGTATAGAGCCAGCGAAGACAGTTGTTGATAAAGGTCTGTAACAGGCTGTTGGAAATATTCTTTGTGACCCGCTAGCCAAGTTTCTGATCCGTATAGAAGAACTGACTGACTTGACGTTTGTATTGAAAATCCGAATTTTGTTGTTGATGCAGGCTGAGTGACGAAGATTTCCAGATTGGTTTCAGGTCTCGCTTTCCCGATTCTTGATTTGACATCCTCGTCCGTTCCTCCTGTAGTTGGGGTAATTCTCCCTAGATAAGTGAATGAAGAAACCTCTTTCAAACCCCTCCCGTTGATGGTGATTGGCGCTGGATGTTGCTGCTGCTGTTGTTGTTGTTGGTTGGTTATTTTCATAAACTCCGTCTTGTCTATGTTCACCTGGAGTCCTTCCTGTCTTTGCTGCTTCTTCAACCAGTTTGTCTCCTAGATTACTAGCTCACTAGTTTTCTAGCCGGTCCCAAGCCCAGATAGAGAGGGAGGGTTGGGGCGTGGTGCTAGCAACTTTACCCCTAGAACCTAACCAAATTGCTAAAGAAACTTCAATGCATAATTATATTAAAATCATTCTCATTAGTTAGTGAATATCTTCAAACATTTGATTTAAACTTCGTAAGGCTACAATGATGAATTAGTTGAACACATCATGTACTACACTAAATACAATGACTGATCATTAGTCCTAGTAATCAAATAACGCAACCATTTCATTAGCAGTTGTCTTCAGTTAATACTGAAGATTACATAACCGACCAATAAGGATAAGTGACTCTGGCAGTAAGACAGCCAATAACCTATTGCCCTATACAGTAGAAAATGGAGATATATATGACATAAGCTAAGAGACATTTAAATAACATCACACACTGGGCTGTCAAGTAGAACTCGAACCGGAAGCGACAGGTTCAGTCTGTATCCGATGATGATATGGAGGAAGTTAGTTAAAGGCGAAACTAAAGCTTATAGGGAATTGTAAAGCTGTTAGGGATAGATATCAGAGGACTGGTTGCAATGCACTATGCCCCATATTGAACTTGATAGAGTAAGAATGAATGATAGGTGTAAATGAATGTGAACATTGAACGTTTGAACATTGACCTTGGTCGCCATTGGCGGGCAACTCGAGGGCGCGAGTGATTCAGTCGTGTACAAGCTGGAAGAATACGAATAAAAGTACAATACATTCCTTATAAAACATTTGTTTATAGACTTTGTACGGAGTATTGATTTTAACTGCCGAAAAATACAACTTCTTCTCATTCCTTGTGTTTTGGAGTTAAAGTCGATAATGTCCTCAGAGCGTCTTCGGAAATAATAGGAACTTAGGGTTGAGTTCCTTGACAATAGGATAATAATAATAATCCACTCTCAGTCATTTTGGCCAGTTGATCCAAATAAATCACTGACTATTAAACATTCTCTATGGTTAGCTTCACCTCAATTCCCCCTACTAAGTTGCTGATAATCTCGATATTTGGTGTCCTTCTACACATCATTTCATTGTAATAATGATAATCAGAGTAATTTCAAAACTTACCAAAATTAATTCAAATGCAGCTAATATATCTCCAGCTTTTTTGCCTTGTTTTTCAATTGTATACCATTGAAGTATATTTCTCCAGGATGTTTCTGGATCTAAACGAACAACTGGTGTAATCTAAATAATAATAATATTAAGAAATATTCAAATTCATTATGTGAGTAAGTAGAAAATTTTATGTGTAAATGTTGTGAAAAAACAATTTGTTGAATAACAAAAAACATCATCTTACTGATCTAGTGTTTTGGTGGAAAAAATATTCTCCTTTCGACAATTTCATTTTCATAGCCTTCATTCTATGAATAACTTATTCTAGTCATCCATTGGTGAACATTAATGTTAAGGAAATGTTACCTCACTTGTTTAACTCTGTGTGCACTTATATATTCATCTATTTTCTTTTGGAGCTGGGTACATATGTAACGACAGAATACAACGTCCAGGAAGCGGATCGTTTCTTGGGAAAATCAACAAATATTTATAGATTTTTATGTACATTATTATTCATTATTGTTAGCAGAGCTTTAACGTCTTCTGATTGGTTGTTTTCCTGCAGAAGGTTATTCTGTCATCTCTTTGTTGTTGTTTCTTAGAAAATTAAGGCATATATCTGCTAATCGTATCTGCCCACGCTAAGTCTTCTGTGATTGGTTGTTGAGTTAATCTTTGTTCTTGTTTTTTTCATCACCAAGATTTCGGACGTAAACATAGACGTGAATTGTTGTTTGAAATTTTGGCTTTCAGACAATTCTCAGCACACATACAGCATTCTAAAAAACACATCTCACCGTTTTCAAGAGTACCTCCTGGCTTAGTTAAGCACAGCAGAGCAACTTGAGGTTTATATTTTGATCACACAGCTTCTTATGTAACCTTTAATAAGATCCAAGAAAGTTTACCAAAAGGGACCGGAATGAATTAGCTTTTGTATGCTTGTAGCTTTGGCGATACGTAATATAAAGCTAGGACTTTGTGTACAAAGTTTAATCTGTAGGATCTATTTCATTAAAATGGCTTCAATTTTACCACGTGGTTTTCACAAAACTTATTAATTCTTATTTATTCCATGTTGTTCCGTTTTGTTCTGATATTTTATTTATTTTATTGGCAGCCCTTCACTTATATGATTTTCTCATCTTATTGCATATGAACGTAAGAAATCACATATTTATATTGTATCATAGAAAAAACACAACAACAACAAAAAGACGGTTACAGCGGAAAAGAAGAGGAGGATTTTCTTCCCGATGAACTAGTCTGCACATTTATGAATATATAAAGAAGGAGTGAGAGGGTTCGAGAACAAATTCCGGTATAAAGTTGAATTATAATGGATAACAGTATGAAAATTACGTAATGCAAATTGCAATTTTCAAAAAAAACGTATTGATAAGAAAAGTAAACAGAAAGTCCGCCTAAGAAACAAAATCCGATAATAATTATTGGGAAAATTGTCTGTTTATAAGGGTCATGATAAAGGAAAAGATTGGACGTACTTCTTTTGAATACATGGCGTTATTAGTTGGCAACACTATGCATCATGCCTAGTAAAGGGATAGTGTAAGTGTGTTGACGACTCAACAGTAACAGAACATTTGGTGAACTCAGGACATTCAGTTCCATTTGAAAAGCCCTTAAAAGTCTTATATAGGATCCAGTTCAACCTTGCAAAGGGATTGGGATGAAGATATCTGGGCATAGCTGAAGCATTCATGGTTCACTTATTCAAGCCTTGTAACCAGACGGTCCTGGGTTCGAACTTAGGTGGTGAAGAGTCCCAAACTAGGCTGACGAAACAGCTGTCCAGTACTCGCTGCAGGTTTTCCAGTAGTTCTCTAACTGATGTCAGCTCATGATGAAATCCTCCATCCAATTAAAACTAATTGTTGTTGTCTATTGTAATCCATATATATATATATATTTGAGTACGGTTTTACAGCTATGAAAATGAAATCGTCCAAAATGAGGAATTTCTCCATTGAATTCTTTGTTTAATATGTCTTAATTGGCGTAAATAATTTAGTCTAATATTCTTAAAGTGTGGTGAATTTATTCACTGATTAATTTAGCATGTGCCTTTACTTTTCTAAAGCTCACAACTTATGACCTTGATGATTATGATTTCTACAGTAGGTTATAACTGAGTCGCCTTACTAACTAAGGAGGATATATTGCAAGCATTTTTGCTTAAAATTTATAGTGAATATAAGAGGAAGATTTAAAAAAAGCTTTATTGTTTTATTGTTACATCACCTCTAGGTAAGAAAGGAGGTAATACAGCTTAGAATTTCACCGATTTGAGATTCACATCAACTGAATATATTTGTTGAGAATGACACGTTAACATTTTGAAGTAGAAAATAATAATGCTAGCAGTAGAAATTGTGTTTGAATACCATTTGATGATTTACAAACTATAAGTTTTTATGTAACTTTTAGTCAGATGACATTCGGTCGATAGAAACCTCCGCTTTGACATGCATGGCTAGGCTTTATGGGGGTTTATCGATTAATTTCTATAAAGATTGCATCACAAACCGTTATCAGTCAAAGAAGCACTGGTAACCAATAGATTCATCAGGTTTCGACTCTTCACTAGTGTTGATTACAACCAATTGACTCAATAGTCAAAAAAACTCTCCATGCAGGATAAAGGTTCTAGTTTTAATCTCTAGCCGCTCGCTGCTGAAGACTCCCAGACTGGGACGAAACAGCTATTCAATGCTTTTTGGTTTTCAACAACTCTTTAACTGATACTGGATAATGACAAAATATATATACTGACAAAGATATGGAGATATAATAATTAATTAATTTAAAGCTTACCTGTAATCTACCTAAGAAATGATCTGAACTCAACTGATCATAATCGAATAATTCAAGAACAACTGGTGGTGGACTATATTCTATAGACTTTGGATCACCACACATTTCAATTTGTTCATAGATTAATGTTTCATCCCATGTTGGACATAATGATTGTTGAATAATCTGTGTCTCTTGACTATAACCTTGAAATGAACATCGTACATAGGCATCAGATAATCCAGAGTTATCAGCGGCTAAAATACTACGTGCTTGAAAAATATAAGCTCGTAAATGCCATATATGTGATGCTGAAAAAGAAAAGGTATGCAGATGAAGTATAAGTGGAAAATTAAGTATAAACGATACTTAAAATTAATGAAAGTTAGTCAATGAAGTCCTACAGGAGGTCAGTCATGGGCCTGAATAATATTATTATTGTTACTTTGGGTTCCGAGTAGAACACGGGGCCTCAACAGCACATCTCCATTTAGTCCTATTATCTGAGGTCCTTTCTCATTCCCTCCTGACATGACCGCCCCCATTTCACCCTCAGATGCTCCACTCGTCGTCTCCCATTCGCCTTTCACTCAAGCGATGGCCTGCATCTCGGGAGATGTAATTCGACGGCCTCCTCAGCGTGTGCCTAATCCATCTTCATTTTCTCCGACATATTTGTTAACAACATTCTCAGTGTCTCTTGTTGCTTATTCTTTCTGACCATTTCATCTTCAATATGGTTGATAAAATTTCTCAGTAGCCTGTTGTAAATGCTCTTCCTGACTCATCAAGTCTCTGACCCATATAGAAGAACTGACTGACTTAACCTCGACATCAGAAAATTGGGGTCTTGCTCTTTATGCTGGTTGAAGCGGAGTGATGAAGGTTTACTCTGCCTTTGTGATTCTGCCTTTGACATCCTCATCCATTCCCTCCGTCTGTCGTTGAAACGATACTGCCTAGCCAGATAAGTGAAGAAAGTGACCTCTTTCAAATTTCTCCCGTTGATAGTGATTGGTGCTTGTTGTTGTTGTTGCTAGTTGTTTATCTTCATCACTTGAAGTCATGTCACTTTCCACCTGCTTCTTCTGACATTTTATCGATTTCTACCTGTAAGTCTTGGATTTAGTTTAGTTTAGATCTTCTAGAATCTTTTTATTGGTCCTGTCTTCTGGCTCCCAGCAGTCTTTCGTAAGATCCATTCAACCACAATTACTTTTTAGGACTACAGTTCCATCCCACCTTACTATGCAATAGGAATAACGCGCCACATCAATATCAGAGATGTGGAGAATATTACTAACAATATAATTCAAGGATACGAAATAATGAAATTATATAGACATAGTTTGAAGGTTATGTCAAAGCCTCGATATGATTATGAGCATTAAAGTATGCTGGAAGTGTCATCAGTAAATGATACTGTAACACTGTGTGTGAATCGAACACTGCGATAGTGTTAAAATACTATTCTTACATAAGAATAAATCTTGAAGACTGTTCAAATTTACTAATATCAGCATTTTGTTCAAGGAATACAACTCCGAATATTAGTAGTTTTATGATATCAAGGTTGCTTTTAGAAAAAAAATATATAACATCTAGCGTCAGGGTGTTATAATGAAATGCTTAAATTCAGTTGATATGAGATTCTAGAATTTAATATATCTATCAGTTCACCTTAACTTCGGTGATCGGACGAGAACTGGACTGGATTATGCATCAGACTGTGCGTTAGGAGCGAGGAGACAGGAATACTCTGGACCACCGATAAGAATACCCTAGAAGATCTGGATTTCGCAGATGATATATATATCTAATGTCACACAAACTCGAAGACTTGCAAGCGTAAACCAACAAACTGGCTCAAGAGGCAGCGAAAACAGGAGGTGATGAAAATAACCAATCAACAGCAACAACAACCAGCACCAATCACCATCAACGGGAGAGATTTGACAGAGGTTGCCTCCTTCACATATCTAAGAAGCATCGTTTCAACTACAGGCGGGACGGATGAAGATGTCAAAGCCAGCCAGCCAGCCAGCCATTCAGAATCGGAAAGGCAAGATACACCTTCATCAACGTGGAACCAGTTTGGAAATCTTCCGCACTCAGTATAAGGAACAAGATTCGCATTTTCAACACCAATTTCAAGTTGGTTCTTCTATACGAGTCAGAATCCGACACTGATTGTCACGAAAAGTATTTCCATCAGGTTGCAGACTTTCATCAACAGCTGCCAACTTCGCTGGACTGCTCTATACTGAAGATCAAATGGCCAGAAAGAACCAGCAACAAGAAACTCTAGCAGGGAACAAACCAACCAAGGGTCGATCGCTCAACAAATATGTAGGAGAAAATGGAGATGGATCGGGCATACATTGAGGAGGCCATCGAATGACATCGCACGCCAGGCAATGCCTCGAGTGGAATCCTGTTGGGAAGCGACGAGTGGGTCATCAGTGTGAGGGTGACATGGAGGAGATCGTGTGAGGAAGAGATGAGAGAGTTTGGTCAATCGTGGAGCTATCCAGCTGAAGAGGATGGCAGAAAACAGAACAAAGTGGAGATGTGTTGTTGAAGCCCTATGTTCCACTCGGAACGCAAGGGAATAATAGTAATAATAGTTCAAATAATTCTACAACTTTGTTGCTGCATGGTTGGAGGTAATCGGCAGGAAGCCTTGGACCTATGTTTCGTACTTTTCAGCAGTCATCAGTCGAAGAATTCATTTCGCGTCTGAAATTTGGATCTGCGTCACCCAGTGCTGCAGTCAGAGACATCATCATTGAGCTGTCCGGACTCGCGATTGACCTCCTGTAGGTGGTACTACCAAACAACCCATCTATTTCACAAAGGATGTCATTTTATGAAGTTGACATAAACTTGAATTATCAAATAAATAATGGTAATAAAGAGAACCTCATTAATTATTACTCACTTCGAAAACGCATAAATACTCTTGGTACAGTGAGATTCTCTTTCTGTTAAAACAAAAAAATTTAAGAACGATTAAAAGTAACTAAACGTAACACAAAAACAATGTAACGCATTATAATCAACACACGGATTATATAGGTTGGCGTCAAAACTATCGTTATTGATTAGACACAAAAAGATGACAGTAAAGAAACATTAGTTTTAAGGTTTTTCCTCCTTTTTCCCAATGGAAAAAAAATAATTCAGATAATCACAATAATATGTGAAAGAGTTATGCTTTTTTTCCCAATCAATTAAAGATTGAAATAACTTTTCAAATATTTCACATGAAGTAAACACACAAGTATTAGCTAATTAAGGTTCAATGATGAAGAAAAACACACATGACCTTGACTTAAAATTAGGCGCCAAATTCAAAAAGTTGAAATTATTTTTAGCAAAAATTGTTGTTGCATATCAGCAATGATTAAAGTTAGGCATTATTATGATACTGTAATAAAAGAAAGGTGTAAATGCATAAATATGTATTACTGAAAAGTGAAACAAACTAATGCTTGCGGCAGAGATCTTTGCAGTGATATAACAGAAAAAATATTTTAAAAATCTTTTGGCAGATTGTAAATTTAATAAAAATGGTTATCTAAAACGTTTGGTTCCTCCCCCCTCCATGAATTTTGACAAAACAAAAAGGAAACGTAATTTATCTGGGACGTGTAGTGTGTATTTGCGGCAAAGTTAAACTTTAAGCACCAGTAGGTACCAACAGACAAATAACCTTGAACGCACAAATCACATAATAAAGACGATTTTCGCGCATAATAATGAATTAAAAGGCATGAAACTGTTACACAGGATACTTTTCTCTGACATGTGACAAAATTACCCCCTCAATTTTGGATTGGAGTGTAAACACAGTAATTTAAAACTAGAATGGTGGCCACATTGTAAATCTGACTGATAGAATTCAGTCTGCACCAAACAAGGGACTAGACACATCACACTACTTACTAGTGTCCAATCAAAGTACGCCTTACTTCTTTTAATAACTTTGGTTAATCTTTGTACTGAGCTTTTAAGTACATTTCAGAAGGCGTTTAATGACGAGGATGACTAAGGAGTTGCTTATCGGAAACGAAGAGTTGGGCGTCCGATGGTGACAAGGAGGATATCGTGTGAGAGGGAGATGAAAGCTTACGGTCAGTCATGAAGCCAGCTAAAGAAAACTGTGGAGAGCAAGACAAAGTGGAGATGTGCTATTAAAGCTCTACTTTCCCCTTGGAACCCAAGCGGATAATTAATTGTAAATTATTGGTGAAGCTTACTTTTCAGAAATAAACTGTGTAGTATTCATTATTTTCTTTCCTCCATTCATTCAGTTTTCAAAAAGTTTACAAATACTTTTACATTATATCGCATATCATTTAATTTATCTTCATTTTCCTCACAGTTGTCTTACGAAGAAAATCCCACTTATAATGTCCTGTCGTTTTTTTATCTGGTTTATGTTGGCAAGCAGTGGAATTCAGGAGGTGTATTTTGTCCTATCTCAGACTCATCATCTGCATATAACTGCATACCTAGTGAATCATTGATGCTATTCTCACTGAGGCTTGTACGCAGCAGTCATCATTTCAAACGCAAAAGTTTTACTAACTAGGTCATAGAGACACGAGAGCCGTTTTCTTTTGCAACTGGCATTTCCCATCCTGGATTCCCCTGCTAGCCACCATCAACCAAATAACATCATAATTAAGCCTTTAGGCATTATCGAAGCATCCGTATTCGGAGCCAGCAGGTCAAGAGAGGCCAAGCATTTCGGTCCAATATAGATCGATCACCGAGAAATACAAACACACTGAAATAAAATCTATTGTTTCACTGATTTATTTAAGGAATATACAGCTGTGAAAGTAAATTCCTTGAAAAAGTATACCTGTCTTCATTGTGACCGTCTGTCTACTTTCATTTCTCCATTGATGAAATGATTTTATGACACTGTAAAACGATAAATTTAAAATGAAGTATTTGGATAAAACAATGAAGTAACAGGACGCAGTTTCCTGGAGTTCTAGTGAGAAGGTGAGGTCCATCCAGTTGGGAGTGAGAATGGATTTCCCACCGATAACATTGGTTGGTGGTCGCGCTAAAATCAAGAATTGGTAGGGTTTAGAATTCATGAGCTGGCCACTGAATCTGGTCTCAGTAGCTTGTAACCGGAAGGTCCTAGGTTCGAACCCCAGAGGGTGCGCACTGTCGGTGACTTCCAAACTAGAATGAATCACAAGTCCAATCCTCCTTGGTTTTCAGTGGTTCTCTAAATGATATCGCTTCGTGGTCAAACTCGATAATGAAGCAAAAACCAAGCTCATAAGCAAGTCATTTAAATAATTATCTGCATTTAAAAGTGCAGAATTTATTTCCAAACTTACAAATCTGTGCATTCAATATGTATTACTCGTCTTATTTTTGTCAGACTGTGAGTAGAAGAAAAAAGGTGAATTTCAAACTTTCAGTTTAGGAGGGAACTGAGTCGTTAAGGAATGGTGCCAAAGGTTTTTTCAAATGCTCTGCTATCTTTGCTCCATACAGCTCTCATTTAAAGCCTAAACAATTTCAGGAGCTGATTTAATTGTGAACTTCATTACATCTGATTTTTTATTTATTTAAACGCAGAAAAAACTTGGTACAGTATGACACCAAGAAAGATGCGCCACACAATAATAATAAAACAACATAGATTAAAAGTAAAGATATAAGTAGAAACCGGATAAAGAACTTCATCTGGAAGGAAAACAGTCATGTTTAACAAGTTCAAACAGTATTCGTAAACTATCCTCAGGAAGGGAAGAAAGAAGGAAATTGCAACACGTTCGCCATTGATTACGATTCTTGGCCATATCCGATAACGTTTCGAGCCATCGATTCGAGCTATCTCGCGGATCCCAACCAGGGATTCGTGACGCACGAACCGATGCTAATCTAGCACAAAAATCCTTCATCCCACGACGCCATGTCATTGACCGACCACCCCTCTGCCTTTTCTATCCCGTCCCAGGGCTAGCGAACAGAGACCTGTACGGAAGCCTCTGGGATGACATTTGCAGCACATGTCCAAGCCACCGGAGCTGGTGTTTCCAGATGACGACACTCAATGAATGGTGATCTCCACTGTGTTCAAACACACGCAGCCGAACCTCAGAATTACCCACGCGATGATGCCATCGAACGCAAGCAATCCTGCGGAGACAGCGATGATCGAACACGCAGAGTCGCCGCACATCCTCAGCTCGGAGAGACCAGGTTTCACAGGCGTGGAGCAAGACAGCCCACACCGAAGCAGACTAACGTCGCGACGGCGCCAGAGGTGGCACAAGTTGATGTATGCCACCCTAGCCTTCATTATACGGTTGGAAATTTCATCCGTCATCCCTCCGCCAGCACTCGCACAACTACCCAGATACACAAACTTATCAACAACTTCAAGCGGTTCACCCGCAAGAGTGAGTGCAGGTCAGGCTACTGCCAATCTTGTAACAGTACTTTGCACTTAGACGGTGTAAAGCACATGCCACACTTACAGACACTGATTGCCAACTGATTAAGTACGATTTGGGCAGCCTGCATGCTATCACACAGTAAAACGATATCGTCTGCATACTCGAGGTCGAAAAGTCTATCTCCAGGTAGCAGATCTACACCACCTTCACGCACATCCTTCAGAGCTGACTCCAGAATGTTATCGATGGCAAAGTTGAAGAGAAATGGAGAGATTGGGCAACCCTGTCTAACCCAACTGTTACATCTGAAGTCGAACAGAACTGAAATTATGTAATAAAGTAGACTTGTAGTTCAGGATGAATTATGTGATTCAATCACAAATGGATTTCCATCAAACTTGGCTGTTTTAACCCTAACGATTGCGTGAGTGTAATTCCTACTGTTGATCTAATCATGGTCTATTGACTTATATGAGTAGTCTTTAGTTCGCTGTTTATCGCCTGATTTTATTTTGTTAACACATCTACTGAATGCATGTCCAAATGACTGTTGACTATGATTTTGTTGAAGCCACTTTTTTTCTTTTTCATTCCTTCACGTTCTGTGTGGAATATACAACTTCAAACTTCAGTTATGAAGTTCCAGTAAGGGTGTTTTTACTTTACTCCCAGTTTTCCCTCTTAACCAGGCTTAACACAAGTTAGGCGAGGTTTAAAAGTGAGTCAGTCGGGAAGCAAAATAGGACTACCTGATTGACAAGGAGCTACTAATGCTACTGAACTACCGAAGAACACTGCAGTAGCATACTTCTAGAAATCCATATAACTCTTCCTTTAATTAGTTTGAACTAAGCAAGAACGAGAATATTTGCAGAAGAGTCTAGAAATACATAAGTTACCGTAAATGAATATAGCATTTAGGATATTAGCAGTTGAAGAAAAATCATGAAACTTAATTAATTCTTTCTTTCTAATATTCCATTAACAAATTTTAAACCTGCACTTTAACCCAGCCACAAAAATTGTCAACATTTCTATGCTCATCAATCCACCCAGGTGAGGTGATAATATTATTTATGAACATAATAACAATGAGGAAACACAATCAAGAATTTGACTGCAACAAATTTAAAATCTTTCTTTTTTTGGTTTACTTACTCAGCACTGTTGTTATACACATGGTGGCATAATATTCTTAAAATATGTTAAGTGGTTATTAATTTTTCAAAAAAAATTAAGAAGATATATGAGTCAAAAAGGCGGTTTTTTTAGAACCTTATTACCATTTTTGAAGGAAAAATTTCGATATGTATATTTCATGCATGTGAGTAATAAAAATTCATATCCAAGGTCATGCAACACATGCAAACCAATCACGTACAAGGAGAGTATAGAAACAACATGCAATGTGACCTCTGCGCAACAGTTTTGATTGGTCAAAATCTGGGCATAAATGTTAACGATATATTGATTTTATGAATGATCAATAAAATTCAACATTTATCTAATTCACAATTGTGACAGCGTAGGAAATGGTTGTAAATATTTGTATATGTGTTATTTAATCAGCCGATATCCATTGTTGAGAGACTAGCTAAATGAACAACATTTATTCATGGTGCAACATGCATCCCACTCCATTTTTTGAGGAAGAACAGTATGTTATTAAAAAATGTATTGCATAATAATGCTCTTGTTGTTTTTTTATAGGCTTTTATTTTTTTTCAGAATTAACTAACCTTCCTGCCTTTGGAGACGTGAAGTAACTTGGTATGATAAGTAGAAAAAGTAAGGTTATTTAAAAGTACACATTATTGAACATAAGAATTAGTTAGTAAAAAGAGAAATAAAATGCCCGCCTCATGTGATAGCTACATTTGAATATAAATAACGGTTGATTGACTAATAATGAATCACTCACTATTTTTTTCATTTGTTTTTTATTATTATATTATATTTTCAAGGTTACCTAACCTCTTCTAATAGAAATGATCTATCCCATGCGTTTTCATTTTGTCATTCTTTATGTTTAAATGAAATTATCTGCTGTTTATTTAGTTGTATAAAAGACTGAAGTGATAAACTACTCTGTTGCAGAGTTGAACAGTTTAACAGTCAGTCACAGATGCATTCGATCGATAAAGATTAAATGGTCGACCAGAACTTGGATGTACCCTACTGCCCAACAAATACACAAGAGGGAAATGCCGATGAATTAGATGAAACACTGAAAACACATCCAAGTGACATTACATCACACGCCTTGAATGGAAAGCGAAGGGTTGACCGTGAGTTTAGAGGTGATATTGAGAAGATTATGTGAAGTGAGTCGATAGTGATGGTAAAGAAACCAGTGCGATGAAGATGTACTGTCGAAGCCGTATTCAGCAGTCGGTACTCAAGGAGTGAATGATATTAAGAAATATTGAAAATGACATTTACCTTCTCACTAAGTAATATTTTACTGGTCAGTGAAATTCTTCATCTTGTAAACTGGATTATGAATTGTGAAATTCACTAAGATAATTATCATTTGAAAACATTTTTTCCAAATAAAACAAAAACTAAACAGTTCGCAGTATATACTATTGAAAGGTATGGGTTGCCACCAGACCAACCACACACCAACAACAATGTCTAGTGTATAAGCGTAATTGACATATAGAGTAAGGTGTTTACCTACTTGAATCAATCGATGGTCACCATCACTGTAACCTGAGTGGCTAGTTTCAAACAGACCGAAATGTTAAATCGCGTCGGTGGCGCAGCGGTAGCATGCTCGCCGACCACGCCTCATGTGATTCGGGGTTCGATCCTCGGCCACGGACGCACTCTTTTATCTCGATAAGTCAGTAATATGACTGGTAAAGAGGGAAGGTTGGGTATGGGGCTAGCAACCCTATCCCGTAAAAATAAACACCACTGTTACCGAAACTTCAAGCCTCTAGCTTGAAGCCCTATGTTCCACAGGGAACGTAAAGGAATAAAAGCAAGGTTAAATCAGTTAAATTCTAGCTATCTATCAGCGTAAAACCAAGTGTTTACAAGATCATTTCAAAAATGACCTTTGGTAAAATTTACTAGCCCTGGCGACTAAACTCTGAAAACTTGGAGAAATAAATTAGTCAAGAAACATCCAAGAGATAAAGGAATAAGTTTGGCCAAAGTTCCTAATAAATGTGAAGAATTTTCCACTTACCATTTGAAATAAATTCTCAAGAAACTTTTACAAAAAATATAGTGGGCGAAGAGATTCTAGTGATCATTGTCAATCTCAGCATGAAAAAAATCAATAAACATATTCAGAAATGTCTACTGACTAGCTACACTTGTGAAATGCAAGTTGACCAACAAAGTCAGTTAGCTAAAAACAACCAGATTCTCAGAATTACAACAATGTTTGTAGTAGTATTTACCCTCTTATGACAGCTGAAACCTATTAGTTGCTAATCACCCTAACTTATCGACGAAATCGCCGTCTCTGAAAGTCATTTAAAAACATTTATATGGGAAATTGCTATCAAGAAGGTCTCCTGTCAACAGTGATTAGACCAAGAGGCTTTCAAATCTACAAGGTAGGAAAGTTCGTTAGCTCAAAAGACTCATAAACTACCCGGTTGTATTGACTGACGCTCATATCAAATATATACTCACACACACACTTACACGCCAAAAAATATAGAAAAGTTGAATTCAAAAAACATTTCTTGCAATGAATTCAACAGGCCATTGAAATAATAAACATTAGGCAAGCAGTAAATATGCAGATAATTATACGTAAAATGGCAAACTCTTAAAAATTATTGCACCAAAACATTAGCTGTGAAAATAAATAGATAAACAGACAGACAGACAACAGGTAGATAACTAGGTAGAACAAGCTAAGCAAAGGTGAATGCAAAACAAAAGACTATAAGCACAAAAACAGTTAGCAGTAAGCAGCTGATTGCAACATCAATACTACGAGTAATATTATTAAAACAATGACTAGTACTCATACTTTTTTCAACTTCAAACTACTCTCCTAAATGATAAGGGGAAAAGAAAGCAAATGACAATGATAACAATAATAATAGACAATATGATTAAATTAAAGATATCTGCATGTAAAACTTCTTTCAAATCTATAAAACACAAAATGATTGAGCAAAGAATATCCTTTTCGATAAATTCCTCTTCTCGCTCTACAATTATATATGCATGTTTATATACATAGAATATTCTAGAATAGTAGTCAATAACAATATTAGTGCTTTTTAAATAATATCGATTTGTTAAATAAGATCAATGGAATTAAAGTTCATTAAAGATGCTTAAATTATGACAATAATAAAGATATAGTAGCGAATAGAATATCAACTAAAATTAAGAAAATTCCACAAAAATTCATGATCATTCAAACCTAGATAGCCAAGGTAAGGATAATGTCTGAACTAACTTCTTTTGGATGCATAAATTAGGCTTGTTAATATGGATCCCCACAGCCTCAGCAATATTTAGTAGTCGAACTCTTAAAGCGAAATTGAGATTCGTAGGTATGCGGTAAATTACCCTGAAAGCATGATTAACGTCAATCTTGTGTTCCGTCTCCACAAGATGAGACAGAATAGCGCTGCGAATGGATTTTGTTTGTCCATTGCTAAACCACGCAGAGTGATGTTCGGAAATTTGATCGATAGATGTCTACGTGTACTCAAAACTTGTTGTATAGCATTCAAACATATGTTGTAAGCGTATCAGTTAACTCGAATTTAGAGGTAATTATTCTAATGGATTTAAAATAGCTCATCTACTTGCCTTATAGTGTCAACTTCATACTTAATCACAGAGTAGATATCTAATTATGAGAAAACCAATAAACCTCACGCCTTATTCAACCTGATTGTCTGTCTATTCCATTGGAAATTTTTAAAAAAATTGTAAAAGAGAAGGAAATAATAAAGAAGTATTATTTTAAATTTACCGCCTGTTTTGAATTATTTCTTATTTGTAAAAGACACATAGTTGTTTCTGTACTTGATTCAATTGGAGCCAATGCCCGATGCCAACGTCTCCTTCGTACCATATCCAATTTACGTTCTTTTGTATGAAATTTGGAATCAAAATTGAAGGCATATTCCCATGATTCAGCGGGTTCGGCACTTAAACTTCTCTATAAATTAGACGGAGAAAAGGCCATTAATTAGGTTAAAATAAATAATGATTTCTCATTGTAAAGCAATACGTTGAAGCGTAAGGTATAAAGTGAAGCAAGGGAAACAAGAGCGAAAGAAAAAAAAGCAAAACTATGAGGATACTCACCACTCAAAGTTGAATGTTATTTAGGAAAAAAAAGTACAATTACCTAATGAAACACATTTAGCCAATTGGAAACAATTCAAGAAAGCCATACTTCTTACTGACAGTCATGAAGTTGTTGATCTTTTATTTTAAGCTGCATATCGTGTTTTGTTCACTGTTGTGCTTTAAGTACGAAACAGGTTAATCAGTATAAAGGTTTGTTATTACGAGTTGATCACGGATTGATATCAGTTAGAGAACCATTGAAAACCAGCACTGGAGTACTGGGCAGCTGCTGTTTCATCCTAGTTTGTGAATCATCGGCAGTACGCCCCCACCGCCAGGGTTTGAGCCCAGGACCTTCCGGTTACAAGGCAAGCTAGCTCGTATACCATTGAGCCACTGGGACCCGATTCAATGGCTCATGAACTCTAACTTCCAGATGTCACGTGTTAGGATGGATGTCCCACCGACGACACTGGTTGGGGTGGCGCTAAATCACGAATCGGTAGAAGTTACAATTCATAAGCCATTGAATCGGTTCCCAGTGGCTGATGGTGGGTGCATACTACCGATGATTCCCAAACTAGGATGAAACAGCAGCTGCCCAGTACTCTAGTGCTGGTTTTCAATGGCTCTCCAACTGATATCAATCCGTGACCAACTCGTAAAAACATAGCTAACCCTTACAAACCAAACTATAGAAATGTTTGTAACGATTTCATTGACTACAGGTTTACCGCTATATGCCTGTAGATTTAATGTTTCACAAAGTATACTGATGAGAGCTTTGAAACTACAATGGTGCATATATTTATATATATCTCAGTATAGATTAGTTCCCAATGACTCTTCAGCTGTTGTCAGTTGATGATACAATCAAAGGTAGAGTTTGCGGAGAGGATCTCAAAGGACGGTGACCACATAGAATATAATGAAACTTGCTGCTTCTTCCGATCTTTCTTCATATTTTCTCTCAAAAAATCAGTCTATGTTTGTTCCAGTGAGGAAGAGTACTTGCATGTCAGTCTATGCTTAAACCTTCCAGGTCGACAGAAAAAGAATTTCACTGGACATTTCATTTATAATTAATGCTGAAAGGTCAACATTGGAGAAAAAACACTCTAGGAGACGATTAAGGCTTCCAGAATTTGTACTATAGTAAGTGAAAATATTAATTACTGTGCCTAAGGTTTCTCCATTCCTTACTCTGCCAGTGGAATATAAGGCTTCTAGCTATAAACTTGCAGCAGTGGTGGAGTTATTGGTTTACAGAGTACGGTTGCTAACTCAATGACGAACCTTCCTTTTTTTCTCCAAGCTTACTACCGGTTTGGCAGTGTATCGACCTGGAAATCGAACCCGGACAGCATTTGTGTTTAAAGATTGTTCTACCACTAAACCACCGACGTATACTTAATTAATAAGTGGAAATTATTTTCCAAGAAGTTTTTATTTAGACTTTTTGATGAGTGTTTATAATTTCATATAAAGAAACCCACTGACAGAGGCGTTACTCTTTAATATTGAATAAATGCTGGTTAAAATGACACACATATATTATACTATAGGTTAATACATTTAAGGAATACAAGAATGATGAAAGAATATCTCAATTCACACAAACTGTATATATAATATATATATATATACAAAACATCTTTAATTAAACACAACAATCATTATTGTATATACGTATGACACTTGAGAATTCAATGTTCAATTCAATTTTGTTTAAATTCACCCATTGAACATTCAACCAATCATGGATCTTTATTTAAAAGAGACGCAAAACGAGCAGTGATATTCGTTGTATATACATATATATATATATACATTTTATACATGTATATATGCTATACATAGTTAGCATGATTATATAATAATTAAATATTTATAAGCAATATTCTTTCAAAAATGAATACTTTGGTTATGCTGTTAACTGATGCTGACATAGTACAGTGAGGTGGTCAGAGTGAGCAAAAACAAATATAGCAGGGTATATATGGTATACATTTTCTATTGTTTTTTGTTCGTTTATTTTCTTGCAAGCATTAACCTCATCGAAACCATAATAATAAACAAACATGTTTGTTATTATTATTATTACTGAGTTAGTGGAGTTTAGTGACTAGCATTGAAGAACTTACTAATAAGGATAAACGGGCTACCTATAAAATTTAAATAATGATAATAAGAGAATAAAACTGAAATAGTAACTAGTAGAGTTGAACAACTTACTAATGTTATCAGATAGATATTAGCCATGATAGAATAATTTTAAAAGAAAAGGCAAGCTACTTATTAATAAGAATAAGTAGTTAAATAATGAAAGGGAAAATAATGTTTCCAATAAGCGAATGGTTAGGCTGGCTGCTATAGTTAATGAATATTATACCAGCTAGTAAATAAAATAATAATTTTATGAGTGAATTGATGTAAAACCAACAGGGTAAGAAAATTTAAAAAGTTTTCTCAATGGATTTTGTATTTCACATGATATAAATCGTTCAGTTCAAATTAATGCTACGAAAGTTTTGTACCATGCTTGAAAATACTTTAGGTGGAAGTGCAGACTTTCTGTTGCTGAAACGAAGTTCCATTCAATGTCTGATTAATGTCTCGTCGACTCAGAGTATGTGGATTATACCATTTAATGTCTTACATGCTATTTACTCTTTCATATGTAAGGTGATGCTATATGACTTATACGCACCAAATACTGGTTAAAAGACAGGTAGTGAAATGGCTGAGCATATTGACCACTTCACTAAATTTGGGAAGTTATATCAATCCTTATAGACTGGTTGCTTGCTGTCCTTGACCAGAGATATTTTTGTTCTGTCTCCTTTGTTAAGTGGAAGAATATGGTGAGTAGTACTGAGGTTAGGCGGTAAGAGTTATAGATAATGAGGGAAAGCAAGTTGATGGGGTTGTGAAGCTACATTAATTGAGATATCTGAGATATATATTCGTGCGTGTAAAATCGTCTCATTCTCTATCCAGCAATCTTAGCTGACATGAGATTGGGTTGGAAAACAGTTCAGTGTGATCAAATCAACACCCAACATCATCCATCCCATGAAGTCACTGACTACTGGTTTAATCTAAGCATTGAGGTATGGACTATCTGGTTAGGATTCACGAGACGTTAAGAACCAGTGGTTGGTGACCAGCAGTTCACTCATTTTAATCTCCATGATCCATTGAATCCACCTTATTCTCCATATACTTATTCTTCCTCCCGTACATTTCTGTTCATTGTAGTTCTCTTGAACTTTTCTCTCTATCTTTGTGTGGTAAATGGAGGGTGACAACTTTTGTGTAAAGTTCTCTAGTGAAAACTCAGTCAGTCAGCCAAATGCCTAAAAAGAATTTTGTCCGCCGGTTAGATGGAACCGAGGAATATTTCTTCTCTTTACGAATGTTTTCTAAGAAAATGAATAAACAGAGTATTCCAGATCGAATGACAAATTCTTATGTATCTGTATAAGTGGCAAAAGCGAATTCATAGTAAGGCTGAAATCTTTATGATGAGTAAGCTCTGAACTTCTTGAAAGAAAACAGATTCAATGTTTACCACTTTTGATCTTAAGAAAATAAAATATCCACTCAGTTATATCTGTCTGTTGTGTATCAAACGTATGACAGATGCTTAATCCATCGTGTAATTGTGGCTACTGGTTGCCAATGATATGAATTCAGTACTTGGTTGGAGGATTTCATCATGAGCTGACATTAGTTAGAAAACCATTGGGAAACCTGAGAGTACTGGACAGCTGTTTCGTCCTAGTTTGGTACTCTTCAGTAGCACGCACCCAACATCATCCGAACCCAGTGGCTTAATGGTCCACGGGCTTGCTTTGTAACCAGAAGGTCCTGGGTTCGAATCCTGGCAATGGGTGCGTACTCATGAAGAGTACCAAACTAGGATGAAACAGCTGTCCAGTACTCCCTGCAGGTTTTCCAATGGTTTTCTAACTGATGTCAGCTCATGATGAAATCCTCCAACCAATCAAATAAAATCCCTGCAAACCAGTACTTGATAATTCAGTATTTGTAAACGACCAAAGTTGATGACAATAACAAATTCATCAAACTTAAAGTAAATGGATCTCTTTATCTTTGATCCAATATTCTTGTCTTTAAATCTCCTTATCCAATGGAATAAAGTATTTTATATTATCGTGCGTGTGCGTGAATAACTCAGATTAAGATTTCAACATAGACGAAACCTCATGGAAAATCAGTTTTTTGCTGAACTTTGTTCAAGAATACTACGTAAGTATCTCTTATTTCTTACAAATTGCACTACATCTAATAGCTGGAATGACATAGAAACACTTTCATATATCTAAGTCTGTATTTTAAAACATTAGTATGACTAATAATTACTCTGTTTATTTCCATTTCAACATGATCTCTGATTTTCGTCAGGGAGTATGGTGCCTTTATTAAATTGGGAATAGGTTGTATCCAACAAAGTAGAGTTCATTACACTGTCTGTGTAAATCTCAGTTATTGTGGAGATATCCTCCAATTATCAATTGTTAGTTTCCAGGTATTTGATTCTGTGTAGGTTAGGGAACGACTGTTTCGTCCTAGCTCATGACTCTTCAATAGTAAGCATCCACCACAGTTCGAATCCAGGACCTTGAAGTTACAAGGTAAGCGTGGAGACTATCCAGCCAGTCGATGAATTCTCTTGTCCGACTTGGTGGATCCCTCCGGTTATGACCCGTCATTAGAGCTTCAAGCAACTTCCTGAAAAGAGTTTCCAAACTAGGACGAAACATCTGTTCAGTACTCCAAGCTTTTTCAATGTTTCTTTAACTAATGTCAACTTATATAATCAAACCTGTATCCCCTAATTGTCGACTACCTAGACATATGATGAAACACAACAACTCCACAGTAGAAATGATCAGTAACACTGGCACATTAGTAAGACAATTTCGATTATGCACAAAATGATATTATTTGATATGTAAGTGTATTTATGTGTCTGTGTGTGCATATGCTTGTGTGTGTACGTGTTTGTGTGTGTGTGTTAATTTAGAATAAACAATTGTCTTCCAATAGTATAATAGACACCAAAACACATTAGATACTTATTAAGACAAAAAGAGATTAAGCTGAACATGTTATATTGTGGTGAGAGCTGACTGCTAGCCAAATTGGTAGACAGTAATTTACGTCAATGTTTACGTCGTGAGAAAAATATGAACAAGGACTGATTCAACAACCAATCACAGCAGACTTTGCGTAGGCGGATACAGTTAGCATATAGATGATCTGACATTTAAGAAACGGCCACAAAGAGATGAAAGATTAACTTTCAGTGAGAAACAACCAATCAGAAGACAGTGTTTTTCTGTTAACAATAATTTATGATAATGTACATGAAAAGCTATTATCATGTGTTGATTTCCTTAATAAACGATCTGTTGCCTGGCCCTTGTCTTCTGTTGTTACAATATGACAAGACGATTCAGACAACAATAGGTGGATTCTAAGAGTTGTATGTCAAAAAGGGGCATCACCTTCAGGGGTTGATTTTCTTGAAGTTTTCCTACAACCTGTGCTGTATTAATGCAGCTAATTTGACTTTGACATAAGGATGGTTATTCACTAGTGACGATTATTCATGTGTGAATCATCATGCATTACTACGTGTTAGATAATTCATTTTGCTGACTGTGTTACTGTGTTTAAACTGTTTGTAGAGTATTCTGAATAAACGTATTAATGTACTAATTGATTAGACAGCGGAGCTGAGTACATCGGCCGTATCATGCGCCAACTTGAAAAACGCGCTCGTCAACACTATCCAGTCTGGTGAGTAAAAGGAGATCGAAAACGTGTATATAGTTCAGTGACAGAAGATCTGGTCAATTCAGGACATTCAACGCCATTCGAGAAATCTTTCAAAATAATATACAAGATTCGATCAAACCTATCGAAGGGAGTGAAATCAAGACATCTGGGCATAGCCAAGGCACTAACTATCCAAAAGCTCAAACCCACGCTATGTATCCAAAAGAAATACGTCCAACCCTTGTCCCTACCATGGCTATCATAAACAGGTAATTCCTTTAGTAATGACCATCCCATTGACTTTCTTATCCAAACTTCCTGTTTATTCATGTTATTTTTAAGTTTTTGTAAATCCCTATTTACACTACCATATTTTCATATCCGAACTTCCTGTCTATTTTTGTCATTTTATTATTTCTGCATATTTAATCCCTGATTGCATAAACAATCATTCGTCACATTAGTTATGATCCCACTAGATTTTTTTATCCAAACATCCTATCTATTTTTGTTATTTCTACATTTCTAACCCCCCAATTGCACAATATGTCAATCTCCTCAGTAATTATGATGCTACTTTGTTTGAGTTTTATCCGTCCCCCAACCTGTTTATTATGGCATTTTAATTCCTAATTGTAATTTTACTAATTTGACCCTTGACCGGAAATTATTCTGTAACTTTCCCACCCATTTATCATAAATAAATACACGAAAGTACAGCCTATCGTTTCAACTACAGGCGGAACTGACGAGGATATTAAAGCAAGAATCGGAAAAGCAAGACAAGCTTTCACTACTCTCAATTCTGTGTGGAGGTCAACAGCACTACTCAGCATCAAAAATAAGATCTGGATTTTCAACTCCAATTGGAAGTCAGTGCTTCAATACGGATCGGAGACTTGGCGCGTCATAAAGAGCGTCTCAAACAAACTACAGACCTTCATTAACAGTTGTCTTCGCTCAATACTCAAGATCAGATGGTCAGAAAAGATCAGTAACAGAGATTTCTGGCAATGAGCGAACCAACCAGGAACCGATTGTGAAAGAAATAGGCAGAAAGAAATGGAGATGGATTGGCCATAATCTGAGGAAACCATGAAGTGACATCACAAGACAAGGCCTCGAGTGGAACCCGAAAGGGAAGCGGCGAGTTGGTCGTCAGTGCGAGGGTGACTTGGAGGAGGTGATGTGAAGAGGAGATGAAAACGTGTGGGCAGACATGGAGCCATGTGAGACGCACGGCTGAAGCCCTATGTTCCTGTAGGAATTAAAGGAAACAATAATAATAATAATACAGCCTAGTTGATGACTTCGTCGAAAAGTAAAATTTTCTTTATTGCAATCGTCTTTTTAATAATTCCTATGATTCATGTTTTCATATTTTTCTGTATTACAGTGTAGATTACAGTGATGAACCAAGAAAAAATAGAGAATCATTGAACACTAAGATGATCTGAATACTTATGTCATTCTACTTTGAAATTCTTCAACATTGTGCACCCATGATTCCACTAGTGATCACATCTGGGATATTCAAGTTATCAGGTGATCATTTAGCCAATTGGACTAGTATTCAGTGACTCGTGAATTTGTGATGTAGTGCTATCAGTAAACCAATTCTATCCTTGGTCATCTACTTCGCCTTGACATGGTGGACACCACTGGTCAAGAAATCTTGTCAGAGTTCCAGAACATCCATGTTGTAGCAACCGTTGGGCTAGAGAGTGATATTTAAATTACGCGTTTTGTAGATTCCACCACAATTAATTCGTTCTCTAAAGTCTCTACTCATTAATCCTTGACACAGTTCCACTCCTTTCACTGGGGTTCTCTATTTTCACGTTTTATAACTGGACCTATAAATCTTTACGCTTTAGGAGCTCGTCAATGGTTCTGTAATGTATATTCTGAGTAATCCGGTCTGTTACTTAGAAAAATAAACTAATATAAAAAAAGATTTTGAGCGAACAATTGTTTTCGATAACTTCTTCTTCAGGCTCTACAGTTATAAATCCATGAATAATAGAGTACACATATAGCCAATAAAGGCAAATGAAAATAATATTAGAAACTGTATTGGGGTACATGTGTGTAAGTTGAGATGATAGTCCATTAGTTAACATAGTCAATCAAATGTGTCTTATTACAATTTACAATTTAGTCTCTTTATTTTATCATTAGACATTATCGGTCAGCCCTCACATTCAGTGTCCCCTTTGTTAATGTACGTTTGTATGTATTTTGTGGCTATCGCATTTCTCTCACCCCAATGACACTTGTATTCTGTTGACTATAAAACAGCACTATATCACCCAATTGTTAATTCACATTTCATCACTTTTTTTCTGACTATATACCCTATACACATTTGATTGATTATGTTAACTAATGGACTATCATCTCAACTTACACACATGCACCCCAATACAGTTTCTGATATTATTTTCATTTGCCTTTATTGGCTATATGTACTCTATTATTCATGGATTTATAACTGTAGAGCCTGAAGAAGAAGAAGTCATCGAGCACAATTGTTCGCTCAAAATCTTGTTTTGATTTCAATATGGGGTTTTTTCATTTATTATTATTGTTCCCTTGGGTTCCTAGTGGAACATAGGGCTTCAACTGCACGTCTCCACTTGCTTCTGTCTTCTGCTGTACTTTTCACCTGCATCCATGTAAATCTATACTGTTTCAACTCTTCTTCACACGATCTCCTCCATGTCACCCTTGCACCGACGAACCACTCGCCGCTTCCCTTTCGGGTTCCACTCGAGTACTGGCCTGACGCGCGATATCACCCAGCGGCCTCCTCAGCGAGTGTCCAATCCATCTCCACTTTCTCCTGCATATTTGTTGGGCGATTGGTTCTTGTTTTGTTTGTTCCCATAGTTTCTTGTTGGTGATTCTTTCCGGCCATCTGATCTTGAGTATAGAACGAGGACAGCTGTTGATAAAGGTCTGCAACAGGCTGTTGGAAATATTCTTTGTGAACTGCCAAGTTTCTGATCCGTATAGAAGAACTGACTTGACGTTTGTATTGAAAATCCGAATTTTGTTGTTGATGCAGGCTGAGTGACGAAGATTTCCAGATTGGTTTCAGGTTGATGAATGTGTTTCTCGCCTTCGTGATTCTCGATTTGACATCTTCGTCCGTTCCTGCTGTAGTTGAGACAATGCTCCCTAGATAAGTGAATGAAGTAACCTCTTTCGAATCCCTCCCGTTGATGGTGATTGGCGGTGGATGTTGCTGCTGCCGTTGTTGTTGTTGGTTGGTTATTTTCATAACCTCCATCTTGTCTATGTTCACCTAGAGTCCTTTGTGTCTTTGTTTGTGTGAATAATCTTTTGATCCTAAAGTAACTTCCATGGTTAATCAAAATGAATCCTGTAATTTGAATATCAGCCACCAGCTCATTAATGACTACTGGATACCTTTCCTAAAGCTGCAGTGGGAAGTTGTGACTAGTGGATTCCGCCGTTTCCAGATGAAATGAATGCCCAACGAAAGCATTGGTGAAGGGGAAGCTAATGTCACGAACTGACAAAGTTATCATTCATCGAGTCACTGAATTCCAACCCAAGTGGCTGAATGACCAGAGACCTTAGTCTTGTAACTCGAAGGTCCCAGGTTCGACCCCTGGAGTGACCGTGGGTGCGCACTACTGAAGAGTCCCAGAGTGGGACGAAACAAGTATCCGGTACTCCTTGATTTGTAACAAAAATCTAACGATTCTATTTCATCTTAAATCTACACAAATCCTCTAATCTGAAAATGATAAGCCTTACGAACATTAATACAAGCTGGTTCATCTTTATATAACCTTTGTCAGCAGCGCATATGCTCAGCCACCCATTGAATGTTTTAATTATTTTGTATAAGAAGATAAATCACAAGCGTTAGACAAATATTATTGCGAAATGAAGTAGTGAGAATTTCAATTACAGCATAAAACCCGTTTTTCAAATAGTAGGTTAGTACAATAATAAACATTTTGTAGATAAACACATCTATACATAGATACGCAAGCACGCACGCACATACATACACACAGAGTGTATATATTCACCTTGACAAAAAAGAAACATTTACCTATACACATACATACACTAATATATAAAAAGTAAACCTTACTTGCTCGTGGGCTATCACTTGTCTTAGAACCTGTGAGGTGAAAAATGTTAAATAATTTTAAAAAATATCGAAGAAAAAGAGGAAAAAAATGGCAGTAGAAGAGAGTCACACTTCGATCGGATAGACTGATAACTTGGAGGATATCTTGTTAAAAAAAATCAATACTTGTCAAATGACTATTAGATAAAGAACATGGCTGGAACATAAATGAAGATCTTAGCACGAATGAAGCCTGTGTAATGCTTCTACTTAATATTAACTTAATTGTGCGTATACATTGACAAATTCTACTTTTGATATATGTGTAAAACTTGGGCACCATGGTAGTAAGTAATTCCATATTAGTGTATTTATTAGACGTATCACACAGTGAAACAGTATCAGTATTTAGTGGATGACGTTTCGAACAAAATTTATTGTTCATAATCATATCGACTGTAATCGCACGACTTTGAAACTTGAGTTTTATATTTTTCTTTGTCTTCTCCTATTTGTCGTCGTTGGGGTAGTAGAATTTTCCAGATATTTGGGACAGATGTTGAATCATTCCTATCACACGTGTTTGCAGTTGATTCGATACACAAAGCTTCTGTTATCAATCTCTCCCTCCACTTCGTGACATTAGATTTTAAAACTGTCATCTTATCCCATCCTATCGTGTGGTTGTGTGTGATTGCATGTGGTGAGTGCTATAGCTGAACTATTCTCTAGATTTCTTATCTTATTCAGGTCAGATAATCTAGATTTTGCTAGATTTTTATGCTGGGCTAGTCTGACTGACTGCCCCTGTTATACTAGTTCGACCTATGTATTTGACCTGACAATCATTCCAGTAGGGTATTAGATATAAACAGGATCCTTTAACCGACAAAGTTTGTTTCTAATTGAGTTTGTGGGTTCGAATGCCACTTTTATTCCTGCCTGCATTGTTAAGAATTCTGCGTAAGTTGGTTTCCGAGGTTCCTTCCTTGTACTGAATTACTACTGATAATATAGATTCCTTATTGTTGGTGTTGTCTTTATCGAATCAACGGCAAATACGTGTAACAGGACTGATTCAACACCTGTCCACCCTGATATGTGGAAAATGCTACTACTCCTACGACAAATAGAGGAGAACAAAGAAAGCTACAAAACTCAACCTTCAAAGTCATGTGATTATAATTGATGAAATGATTATGAACAATGAATTTTGTTCGAAAGGTTATCCAGTAAATAGCAATACTGTTTCACTGTGTGATACAACTAATAAGCACACTAATATGAAATTCCACTTTTGGTTTATTAGATCTATGAGAATTTTGCATTATTTCAAGATTAGTACCTCTGTGAACTGATAACAATCAGAAAGTCATTGAAATTGAACAATGCATTCGAATAAACGCTTGAATTTTACACCTTTACACTTTCAAATGATTAGAGGCAATCGGCAGGAATCCTTAGACCAAGGTTTTGTGCTTGTTATCACTTGTCCATTCTCAGATTCGAACCAACATTGGTGATGAATCTAAGTGTGCATTACAGTCCTACAAGAGGTCAGCTGCGAGTCTGAATAGCTCAGTGGTAACGTTTCTGACTGCAGCACTGGGTCACGTGGGTTATAGTCTCAGGGGAGACGTAAGTTCCTCCAAGACTACAGATATGCCTTGCAGATAAGTGCCAGCAGCAAGTATGAAACCTAGGTCAAAGGCTTTCTTCCGACTGTCTCCAACCATCTAAAACCAATTTACAGTACACTGTGATGTCCAGCCGCCTAGCATGCTGACCACGTTGCAAACTTGGACTGACAGAACTCAGTGTGCATCAAACAAAGGCCTAGAAGCATGACATCAGTTACCGCCTATTGATCAATCAAAGTATATGTCTTTACAATCTATCAGTGCTGCTAGTTTTTGAAGATGAGCACACCCACAAAGATGGTGATAATAAACAAAAAGAAAGGGAAACTAACGGATATTAGCGAGACTTCTAAAATTACACGTGGGTTAAAGAAGTACTCTGAAATGATGAAGCAAAACAAAAAATAGCTATTCCATACAGATCACTTAAATCAGACAACAATAACAGAGTACTCAACACATACATAGAATATTAGAGCGTCGTTTAGAGCATCACGTACACACATACAAACCATGTAGCATTCGTTTTCTAACTGTATTCACAACATAAAATCCTCAGGCTGATATAATATGCCACAGGGAAACGTCCTCGGAAGTTGAGGGTGTGACAAACTGATATCGTAAAGCGTTCGTTTGACACAAGCAATTCAACAATTTTTTAAAAGGTTTTCACATTATTATTATTGTCAATTCACGCAAGTGACTTTGATAATGTTGGAACTGTTTAGAAGTTATAAAGAATATCTCTTCAGAAATACAATTCACACAAAATGGAATCCAAACAAGATAAAAAGAAATAAAAGCAATGGGGGGAAATTAAACTTGTCTCCAATCTCCTCTCGCCTTCTTTGTGAATATCCTTTTTACATCAATGCATTTACATCAGGTGGAATGGAGAGCTTCAAACTTGTGCTTTGAAGTTTTGGTAGCGGTATTGTTGTTACTCTAGGGAGTGGGGTTAATAGCCTCACGTTGAACATGTGCCTCTTAACGGGCTTACTACTTACTGGTTATGAGAGGTTTAAAACTATATATTATTGATTGGTTGAGATAAGTAGTAGTGTTGTATACTATTCATGTCAATCAATAGTGCATGCTGGCCAGATCTAGGTGATCTAAACAGTAATCGATTGTTTCTCTCGATTACGGTTCAGTGTATCAACGGGGTATTCGGTTTAACCCAGCTGAAACAACCGTGTCAACACGAACCACTAGATTTCTGGCTAGTTACCTTACCGAACTGGTGACAACATAACCAAGACGGCATAGTGCTTAACCTCTTCCTCTATTTAATTACATTATTTTTAGGATTAGTGTCGGTGTCACAGCGGTAGAATGCTCGCCAGCTACTCATATGGTTCAGGGTTCGTTCCCCGGCCACCAACGCACTCCTTTACCCCAATAAGCCAGTGATAAAACTGGTAAAGAGGGAAAGTTGGGCTTGGGCTGGCAACCCCATCCCTTAGAAAAACTTCACCGCTACCGAAACTTTAAGCCTCTAGCTTGAAGCCACCCTATGTTCCACTGAGAACGTAAAGGAATAAAACCAGCCAGAATTTTAGGATTTGTAGCTATGTTGCACCATATTGTGTGAGTGAGTGAGTGTTTTAGTGAGTACCGAGTTATTGGCGAGCTTTTCTTTGTAAGTTGATCTTATAGCCATTTCAAAGTATTTTGCAGATTAGGTTATTTCATTTGATTAGGTCATTAGGACCCTTCAACTTGTAGAAATTGTCCGCGAGTATGTTTGGACATTCCTGCTTTATTCAGAATCCCATTTAAGGGTTTAAAATGTTCCTTTTACATACAACAATACTGTAAAATGCGTTATATTTCGTCTTATTAATGTTGTGAACAATAGTTACACTGCTGTGTATTTCTTCTTTTGAACTGTATTAAGTGAAATGACACAGTCATATCAAAGATGAGTCAATCAGCAAAGAAATACTCCTCTCAGCAATTTCAATTTCAGGATGAAAAATTATATATATATATATATATAAGCTGTCATATTCATTGCGTTATTTCTCAAGTGAATTCTCGAAAAAGTGATCAGATGCAGCATTAACGAATAAATATGAATTAATTGTGACAGTGTTGAGGCTTTGTTGATGAAAGATTATTATTATTTCCTTTAATTCCTAGAGTAACATAGGGCTTCAGCCGCGCGTCTCCACTGTGTTCGGTTCTCTGCTAGAGTATTCACCTGGCTCCAAGTCTGCCCACATGCTTTCATCTTCTCTTCACATGACCTCCTCTAAGTCACCCTTGCACTGACGACCAACTCGCCGCTTCCCGTTCAGGTTCCACTCGAGCAATGGCGTGTCTAGTGATGTCACTTGATGGTTTCCTCAGAGTATGGCCAATCCATCTCCATTTCTTCCTTCTTATTTGTTGCACGATCGGTTCCTGGTTGGTTTGGTGACCTTTTCTGGCCATCTGATCTTGAGTATTGAGCGAAGAGAGCTATTGATGAAGGTCTGTAGTTTGTTTGAGATACTCTTCATGACGCGCCAAGTCTCTGATCTATATAGTAGCACTGACTGAGTTCATATCGGAGTTGAAAATCCGGATCTTAATTTTGATGCTGAGTGCTTTTGACCTCCACACAGACTTGAGAGTAATGAAAGCTTGTCTTGCTTTCCCGATCATTGCTTTGATATCCTCGCAAGTTCCGTCCGCCTGTAGTTGAAACGATGCTTCCCAGGTAAGTAAAGGAAGTTGCTTCTTTCAAGTTCCTCCCATTTATACTAGTTGTTGTCTGTTGTTGTTGCTGTTGGTGCTGCCCAGGAATCTTCATCACCTCTGTCGAGGTTTTTCATCCAGGGCTTGTTTGATTCTCTCCAGGATGATGCAGCTTAGTATTTTGCTTGGGATGGACAGGAGCATAATTCCGCACCAATTCTTGTATTGACTTAAGTCTCCTTTCTTTGGCAGTTTAAATAAGTATCCTTTCTTCCAATCCTCGGGTACCTTGCCTTCTTTCCACACCTTCTCCAGTAGTGGCGTCATCAAGTCCGCTGTTGTCTCTGGGTCCATTTTCAATGCTTCTGCTGGGATTCCATCTGGTCCTGCTGCTTTTCCAGCTTTCAGCATCTTGATTGCCTTCAGGACTTCTTTTCTCGTCGGGGGGTTGATATTTATTGGTATTTCTGCTTCCGTTGTTGGTATTATTGGGCACGTTGTAGGTGGCCGTCGATTTAGAAGTCTTTTGAAGTGTTCAGCTCAGTGTTTCCTTTGCTCCACTTCTTTGGTGAGTGACTTTCCATTGTCATCCTTCACTGGCATAATTTGTGTCGAACATTTTCCCGAAAGGTACCTAGTTGTTTGGTAGAGTGTTGCGAGGTCGTAGATAGAAGATGGGGAAATATTTTCACCCACCTCGAAAACTGGTAACTAGAGATAGCGTGATTGACGGTAGAGTATTTTTGTGGAGTTACAGGTGTACCTATTATTCTTATATATAATCAAGAAATATTATTTACATTAGAATTTAGAAACTAACTTTTCTATCAAAATGATTTCTTAAATTATCGACTGACAACTGGCATTAGCGTTGAAGACTTATTTTGTTTTTAAAACTTGGATTTAACAGTGGGTAAGTGAAGCGGGAAACCGAGTCATACACACATGGAAGGAGATTCATCATTCAATAGATAAAGAAAGCCTTACAAATCATACGGAAGATATGGTTGCTACTTGGTCACTCGTCCCCCACCCTCCCTCTTCTGAATTACTTGATCGCTTATTATATCTAACTAGCCATAGTATGCTGCAGTTTAGAGGCTCTACAAGATAACCTTGCTCACTACATTCACCTGGTCTTCCAAAACCATCAACTTTTCTGTCTATCAACATTACTAATTTTTTATGTCATGCAGCCAGATTTTCTTGCCTCCGTCTATGTTTGAATGTTTGTGTCTTTTTATGCCTCTGTCTTTCAGAAACACCCATTTTCAGATTTTTGTTTTATGATCAATGGAATAATTAACCCTTCATTTGTTTGAGTTATGTGACTGAATATCAATGTCAAACTTTTGAGTAGCATGAATGCCTCAAAAAGAACTTTCATTACTGAATAAAACTGTAAAAATAGGAAAATAAGACTTATAGTTTAAGCTTTTTATAAGATACGACATAGAGATGGACGACAATTATTGTGTAATATAAAAGTTTCTAACTTGGCAATTAAAAACTAAACACTTACCTCTTGTTTCACTGGTACACCAACTTCACCAAGTATACGTGTACGTATTAATCGACGTCTACGGAACATATGATATAGCTTTTCAGAGGCTACATAACCCCCGGTAGTTGCTTCAATTGTATACTCAAAACCATCTTCATCACATGGACGATTAAAATCAATTTTCCATTCATCACCCCATGTCCAACCAGCTGGTAATTCAACATAATTTGGTTCACATTTTGGTTCACCTTGTGCATCTGTATACACTGGTTCAGATGCTTTCCATGGACTTGTTGGAGTACGAGATTCATTGTAAAATAATTCTTCAACAAAACTTGTTTTACCTGCATCCTAAATTTAGAGGAAAATAAAAAATATCATTTTAACACTATTTGGTGCGAATATTGATTGCCTTGAAAGTCTACCAATCAGAACTCAAATTGTATAAATTATGTGACCGCTAGTTATGCAGACACACATCCAATCAGATTTTAGCATTTCTGAAACATATTACAGCTCAGGGCAGATTGTAGAATGATCAGAATCCATGTTTTATTTTGAGTATCTTTTTTTTATTCATGACTGCTATATTATTGGAATACACTTTCCCATACAATTGTGTATGCCTTTTTCCATGCAAAACAGTGCATCATATTTTCCCTAGTTCTTAATAAAATAAAAATTAAAAATAATTTTTAAAAATATAACAAATCAAAAAAACTTACTTTTTTATATAATAATGAAACTTCTGGACTAACATACCAATCACCAATCCATTCCCAACCAGTTGGTAATTGAATCGATTCTTTAGTTAATTCAATACGACCAGTATTATCTGACCAGGCTGGACGAGTTAATGGTGGTCGTTTAGTTACCCAACTGCCAACAATAGATGCTTGATTTTCATACTATATGTGTTTAATACAGCAGGTAGGCGGAAAAAGCAGAAAGAATTAATTTAGCATTTTGGTAAATTTTTAAAATCTTTTTTAAATTCCTTCACGTTCCAGTGGGCTTCAATCTAGAAGCTTGAAGTTTCTGAAGCAGCGGTGATCATTTTTACAGGATGGGGTTGCTAGCCTCATGCCCAAACTTTCCTCTTTACCAGCTTTTTATTACTGGCTTAGCAAGGTAAAGGTGTGTCTGTGGCCAGGAATCAAACCCTGAACCATATGCATGGTCGGTGAGCGTTCTAACCGCTGTGCCACCGACGCACACTTTGGTAATTACTTTTTATTTTATGAACATAACTAGTTTGTGAGATTAATGTTTACTGGAGAATCACAGTCTATTCAGTATGATCCAAAAAAGATCACCATTTATCAGTTCAAAAATTCAGAAGCAAATAGAGGTGGAGAAGACCGCTGATTGACATCATGAGCCAGGCCATCGTTCAAGTGGAACCTGAATGGAAAGTGGATGACTAGCTGGGAATGTGTCCGAAGGTGACATAAAGGGAATAGTGTGAGCAGGAGATTAAATTTTGTAAGTAGTCGTTAAGTCAGCTAAAAAGAACTGCAGAGAACAGGATGGAGATATGCTGCCGAAGACCTATATTCCCATCGGAATCAAGGGAATAATAATAGAAATAAGTTCAGTTACTTCTGTAGATAAATAAAGTCACACGGATCTACTATTGACTTCTGATGCATCACCTATAATGGTCAACTAAATCGTAAACTTGAGTTTTACACGTGTGCATTGAGCTGACAGTGAAAAATAAGTGGACATTATCGACAGGATTTAAAAATATTTATGCCATACTAATCAGTTTACTACTCGGGTTATTGTATTCATCAATTTTGCATAGTAGAAAAGTGTTTGACAGTTGTTCATAAAAAACACTGAATTATTATGGCTGTTCATATTACCATGGTTGTATGCGTAATGTTGCTCATGATTTTTCTTATCAGACTGATATGTTTACAAACTACACCATCTTAGATGTTATTCAGCTGAAGTTCTTCAATCTTCTTCATCGTCTACCGTATTATTCTAATCGGACTAATTAGAGTTCATATTTTGATTGGACACTAGTAACTAGTGTGATGTGTCTAGTCCCTTGTTTGGTGCAGACTGAATTCTATCAGTCAGGTTTGCAATGTGGCCACCATGCTAGGTAGCTCGCCATCACGGTGCACATTGATTTGATGATATTAGGTGGTTGGAGGCAATCGGTCTTAGGGAGCCTTGGACCTAGGTTTCGTCCTAGGTGACACTCGTCAGCAGGGCGTATCTGCCGATTGCCTTTAACCATCTAATATCATCAAATCAATGTACACCGTGATGGCGAGCTACCTAGAATGGTGGTCACATTGCAAACCTTACTGATAGAATTCAGTTTGCACCAAACAAAGGACTAGACACATCACACTAGTTACTAGTGTCCAATCAAATTATCCACTACAGCCCTACAGGAGGTCAATCGCGAGCCTGAATAGCTGGCTCAGTGGTAACGTCTCTGACTGCAGGCGGCACTGGGTGACGAGGGTTCGAATCTCAGAAGGGACATGAGTCCCTTCAAGGTTGCAGATATGCCTTGCTGACTGGTGAGTGCCAACTAGCACGAAACCTAGGTCAAGCAAGGCTTCCTGTGGCCGATTGCCTCCAACCATCTAATATCATCTAATTACTGTTCACTTACAAAAGCGACTGAAAACACAGTGGCACTGGATAGGTGTTTCAGCTCCCTTTTTTGAGGAGTTTCCATCAGTCAATCCTGAGAGTTCAACAGAAGTTTAAGTCTAAAACCTTCAACTTACAAGGTAATCACATTTCTGTTCAGGCGCTAGGTTGGAATCAGATGACCCATAGTATCTAAGTTCTGACATTTCTCGAAATGGTATTCTTACTGATTTCATAACTAAATGATTTACTGAGCTTAACTACTGTCTGTTTACCCTCCTTCCGAGTTGGTAATAGACTTTTATATCGAGGAAAGAGACATCATATTTATGCATTTTTAACCACATTAAAATTTGGCTAGATTAGCGGACAATAAATTGTTTTGACAGGTTAGCCATTGAGATGGAAACTTTGTCCAATGAGATTCTTTCATGTCCACAACGTAAACTAAATTCATATTTGAGGAATAAACACTTCTACCACTGCAGCCAATGACTTGAAATGATGATTTCAATTTTTTCCACTTCCTATCAATATGCAGCTATGTACTCATTATTCTGACTGGTTGGTTTAGTTGCGAAGCGAAATCTGGATACGTTACGTTGATGATACATTTGTAATAATTAAGAGAAGTGATTTAGAATATACTCATAAATTAATAAACAACATATTTGAAGACATCAAATTCACAAGAGAAGAAGAATTAGATAACAAAATCCCATTTTTAGATGCCTTAATCAGGAGAACCAACACAGGAGATTTAGAGACACAAGTATATAGAAAATCAACACACACAGATCAAATACTCAACTATACTTGCAATAATCCAATTACTCACAAACGAAACTGTGTGCAGACATTCTTTTTTAAAGAATTCAAACACACTGTAGCACTCCAGAGTTGAAAAGAATGGAAGAAAAATACCTAAAAATGGTCTTCAAAAAGAATGTTTGTCCACAAAATTACATCAAAAAGTGTTTAAAAATGGAATCACAACACCAGAAAGAAACCATCATCGGAGAACACATGAAAATTCATCCTGTCATACATCAAAAATTCTCTGAAATAACAGCTAGAATACTGAAACCGTTTAATAGATATAACACACAAGCCAATCAAATCACTTAATTCGATATTATGCAAACCAAAAGATCCAACAGAAAAGGGATAAAATTAATACCATTTACAAATAAATTGTATGAACTGCAACAAACATTACATCGGCCAAGTGGCGTCTCCTTCGAATCAGAATCCAAAAACACAAATCAGCCGTGAAAAGACATGATATGTATTCTTTAGTATCAATGCATACAGACAATTATGGTCATCAATTTGATTGGGATTATGTCAAAATCTTAGACAGAGGAAACACGAAAAGTGCCAGAGAATTCCTAGAAGCCTGGTACTCAAACGAACAAACATGTTAATATAGACGAAATATACCAACTAATAAAAAGTAAATCATGTGACCAGAAAGTTTAAAATCCAAGTCGATAGAAAATGGTCAATACATATGTAAAGATAGTCACCAGGAGACGCAATTACATCACTCATGAAGAAATTTAAATCATTTCACTTTGTGCTAAATATGGCGCTGAAGATGTTGTCCGGAAGGACGACGAAAGCTTCGCAACTAAACCAACCAGCTCAGAGAACACTATTAATTGCAAATCATCCACCTGAGCTCAAATCTTCTCTATTATTAAATCTTGTCCGTAGCACACACACACACGCACACACCACAAATTAGCTTTATAAAGAGTCAGGCAAGCAGAAGAAGTGATGGATTAAGATGTATGCAACTGCCGTAAGCTTAATTAATACTACTATGTATGCCTACATATACTTATATATAAATAGTAGTATATTTTCTAAAGATTTGCACATACCGTTTCTGCAACAACTTGAAGTTTTGATTCAGAATGTGATTCAGTCCAAGCAGCCCTATCCTTCTCTAATCCAAACCAGATGACAGCACGTATTTGAGCTGGAATTTTCCATTCGACTTTATTTTCATCTTTAAGTAAAAGAGGTTTCTGAAATAAGAGAAGAACATTAAAGACAGACAGTTATTAGTAGAATACTATGAACATCAGAAGTAAGCAAGTATTTTGCTGAGTCATCAAAGAAAGGAAATGTTTAGCGTTCGAGATGATTTCATCTTAAAGTTGTACAATGATAATATGACCATGTTACTACAGCTGACTGTAGACTAAAACTTGAAGATTAACTTCATGCTTACTAGTAACTGGGGCTACAAGATAAAATTGCTTAGAGTTCAAGTGTGAAGTCATCACCAGTGAGGCCCACCAAGTCGGGAGTGAGGACTGATTCTTGCTGACGATACTGGCTAGTAGTGAAGCTATTCATCTCAAATTGAGCGAAGTTAGAATTCATTGGCTCCTGGATTCTTTCCCAGTGACTGAGTGGTCAAAGGTCTTGCTTCATAACCTGTACGTCGTGTATTCGTTCACCAGTGGGGTGATAGGTGCGTACTGCTGAAGAGTTCCGCACTAAGATGAAACAGCTGTCCTGTAAATCTTGGTTTTCACCGGTACTTTAACTGATATATAAGTTAAAGCCAAGCAAATCCTTCAAAACCAACACTTGAAACAGGTCGAATCCCCACAAACAAATTCTTGAAAATTAATTTCATGCTGGTTACAGGACGAAATTATCTGGAGTTCGAGTGAGAAGTCATGATCAGTGGGGGCCATCCGGTAGGGAGTGAGGAGAAATACTCACCACGGACTACATTCGCCGGTGTCAGTCAAGCTTAAATCACGAATTGGTAGAAGACGGAATTCATGAGTGGTTAAGTAGGATCTCGGTGGCTGAATGGTTTATGAGCTTGCCTTGTAACCAGAAGGTCCTGGGTTCGAACCTCGGCGAAGAGTTCAAAACTAGGAAGAAACAGCTGTCCAGTACCCCCTGCAGGTTTTCCAATGGCTCTCTAACCAATGTCAGCTCATGATGAAATCCTGTAACCAACTTGAGCAAATGTTTATTTGGTATTTTATGAAAGAATATCATTACTGAATCAATATACAGATAATTATCTAAAATCAATATATCATTTAATCTACTTATTAGGACACGAAAAACCAAGTAAAGTTTCTTTTCTTTTCAGTTAGCACGGAAAATGATTTTTCATTAATTTAGCAAGTGAATAGACTTCATATTATGATATTCAAATGGTCAAAAATGGATAAGTAACAAGGGACTTTCACAGTGAAGGGAACCTTACATTATACAGAAGCAGGAAGAGATGCATTAAACATACACTAAGGAGACTGTTGAATTACATCACACGCCAGACTGGCTCTTGAATGACATCTGGATGGGGAACGACAAATAAGATATCTTCTTTTTTTTGATTTACAGCTTGATTCCACACCGTATTTTCAGTACAAGTGTGGAATTTTCAGCATGGATATCGGTAGCCCAAATTCAGGCCGACCATAGATATCGGGTGTGCGCCGGCAGGGGATCGAACCCCGGACCATGTGCATGGTCGGCGAGAGTCCTAACCACTGTGCCACCGACGCACATCTCAAAGTGAAATGAAAAGGATCATGTGGAGGGGGAATGAAAGCATTTGTACTGTCGTGGAGCCAGGTGGAAGGGATGAAAGAGAATGTAGTCAAATGGATATATTTAAAACAATTAGTCCCTTTTATAAATTTGGATAATGTTATTAGAAGAAGGAGATTATTTGCGCCCTTGACCATTTTTATAGAGTTGAGTTAACATCAACCTTATCGTTCATCTCAATTAGATGTTTAGCTATAGATGAAGTTGGTAGTCTAACATCTGCGTCTATTGTTTTTCCTTAATTCATTCGTTTTTACCAACTATTTCGAGACCAGTAGGGTGCAGCAGGTCGGGTGTGAGGACAAATACTTGCCGAAGACATTGGCTAGGGGTCGCGCTACGTCGTGAATTGGCAGAAGTTAGAATTCATGGGTCACTGGATCGGTTCCCAGTGGCTTAATGGTCTACGAGCTAACTCGCCTTGTAACCAGAAGGTCCTGGGTTAGAACCATGGTGGTGGGTGCACACTGATGAAGAGTCCCAAACTAGGACGAAACAGCTGTCCAGTACTCCCAGGTTTTCCAATGGTTCTCTAACCGATGTCAGCTCATGATGAAATCCTATAACCAATCAAATCCCTACAAACCAACACTTAAATATTTCGGGATATGCTCTCCCACCCTCACATGCAAAGCACGATTATGCCTCCCTAGGTTCTACGGAACTTATTATACAGCCCGACTTGTAATTATCGAGAAAGCCAATAGTATTCCCCACTGCAAACGTCAAAAGTGTACAAGTGATTATGTCACACTGCACACTATTTACCAATTTTCGTGTGCCTGGAAACACACATACATAAGGAGGAGTAAGTGTGCTTTGTCTGTAAGGGGTGGGAGAGCATATCCCGAAATGGTTAGAGAGATAAATGAATTGTGGAAAACCAATAGACGCAGGTGTCAGACTACCAACTTCATTTAATCGAGATGAACCATAAGACTGATGTCAACTCAGCCTTTAAGGTCATCTATAAAAATGGTCAAGGACGCTTATTGAAATACGCTGAGGCTATAGCTATTCATAAACTTAAGCCCCCTACCCCCTGTGTATTCAAAAACAGTTTATTATTACTCTTAACCTACCTTGGTAATCCTTATTTGATTGGATTACCAAATGTTGTGTTAATCAATCTTAAATCCTTTTTTTGTTACTTTGTTTAATTTAATTGCCCTTAATTTTTTTCATATATATCGACTTGACAAGTAAATGTGTGATCAGACTGTTCGAAATGTATAGCGCAAATACATCACATAACTTTTCAGATAATCTCCGTCTTCTAATAACACTATCCAAATGGATATATGCCGCTGAAGTCCTGTGTTTCACTCACAATGTAAGTAACCAATAACAGTAATGGTAATAATTTAACTGAATTTTAGATTTTCCCGTCGACTGATTGGACCGAAGTGCTCGGTCTCAGGTTGACATGTCGGCTTCTTGTGCAGATGCTTCGACGATGTCTGAAAAATTAAATAATTAATATGACCCTTTGCGCAAGAGGTGGCTCTCGTGGCCCAAGTGGTCTAGTGGATAACGCTTTAGGGTTTGAAACTATGGGCACTGGGTTCGAGCCTCGTTGGGAACATCATCACTCACTGCGGGAGGCAGGTACATCCAGATGACGAGTCCCAAATAGGACGAAATGCGCGTTATCCTGGATTCCACTGATAGTCACCGTCCACCAATTAATGGTAATAATTATTGGTAAGAATGAGAAGAAGAGAAAAGAAGGCGGTGACTTACTTTTAAATTGATTGTTTGTGGTATACCACATTCCATGCCACGATAATCTTCATTAGTATGGTATAATACTTCATGTGCAGGTATTCTATGATAGGCAATACGTTTACCTCCGCATAACATCCATATTATTATATCTGGTATACTCATTTGAGGCTATAATATATACAAAAAAATGAGGCTTGTTTAAGATAATTACTTCATTTAAGGTTGGTACTCATAAGTTTATAATTATGATTCTTTCTGGCTGTCTGTTTGATCTTCACTATGGAGGCAGCCAGCCAAAGCAGCTTTCAATGAAAGTCTGCAACCTGTTGGAAATCATTTTCGTAAAAAGCAGTGCAAGTTTCTTACCAGTATAGAAGCACTGACCGACGTCACATTGACGTTGAAAATGCTAATCTTGTTCCTTATATTGAGTGCAGAAGATTTCCAAACTGGTTTCAGATTGATGAAGGCGTATCTTACCTTTCCGATTCTGACTTTGACATCTTAATCCATTCCGCATGTAGTTGAGACGATGCTTACCAGATAAGTGAAGGAGGTGACCTTCTTTAAACCTCTCCCGTTGATGGTGATTGGTGCTGGTTGTTGTTGCTGGTTTTGGTTGGTTATCATTATCACCTCCGTCTTCTCTGTGTTCACCTGCAGTCCTGTTTTCGCTGCCTCTGTATATAAGCTTAATAATTTCTTCAGGTTGTATGCAGCTGATAAGACGCCAGCGGAATAAATGAAAGAACCATCTTATTCTACACAAACTGCTGTTCTTGCTCCATTCGGAAAAACTTGCTTTTTTCATTCTTTCGCATTCCGGCTGGAACAAAGGGCTTCAAGATTTCAGCTTTGAAGTTTCAATAGAAATAGTTTCGTTTGTTTTACGAAATGAGGTTGCTAGCTTCACGCTCAACCTTCCCTCTTTACCGGGCTTACCAACGATAACTAAGCTAGGTGAGGTCTAGAAGTGTGTCGGCAGAGAATCGAATCGCTTACCATATGCATGGTTAGCGAGCATTCTACCATTAGACTACAGAAGCATTCGTTCAGATTGATGTGAAATGGTTGGAAGTAATTAGAAGGATTCCCTATACCTTAGTTTATTGCGTTGTCGCACTTATCATCAAGGCGTATCAACATTTCGGAAGGATTTCATCATTAGCTGACATCGGTTAGAGAACTATTGGAAACTACCAATGAGTATTGGACAGCCGTTTCATTCTAGTTTGGGACCCTTCATCAGTACGCACCCAACACCTTCAGGTTACACGGCTAGCAAGCTCGTAAACCGTTCAGCCACTGGGTCCTGATAAAATGGCCCATGAATTCCAACTTCTGCCAATTCACGATCTATAGTGAGAAAGAGTGACCAGTGGGGCAACAGCAGGTCGGGTGAAAGTACAAATACTCGCCGACGACATTCGCTAATATTCGCGCTATATCGTAAATTGGCAGAAGTTGGTATTCATGGGCCAATAAATCGAGTCCCCATGTCTGAATGGCCTATGACTTTACCTTATAACTGGAAGCTTCTGGGTTTGAACCTCTGTAGTGGGTGCGTACTGTGAAGAGTCCCGAACTAGGATGAAACATCTGTCGAGTACTCATTGGTAATTTCCAATGGTTCTCTAACCGATGTCAGCTCATGATGAAATCCTGTGACCAATCAAATTCCTGTAAACCAACACTTAAATTCTGAAGGAATCCATGTCCCTCGTGAAACTGGAATCCGGATCACCTAGTGCTGAATTTTTTCCTTATAGCTATATATTTTCTTGACCTCATTATGTGATCAACAACATCGACTACAGTGATTAGTTGAGAAAAGATGGAATAAAACAAAAATGAACTGCCCAAGTTAAGGGATAGACACTCAGAGGTACGAGCATATCAATGACACTGGAACCGTAACCTATTCCTGGGCTAACGTTAACCCTCATCATTTCCTAACCTACACTGAAAGTAACTAGTAATCTTGTTTACTATTCTTACACTTCTTTCAATACCTTTTTTATGAATATAGTATTATTTACGCTGTCTTACTCTCTCTTGCTGTGTTTGAGCATTCCAGGCTCCCTTGTGTATCCGTTCCTTTGGATGACTATTTTATAACTTCACCAAAAAAAGATAAACAGTCAAAAAAGCAAAAAAAAGTACTCACTTCAATAGCTAATTTAAGAATACTGTCTCTGTATGACTTTAATTCTTTCAAAGCATCTTCAATTTCAGACACTGTTTCACGTGTATTCAATGCTTGTTCACGTAGTGCATTCAGTTGATCTTCACGTAATTTACGCAAATGTATATCCATATCATTCTGTGGTATATTTTCTGGTTCCCATTGTGGTAGACCTCGACTGTCATGATTAATTTGTAAAGAAAATAAGGTAAAATAAGGAAGGATAAAAGTTTTTAAGAAAATTTAACGAGTTTGAATTACTTCCTTGATGTTTTTGATGTGGTTGTGTTCTCTGAGCTGGATAGTTAATTTGCGAAGCTTTCATCACCCTACTAGGTGACATCTTCAGAGCATACTTCAATTTGAAGTGAGCTTTTAGATTTCTCCACGAGTTTATTAATCATCTCTCCTGGCGACCTTGGACGTGATTGGTTGTTTTTGTGTTTTCACACCTTCTAGGTTACTTGTATTGTCACTCATTGTTTCTTTGACTTGAACTTTGAGCCCTTGTGTGTGAGGTTTCTTTCTTATCGGTTGGTAAATTTTGTCTATCTCGATGTGTCTACTGATTGAAAGAAACCCCACACACAAAGGGTCAAAGTTCAAGTCAAAGAAACAATGAGTGACAATACAAGTAACCTAGAAGGTGTGAAAACACAAAAACAACCAATCACGTCCAAGGTCGCCAGGAGAGATGATTAATAAACTCGTGGAGAAATCTAAAAGCTCACTTCAAATTGAAGTATGCTCTGAAGATGTCACCTAGTAGGGTGATGAAAGCTTCGCAAATTAACTATCCAGCTCAGAGAACACAACCACATCAAAATCGTCCACCTGAGCTACAAATCTTCTCTATCACTTCCTTGATGTTGTTGACCAAACGACATATCTTCGCCTTACCCCACTTTCACCAATAATCCCACATGGCAGATGAAATGAGGCACCAGCATGCATTAATTGACTTTGTCATATTTCGAAATAGAACGTATAAAGAAAGCGGAATGATACTATGGTGGATAAGGACGTGTGGAAGTAAAAATAATTGGCTAAGTTAAACTTTAAGCACCGCTAACTACCAATGGAGTGTGACCACACCAATGACCTTGAGACGCTCACTGAGCAAGTCAGTGATATCTGGAAAATTATGTTGTCATCATCAAGAAAATATGCTCATCAAAGTGTTATGCTATTAAACGGGATTTCTGGGAAGTTCAGCTTAGGTTTGGGAATGATTAAGTTACGGTTTAGGCCAAGGACTAGTTAGGGTTAGGTCAACCTAATAAAGGAGACATTAGGGATATCTTCACGTTAGGGTTAGGTTCAGGAAAGATCAGGGTTATTGTTAGGGTTAGAAGACCTAAATAATTACATACATAGAATTTGGTTAAATTACTCTGTTGATATAAGAACAGGACTTGTGTACTGTAGTAGAGTGTAATTCCATTGTGGGTAAAATTTATTTTGATAATGTCTCACAGTGTTATACAGTGATATTTACTGATGACGTTTCGAGCACAATTTATTGCTCAGTAAATATTACAGTGTTACACTATGAAACTTTATCAAAATAAATTTTACCCACAATGGAATTATACTCTGTTGATACTCCAACCTAAAACTGAGAGCTATTTTTATCACATGTGAGAGGAAGGTATCCTTTGTAACACTTTTCTACAGTTTTTATGCATTTTTTCATAAATATATGTATTCCATACACAAAAAAGCCTCCTTCACGTGATTGGTGCGTTCGAGGTCATTCGCTGATTGGTAGTTAGTGGTGCTTAAAGTTTAACTTTGCCGAATAGTTTAGTAGAGAGTAGCAGAGATTATATACTGCCCGACTGAGAACGGTTTCCAGGCATTTTAACACGAGTCCGGATTTATCAGTTCTTTCCACCGCCCAATTTCTCTCCTTGCGGATTAGAATAACAGTCAGTGATTTTACGCTTCCGTATAATATTTACTTTTCAAATGGTAAAGAATATATGTAGCTCAGGTGGATGACTTTTATTTGGTCATGTCCTCTGATGTGATAGATTTAATTGAGTAACTTCCGTTGTCATTCTAGACCACATGCTGAACTCAGGCTTTGACATAAAGTGAACTTATTTGATTTTTCCATGAGTGATATAATTGTACCTTACTTTATCAAGTGATACATTTTGTGTTCGTTGGGCAAGTTTGCTTTAAAAGATTTACAGTCAATCGATACATTCTTTCTAAAGATGTATATTTTGAGTACAGCGTATGTTTCAGTTCACTCAGAAACCTACCACTTCTCTTTAAACTATCCTCAGCTTTCAAGTCAGAAGTGAATCCTGTACACTTAGAAAAGGTTAGTCCGATTAAGTTACTTCGAAATATTTATTTTACGTAAAAATATGTGTACCCTTGTGCAAAGTATTTGAGGATATCTGAAGGTGCCCTAACTGTTGAAAAGCAAACTTGATAGCCACTAATTTGTATTGTCCCAGGGAATGCTATAAGACACGGCTAAATTAAGGCCTGATACCTTCCGGATTGAAGTTAACCATTCGCATAAAAATAAACATTTGTACAGAGGCTTGTGTTTTACAACTTGTAGATAACATTGAGTCTGTCGATTGGTATACACGCCAAACCATCTTAAGTCATTTCAGAGTTATTCCGTGCCATGAGGATTGTTCAACTTTCAGTGCTTACTCAGCGAATTTCAGGTGAATAAGATTTTTTATGTTTTTATATATATACTTCAGCAGAAAATATATTGTACCTTATTCACACTACTTAATTACCTTTTAAGTAGTAAACTGACATTTGCAAGAGTTAGTTTCCAAGGATTAGATTTGTTTTTACGAGTTTGACCACGGAGTGATATCGGTGAGCGAACCATTGAAAACCAGCACCGGAGTAGTGGACTGCTGATTCATCCAAATTTTGAGAATCATTGGCAGTAGGCATCTACCGCCGGGGTTCAAACCCAAGACACTGCAGTTACAAGGCAAGCTCGTCTACTATTCAGCCACTGGGACGCGATTCAATGTCAAGCCCATGAAATCTAACTTCTACCAGTTCGTGATGCATTTAGCGTGACCATCAACCAGTGTCATCGGTGGGAAATCCATCCTCACACTTGACTGGTTGTACCTCACTGGTCACGAATTCTCACTAGAACTCCAGGAAACTCCGTCCTGTATCAAGTCACTAGCGAGGTTGCCTTGTAACCGGAAGGTCCTGGGTTCGAACTCCGGCGTTGGGTGCGTACTGCCAATGATTCCCAAAACTTTGATATAACATCTGTCCAGTACTACCTGGTTTCCGATGGTCCTCTTACTGATATCAATCCATGGTTAAACTGACACTTGAACTGTAATAGGTAAAAACTAGATTTCCACAGACATTTCTCCAATAAGAAATCTATTTCCATCAAAATAATGTTTTTATTTTGTTTGATAACTCTTTGTTCGGGTAAAAATTATCATAAACAGTGGAAAATGATGCATTGGTCTAAATAAGAGAGAGAGATATTACACTTACTTGCAGTCCATAATAAATTCATCCAATGATGAGATAGCCAGCTGTGCTTGAGTTTCAATCGGTAGATTGGCTTTTATAGCAAGCGTTATATGATTAATCCCTTTAGCCTATTTTGTATAAATGGAGAGAATAAATGCCGAAAACAAGAAGTTGAAAAATTCATTAACTATGAGTCTAATCACGAGGGGAAATTAGTTACAGAACTAATGAAAACCAAAGAGTATGTCGGACAGCTGCTTTGTTATTATTCTGTGACACTTCAGAAGGGTGAACCTCTTATGGAACCCAAGATCTTGAAGTTACCACGCAAATCTGTTGAAAAATCAGCCTTTGGGTTGGAATCCCAATAGTTTATGATTGCTGACTTCTGCTAATTCACGATATGTTTAGAATACGATTTTAGCAAACAAAATAAGTATTTAGGGTCAATTCTCACTAGGCCTTGCGGTTGCATAATAAAATTTCGATTATATACATTTGAAACAATGCGGACCAATAGAATCGAGCATAATCAAGGAGAATATGAGTAGAATGAGATTAAAATATACACCTAAAGCTCAGTATGATACTGATAATGAAGTTAGGAGTTAAAATTAGAGTAATATTTCTAGTTATCCGGTATCACACGCACAGATAACTATTTTAGGTTGTGGTTTAAAGCCATGGGATGCAGATGGATCGAACAATATTTTTATGAACACAGAGATTGGGCTGAACATTTTTTATTCTGACTGCCTCAGCAATGCTTAGTAGACGAAGGCGTACAAGTTTAGGGAAATGAGTTGGCGCCTCGGAAAGGCTGAATTTTATCAACCTTGTGGTCCGTATTCACCAAATGTGTCAATACGATTCTCTGAATTGACTTTACTACTTCTTTACCTGACCAGGTTGGAGCATACTGAAGAAGACTTATCGACTCGTTCTACGTGTAAAACTATCTTCACAAGAACCGTTAAATTTATTAATTTACTATATGTAGTGTCACATCCAGCTAGTGTTACTGGCGAGTATTTGTTCTCACACATGACTTCTTAGTTAATTTCCAGACAAATTCATCATATGCTCAGTCAGTGGTGAGTGTTTGATTCCATTTCAGTGACTGCTTAGTCGACAGGCTTGTGTATTAAGCGCAGGGTCTTGGCTTTATTGGCAGGTGAAGAATTCCAAAAGTAGGACAAAGCATCTGTTCCGTACCCTGAAGGTTGTCAGTGGTTCTGTAAGTGATTTCAGTTCGTTATCTAACTTGAGGCCAGTCCGGTCCCTGCAAATAAGCACTTGAAAATAACAAGCTAATAGATCCATGAGTTTACAATTAACACAATTTAAGGAAGATACGTTGAGTGAGCCAAGCCACCTTGCAATATCAGCTTACCATACCCCTTTTTAATAAAAATCAAACGGAAAATAAACATTCAGATTTGCACAGTTTATAATGCATAAAAGCACCACAAGTTAACCAATCACTGAATACCAGTATATACCACTCCTGGCTGCATAGTATGTATGGTTTATTATATACTCTTATGATGGTCCGATAAACAGTCGTCATAGAAACCTAGGGCGTGCAGTTGAAGCCCTATGTTCCACTAGGAACCCAAGGGAATAATAATAATAAAAACCTAGGGATATGCATCCATCGTAACTCTAAAATGGTGACTAACATGGATAAAATAAAAATTGCTCACAGAACAGAATATTTCTCCGTTAGAAAGATTTCTTTTAAAATGTGTTGTCATTCGTAGAGGTGATCGAAGGCAAATCCCACAACTAATGCAGTCACTAAGTAATTTATCTAAATAAGTTGCTCTAATGTGTTGCTATCTTTAAAAAATTCCCTGACATGAAATGTTTTAGTCTGCATTCATAATTAGCAAACAAAATGTTATCTCAAAATAAATCCTTATATAATTCAGCTCATAAAAGTGGAGATGTGAATCTATTGGCTTAGGCACCCAACAGCCACAGACAATTCATCCTAGTTCGACTCCTTTTTCACCTGAGTAGTATCATCAACTCTGACACACAGTCACTGTGGCTGGTAGCCCATAAATCAGATGTCCATAAAGGACTAACAACAAGGAATTCTGTCAAAAAATCAACCAAGAACTTATTGCCCAATCAATTTGCCGAGGAAAATAAAGATGGACTGGACAAACGCTGAGGTGACCAATGAGTTAAATGATACACTCGGAAGACTTTCGAGCGGAAACCGAATGGGATAGGACAAGTTTGGTGTGTGTCCGAAGGTGACATGGAGGAGATCGTGAGATGTAGAGATGAGAGCTTATATTCGGTCGGTCGGTCGGTTTTCGACATAGAACTTTGCACATATGTGCGGCAGTTACAGTCGCCGCACTCCATGTGGCACACAAAGCAAGAGAAGAGAGTAGAAGAAATGCATAATAGAGACAGTAAACAGAGGTGTGAGACAAAGGAATGGTAATAACGGAGAACGAAACAGTTTAATTGGAAATCATGAGTCACAAGGAGTGGATGCATCTGCGCCACTGAGAACGATTGGTTTTACCTTCCCGAGGACCTCAACCAGGAAGTCTACATCTTCCTACGTGGCTTAAGCTAACTGTTGTGGATTTCATTGACTGGTGCCATGTTTTCGTTTGACCGCCGCTAGCTCTTTTCCAGCCTGACCCTATATCAGCTAACACTGCCCATTGTCGAGGAAGGCGATGACTAGGCATACGCAACACATGTCCTAACCATCTCAGTCGATGTAATTTCACAGTCTCGTCGACTGATTTCCCCTCCTTACCTAGCACTCGACCGATGCCTAACCTCAATATTGCTCACCTTATTATACCACTTCACGCGGGAGATAGAACGCAGACATCTATGATCGAAGACAGCTAATCTTTTCATGTCTTCTGCTCTCAATGGCCAGGTCTCACAGGCATAAAGGAGGACGGAGCGGACTGTTGAGCAGTACACACGCCCTTTGGTCGATAGTCGGATATCACGTCTACGCCAGAGACGGCGTAAACTGGCATATGCAAACCTAGTCCTCTGTATTCGTGCTGAAATATCGTCAGAGATCAACCCGTTGGGGCTAATGGTACTTCCCAAGTAAGTGAAGTGGTCAACGTGCGCTACCACTTCACTTCCTATTTCTAATCTAGGGGTCGGTGAAGTCCAATCCTGCAGCATCATCTTACATTTTATAGGGGCAAATCGCATGCCAAACATACGAAGATTGTTGCTCAAGGTGTTCAGTAGACTCTGCATTTTGTCAGCGTCCTCACCTAGAAGGACTATATCGTCCGCATATTATAAGTCGACGAGATTATTCCCTGGTAGCAAGTCAATCCCTGAGTCGCTGAAGTGTGTTAGGGTTAAGTCCATTAGTACGTCTATGATGAAGTTGAATAGGAATGGGGATAATGGGCATCCTTAACGGACGCCAGTTCGTGGAACCAGCTAAATGAGGACTACAGAGAACAGGATGATACGTAGATGTGCTGTTGAAACTCTATGTTCCATTTAGAGTGTAACGGGATAATAAGACAAAGCGATAAGAAGACGTAATTTGTCTGAATCGTGTAATGGATTTGCGCAACACATTTAGATTAATCTGATCACACATGGACCTGTCACAGGAATATATATGAAATTATTAAAGAGTTAAGAGGTGAGAAAATAGAATAAGGTCAAATTAAAAGGACATATTGAAGGTCACAATAGCAATGGAGATCACTCAACCAAATAACAGAGGTAATAGTACATCTACTTTGGCTGGTATCAAAACAAAGTTTACCAAGGAAGGTTTAGTGTGGTGACGAATTGTTTTTGATGATTGCATAAAGGTGGTTTAAACTTTCTTATTGCCGGCTAAGGTTTCCAAAAACTTTAGGATACGCCCCAAACACGTTTATAGATAGGCTTAAAAGATGTGTTAGCCTCAATTTTATGTCCTGTCTCTATAATATGTTTCTCAATAGAGGAGCTAGGTCTCCTGTTCTCGCCATTAATGGGTTCTGAAGATTCGATTTGTTTCTGGAGCCATTTAGCAATATGCTGTGAAGCTAGCGGTTAATTGCAGAGATTGATGAATCCTCCCTATGTATATGTGTCCACACGACATTCAAATCGGTAAATACAGTGGGATGTGACGTCATTTTTCGCATGTTCGAAGGGCTTAGATAGGTATATTGGCTTCACATTCTCAATTATTATGATATAAGCTGCATAAAAAGTCTTTTTAACAGCAGCGTTTATTCTTTGTCTAGTTATCAGGCTGCGTTTGTGGCACAGAGGTTAGGACTCTCGCCGACCATGCACACGGTCCTGGGTTCGATCCCCTGCCGACGAACACGTAATATTAATGGTCGGCCTGCAAAATTTAGACTACCGATATTGCATGCTGAAAATTTCATACTTGTAACAAAAATACGGTGTGGTTTCAAGCTATAATCAAAAATAAAAAAAATAAAAAATGCCCCATATTGGGTAGCTTGCTGTACACGTCTTTCTTAGCGGCGAGTTGGAGAGTGGGCCTTGGTGTTCCATTGACTACTTTACATCTCCTGATGAACTTGTTTGGATAATTGTTATCAACCAGAGTTTGTGTCAACTTTCTTTCTTCTTCATCAAGTGTGTCTTCAGTGCATATTCGCTGGATTCTACTGAAGAGGCACCTCACTCACTAAGGCTCTTTTGTACCGAACAGGGCAGAAACTGTGGTAATTAAGATACTGTCCTGTCCAGGTAATAATAAGAGCAAATTCTTCTCCTCTTCTGGGAATGATTCTGAGCTATTTCATTAACAGCCTCCTAAGGATTCCAACCAAGCAGTCTATACCTCACTTCGTGCCTTAGAACAATAGTCAACGACTTCACAGACTGATACCAGGTATTTTTTTTGCCCACCCTTAAATCTGTCATTTACAGTGAAAACAGCTTTAAAGGAAGAAATTATCAGAGTCTAAAAATGTCCTCCATTCAATCAAATTTATCATTTTGTATTTTTAAGTTTAACATATACTTACCAAATGATCAGCAATTCTTAATAACAGATTCACTGCACCTAAACGAAATGATATATCCTCCCATTGTGAATCAACCATTGTACATGGTTTATCTTCACTCCATGGTAAATAGTAATAGTGTAATCCATCAGAGACAGGATTTGTTGGCGGTGTAGTCGATGCACACGGTGTAACTGATTCATCCAATTTATTTCCATGATTTCCAATGCTGACTTCAAATTCAATTGGTCCATCACGTTTCTCTTCAATCATTGTAGCTGATAGAAAGGCTACATATAATTGATATTTTCTGCGTCGTAAAGATTTCTGTAAGGAGAAATATTTATAAGATAACAAACAGTTATGTACAATCGTGTTACAACCAATTGTATCACTCCCAGGAACTCCAACATACAATTTATCTAAAGAATTATACAGAAAATTGAAACACCTAAAGGAATCTTGTGATCACTCCATCAATTCTGCTATCCAATTTCTAGAGAAAATCAGAGGCAGCCAAATAGATAACTAAGAAATAATGATATCCTTCGACGTCACAGCATTAAATACCTCAACTGGACAGAAACTAGCAAAAGAGACCATGGAATAATTACTCAGCAACGACGAACACCTCCCACAACAATCAAAAATGCAACACACAAGTTGGATGGAATGCATAAACCTATGCCTAACAATGTACTTCCAATTCAACAGCCAAATATATGAACAAGTTAAAGGAACACCCATGGGATCGCCAATATCAGGTTTGATTGCAGAAGCAGTGATGCAAAGACTCGAAAACACAGTCCTACCAAAGATCAAACCCAAAATTTGGAAACGTTACGTAGATGACACATTTGTAATAATCAAAAGAAACGAGTTGGATAAAACTCACAACTTAATAAACAACGTCTTCAACGACATCAAATTCACAAGAGAAGAGGAATCCGAGAACGAAATCCCATTTTTGGACGTCTTATTCAAGCGAACAACCACCGGAGAATTAGAAAGTCAAGTTTATAGAAAATCAACTCACACAAACCAAACACACTAAATTACAACAGCAACAATCCAATAACACACAAAAGGAATTGCATACAAAAACTATTCAAGAGGGCCTGGACTCATCGCGGCACTCCCACCTTAAGGAAAATTGAAGAAAGATGTCTTATGGACGTCTTCTAAAAGAATGGATATCCACGGAGTTTCATTAGGGGACATATACCCCCAAGCCAACCTATCAAATCAAAGGCCCCCAAGGCAAGCACAAAGAAAATCGCCCTACCATATATAAAAGACATCTCAGAAATAACTGCAAGACTCTTCAAACCTATAGGAATTAACCAACAAAATCACTTCACTCAGTTCTATGTCAACCAAAAGACTCAACAACAAAAGAAGATAAGAGCAACATCATCTACAAAATAAATTGTAACAACTGCGAAAAACACTACATTGGCGAAAGTGGACATCCCCTTCGTCTTCGTATCCATGATCATAAGATGGCCGTCAAAAGACATGAAATCCACACCCTCATATCACTACATACAGACAACCACGGACATCAATTCGACTGGGACAACGTTCGAATATTAGACAGAGGAAAAACCATAAATGCTAGAGAATTTTTAGAAGCCTGGTATTCTAGGCAAACGTCAATCAATAGACACATCGAGATAGACAAAATTTACCAACAGATAAGAAGTAAACCTCACACACAAGGGGTCAAAGTTCAAGCCAAGTAAACAATCAGTTCCAATATAAGTAGCCCAGAGGGTAGGAAAATCGACCATTTTAACTTGTCATCCTCTCTTTTATCCAATATCACATCTAAGAAGTCAAATACGGAATTCGATTCTTCTTCATAATGAAAAGCATCGATGGGTGAGGACCCTTAAATTTCTCAAGAAACTCGGTAGCTGAACAATTGTCGTCACAAATAATCGTGTCGAAAATTGTATGTCCAAGAGAATAACTGAATGAAGATTAATGAGGCTTCTGGAGCTATAAAAGATAACCTAAAATCAATAAATTTGCACCCCTGCTAACGACTTTGTGCCAAATCATCACTTGGATTCGATAACAACTGATTCTTAGCACCATCGAGAACCTCAGTCAAGAAGCCCATAACTTATCCAAGTGCCCTAAATCAGTAGCCAATGATTTTATTTGTGGATGCGATGTTTCGGGTTGTTTATCTCTAAGTATTTTCAAGCTTAATCGTAATTCCACCGATATCAAACCTTGAGGAAATGTATGACTTAACATCCTAACCATCCACTATAGTGATTAAAACGCTTTGCAGTTGGCAAGGACCTTACGAGAATACTTGAGAATTTCTTCTCAGTTTTGTGTTTTTTATTACTTTACGTTCCCAGTGGAACATAGAGCTTCAAGCTACAGCTTGGAAGTTTTGGCAGCGTTGGCGTTTATTTTCACGAGGTGGGTTTGCTAGCCTCATGCCAAGCCTTTACGTTTTACGGGTCTTATTACCGGCTTAGCCAGGTAAAGGTGTGCGTCGGCCGGAGATCGAACTCCAGATCACATGTGTGGTTGGCGAGCATTCTACGGCTAAACTACCAACGCGGTTTTTCTGGAACTTAGTTTAATTCCTTATAGTCTACGGGTGCCAACAGATCTTAGTTTCATCTTAACATCCAGTTTAAGAAATAAAACAGAACTCACCTGTATTCTGGCTATTGTATCCGGTTCCAATGGTTTTACAACATCAGCAGTTGGTTCATCTAGCAATTCAGTTGATAATTCCAATAGAACACGACCACGATAGGCTACACCTTGTCCTTTGCCTAAATTTAATGCTTCATATTTATCTGGTAGATCACTGTATTCTCTTGGTGAACCATAGAGATTAACAAAACTTGGACCAAAAGTTGGCAAAAATCCTAAAGCACAAAGTGAGAGGGGGGGGGAGGAGGGAAGAAACGGATTACGTTAAGATAAATAAGAGATTGTACTGGCCAGCCAACACATAGTCTAAGATGAAACTTCTTCACTGTTTTTCTCTAAAAACCTGAGATGACCAATGCGCCATCTGTTTGACATTGCAGATGGTACCACGTAAGTCAGCAAACATGTAACATGATAAGAGAAAATGATGATTCAGTTGGGTAGTTTGTGAATTAATGACGTTACCTGTCATAGTGATTTAAATAGCGGTTGGTTGTTTTGAAAACTTGTGCTCAAGACTGTCACTGTAATCTGTCTGAACTGATTCATCTCAGAGGGAAAAATCAATTCGCAGACTGTTTAAATCACATTACCTCAATGATACTCAATGAAAAAATACTTCAAATTTCGATAAATCTCTATCCAATAAGTGATATGCAAAATATTTGATAAAATTGGATGGAGGATTTCATCATGAGCTGACATCAGTTAGAGAACCACTGGAAAACCAGCACTAGAGTACTGGACAGCTGTTTCGTCCTAGTTTGGGACTCTTCATCAGTACGTAACCACCACCATGATTCGAACCCAGGACCTTCTGGTTACAAGGCGAGCTCGTAGATCATTGAGCCATTGGGACCCGATCCAATGGTAACCCCATGAACTCTTACTTCTACCAACTGACGACATAGTGGGACCATTTCGCAATGTCTTCTTTGATGATTCACCGCCTCAAGTTCAACCTGTTGTACCGTACTGATCACGGCTTCCCATTAGAACCCCAGGTCACTGACTGAATAGGGACAGTTGCTAGTGAGAATGTGATTGATTTTCAAGTATTGGTTTTGCAGGGATTTTGTTTGATTGCATGGAGGATTTCATCATGAGCTGACATCAGTTAAGGAACCACTGGCAATCGGCAGAAGTTAGAATTCATTGGCCATTGGATCGAGTCCCAGTGGCTTAATGGTCTACGACCTCACCTTGTAACCAGAAGGTAATGGGTCTGAACCATGGTGGCGAAGAGTCCCATACCAGGACGAAACAGCTGTCCAGTACTCGCAGGTTTTCCAGTGGTCCTCTAACCGATGTCAGCTCATGAGGAAATCGTGCATCCAATGAAACAAAATCTCTACAAAACCAATACTTGAAAATATATGATAAACATGAATGGATGAAGAATAAGTTTCAAGCAGAAGACAAGTTTTCAGTGATACATCTAAATTGCACTGTACTATCAATTTCAGCATGCTGAACGACTGTCACACGCCTTCATTTCCTCCGAGTCGCTCTCGAAAGCGCTCAACTTGTCGTTTCTTATTCTGGCTCCACTGTAGGTGACAGTAGAGTGATGTCACTCCTCAGCGTATGTCCAATTCACCTCCATCCCTTCCTGTATAGTTGTTAGGTGATAGGTACTTGACCGATTCATCGCAACAGTTCCTTATTACTTATACTTTCCATTCAAAGCGGGTAGGTGTTGATAACAGTATTCAATAGCCTGTTGGAAATACTTCCAGTGACGTGAGCTCCAAGTAGCTTATCCTGAATGTAGCACATTTCCACGGGTATTTTACAATAATGAAGGTCTGACTTTGAAATCTATTTCGATGACACCTGTTGTCAAGACGATGATGTATAGGCAGGGATTTGTTTAGAATCAATAAAACCAAAAAAAATCATAAAAAATTATATCCATTTCAATTGAAATAGAAAATCAACGCTTAAATTGATCAGATTTCAAATGTTTTTGACAATCGTTCAGTGCGAGTAAGTAACTCAGCGCTATTGGGATGGAAGATGTGCATACATTGATCATTTAACTAATTTTAATTACCTCTGATGAATAGATTGAGTAAAATCAATAATATTGATTGAAATCAGAATAAAAGACACCCAGAGTAAACAAATAACATAAAATGGTTGGTAATACGTCAAAACGAACGTTTCAAAGCGTTTATAATTGGTGGGGTGGGGGTGGGGATGGTAAGGAAAGGAGAAGTGCAACACTGTGTAATTTTTGATAAATAAAGCTTGATATATCTATGCAATGGAAGCATGATATGATACAATGACACATCCAAACACAAACACCTCCACGCACTCACACACCCACAAATGAGAGCATCATGTATACATGTACAGTAGGGATAAGCAAGGGAAAAGGGAAGGATTCAGATACGGCATTGTGCAAAACCTATTCCCAACACTTAAACAGCACAATTGATCGTACCTTCTTTGCCTATAATAAAAATAGTGAATATGTGTATATATTATTACATAAGAAAATGAATAATAAGGTTTGCTTATTTGTCTATTCACCTGTATTATATATACTAATTAATATCGAAAGAAAACGGAGATTTCAGGGGAGAAAATTCTCTTTCTGACGATTTCATTTTCATAGCTGTACAATCTTATATATATTCAGGAGTTTGTTTGTAGGGATTTGATCTGTTCCAAGAACCATTGAAAACCAACAGCGTTACGTCCTAGTTTGCGACTCATCAGTAGTATACACCCATCACCAGCGTTTGAACGCTGTACCTTCTGGTCACAAGGCAAGCTTGTAGACCATTCAGCCACTAGGACCCAACTCAGTCGCCATCCTATTAATGCTAACTTCTACCAATTCATGATTTTAGCGTGACCACCAGGCAGTGTTATTGCTAGCGAATGTTTGTCCTCACTCCCGACCGGGCTGATCCCACTGGTCACGAATACTCACTAAAACCCACAGGCGACTTCATCCTGTGGCGAATCACTAGCGAGCATGTATCAGTTTTGTTGTGTGTATATTAAAGTTTGACAGTGAGTAGAAATGCCAAAGTATGGCTATATTGATTAGGGTTATGAATAAATAAAGTGCGTCGGTGGCACAGCGGTAGAGTGCTCGCCGACCACGCAGGTGGTTCGGGGTTGGATCCCCGGACATGATAAAATGAAGATAATGGTAGCGAAAGAGATTGTACAACTTGTTTTTATATACAAAGTTCTTGGCTTCATATTATGTATTGCCGAAGCCTCCACTTATAAAAAGCAGATGCATTTATATCTCTTTTGGTAGACTTTGTCGAACATAGCAGATTATTTAAGTGTTGGTTTGTAGGGATTTGATTGGTTACAGGATTTCATCATAAGCTGACATTGGTTAGAGAACCATTGGAAAACCTGCAGGGAGTACTGGACAGCTGTTTCAGCAGTACACACCCACCGCCATGGTTCAAACCCAGGACCTTCTGGTTACAAGGCGAGCTCGTATACCATTAAGCCACTGGGACCCGATTCAATGGCCCATGAATTCTAACTTCTGCCAATTCACGACATAGCGCAACCCCTAGCCAATGTCTCCAGCAAGTATTTGTCCTCACACCCGATGTGTCAGATGCTGAATGGTAAGTAGTTAGTATATGTTGCATTATCGATGAATTATGACACCTTTACGCTTTCCTTTACTCAACCAAGCTGGAAGGTTCTATCGAATACGACGAGATATGTTTCTCGATGAACATCCTATGTAACTAGCTATGCGAGAGCAGGTGAACATATAAAAACATTCATGATAACATTCCCATTCACTTCAAGGTGTATCAGTGGGCGATTAGAGTATACACGATTGTACAGCTATAGAAATGAAATGGTAGAAGAGAGAATTTTCTGCGCTGAAAGCTTTGCTTTATGTCTGAGTGGGGATTATTAATTTAATGTAAATATATATAAGAAATAATGATAATAATAACAATAAAAATGGTCAGGTTCTATCTTTGTTATACAAGGTTATGAAACTAAACAAATAGACACACAAATACCCACACCATAGTGAAATTAAACAATGAAGCAATAAAAAACTATAGTTATGTTCGGTTATACAATAAGCAACACAATAAATGTTACATGCGTATGAAGATGTATAGAAAAGATCAAGCTTGCACACTATTTTTTTTTAAAAATATATGAAAATTGTGCATCTGGGTGCTGTCAAGTGATCATAGCACATATATATATATTATGCATAGCAAAATAAATAATGATAATAAAAACATCCAGATGAAGAGTCCCAAATAGGACGAAATGCGCATCATGGATTCCACAGCTAGTCACCATCCACGAATTAATGATTGCGTTCATGGATCGTATCTCAAACTTTCAGCACAAGAGAAGAGTACGTCATTGTTGTGCCAATGTAATCAATATTATTATTTGCTTTGAAAAATATTTAAATTTTTTTAAATATTACAATTTCAACAAGTGGGATCTTATTGCTGAGGTGAATAAATAAGGCGTTCTCATTGCTGATTCCTCTTCCTTTAAACATGTAATGATTAGACTTCCTAATCAATAGTTAATTTCATTCATATACCCAACAAATATGTTTCACTGGGAAGTAGGGTATGCGTATGAGAAAGGGCTAATATCTGAAGAAGTTCACCAGGTTAGAGAGGCTTTCTTCCCTTCCTCTTTTAATCCTTTACATTCCGAGTGGAACATAGGGCTTGAGGTCTAAGCTTAGAAATTTTAATAGCAATGGTGCAATTTCTTTTACGAGGTAGGGTTGTTAGCAACACGCCTAACCTTCCCTTTTTAGTAGACTTACTGCCAGCTGAGTGAGGCTTAGGAGTGCGTCTGCCAAAATTCGAATCATGGATCGCATACCACTAAGCTACCGACGAGCTGGCTATTTTTCAAGCTCCTGACAGTCCACCAGTTGGATAGACAGCAATCAACTTAGACGGTTTCATTAATTATTATTATTATTGTTCCCTTGGGTTCCTAGTGGAACATAAGGCTTCAACTACACGTCTCCACTTGCTTCTGTCTTCTGCTGTACTTTCCACCTGCACCCATGTTAATCCATACTGTTTCAACTCTTCTTCACACGATCTCCTCCATGTCACCCTTGGACATCCCACTCGCCACTTCCCTTTCGGGTTCCACTCGAACACTGGCCTGACGCGCGATGTCATCCAGTGGCCTATTCAGCGAGTGTCCAATCCAT